TCAAATGCTGGTGGACTGTCTGTTTGTTAAAGACCCCCGTCCTTCATGGACGATCATCGATCGATTTTACCGCAAGCCGCTTCGATCCACATACAGGAAAGCAGAAGTCTTCAGTGGATACTGCTTGTTTTGTTGTCGTCAAGAATTGCTTCACCTCGATTAATTCCAAGATTTAATCCACTCGTTGTAAGCCATTTGTCCTTTCTCTTACAATAACTTTCTCAACTGACTCATGCAGGTACGTTTACAACACTTTCAATGTTGCTGGATCCGCATTTTGCACATCAATTCTGCAACCGTTGGCTCGCAGGTTTTGCTTTTTGGCCTGATTTCTTTCATCCATTTTAAAACGGCAGCCGTACCCTTAGGTATCTTTCGTTTTGGGCCGTGGTATCGAAGGCACCAATCTCGAGACGACATGATCGGGAGGACCCCCAATCACGCCAAGGGCGGCCAGTTTTTCCCACCGAAGATATACGCCGGTAGTCTCGCACCTTGAAATCGCAGTCTGGAATTGAGCATTTTCCTCGGAAGGAGCTAAAGGCCGCTCTTGTCCAAGATCATTTTACTACCAACGCGGCACCGTGGTGATCCGACACGAGGCAGACAGTGGTCTTCTTTCTCATGTCTGCATATATCTGGATCATCGCTCGAAGGAACTTTGACACATTCTCTCAGAAATTCGAAAGCGGCTATGAAGTCGGTTTTGGATGATGTTGCGTTCTTCTCGCCACCGTTCACAAGAAACGGGCAATGGCAGCACCAGACGATAGCACCAGACAGTTTGACAAAGCCACAGAGACATTTTCGAATGGAGGGCTGCCTACTGAGTACTAAACGCTGGCTCATGGGCCAGGTTGCTCTAGACAATGCAACTTTTATTGCTCTGGCTATGCGTAAAATGTTGAGGTATTCCGGGATGATCGGAAATACAATGGACCCATTGAACCGTTTGTCCCACTTCCTTACGTCAAATCTACCTGCCAATGTCTGAAACCGACACAATCACAAGTTTATAAGTACCTTCTCTTTCCGAGATACTTTGGGTAGCGACTTCCCGGACCAAAAAGCATTTGAAATAAAGCACTTTTGCAACCTCACCGAACCTATAAAAGCCGATACCAATTTATCATCAAGTCCCAGCAACCCCGGCTAACTTTTATCCCGGAAAGGTTCACGCAAGGGGAAATCATCTTTACAGCAAAAAATTACAACATAGCGATTCATTTTCATGAAAATGATACAACCCGTCTCATCAACGCAAACAAAAGAGAACCACAAGACTGGCACGATAATTCCCACTCACAACAACCTGTTATGCCCGTTTCCGGTCAAAGCATGCCAACCGGCGATTTGGGATGTTTAGATTCAAAAATCATCTGATCTAAAAACAATGGTTATTGTCTTTATGCTGGAGAAATATCTACTAGCCTAACCTACCGCCTAAAGGGACATACTAGGTCTTTGTCTGCATAAAACATAGCCGTTGTCTACATATCCTAGGTAATTCAGGCCAAGCAACGTAGTCATGTACATATACGAACCCCAATGTTGGGCATAATAATCGAATCTCTCTACGGTCGGACACCACATGTATGTATGTACGTCATGTGCATACACCGTGTAATTTCCTTTATCCCTGTTTAACGGCCTTAATTAATCGTTCTTCCCGGGGGATCCTAAGAATAGCGAGCCGGGCTGTCGGTTGACATCATCCGGGGCAACTTGCAAACAAGGCCCGAGTGCATCCGCGCATCACGGGAAAAACATCAAATTAACCAGGGCACGATGACGGCAATCGACGGACTCAGGCGTGGATTCTCCCGACCCGCCATGACGGCATGTCGCTCTTTAGGGCTTGTCGATCGCCAACTACCGCTGGGCAGCGACTAATCACGGCCGGCCTCCCTGCCTTATGCCTGTCCTGCTCCACTTCGTTCCAAGAACCCAGAGGGCCCTCGTCGAGTCGAAGCTGTTTGTTTATCCTCTTCTTGTTTTTAGGCTACGGCCTCAACACCGATCATGGCATCTCGCATGGTTGACCAACTGGATCGTCGAGGGTATATAAGGAGGTAGCTTCAGGGATAGCTTTTTTTCAGTATCAAGCTCATCCAGTCCATCCAGGCCCAGTCCACCCTCCGAGCCATGCATTTCCAGCTGCTTTCTTCGGTCATCCTCCTCGGCGCTTTGTCGACGGCTTCGGCAGAGTCCAAGTTCAACCCCCTCGAGCATCTCACGGGCATCGCGCCCTACTATTTCCCCAAACACCCGGCTCTGGACGGAGCGCCGCCCCAGGGATGCAACGTGACGCGCGCCGCGTACCTTGTGCGACACGCCGCGATTTACGCCAATGACTTCGACTACGAGTCCTACCTCGAGCCGTTCATCAATAAGCTGCGAAACACCACCCAGGACTGGTCGTCGGTCCGCGGACTGCAATTCCTGAGTAACTGGTCGGCGCCCGTGGACGAGGAGCATCTGGAGAAGATCACCCGGGTCGGATACCAGGAGGCCAGCTCCTTGGGTTCGACCTTGCGGAAACGTTACTCTGGACTGAAGGCGCCCGAGAAGGTCTGGTCGTCGAGCGCCGACCGAACGGTGCGCACCGCCGATGGCTTCATTGCCGGATTCACCAACCAGAAAAACAGCAGCGTGCATCTCCAGCAGGTCGAGGAGGGCAAGGACAGCGGTGCCGACTCGTTGACCCCGCACAAGAGCTGTCCAGCGTACAGCGGATCTTATGGAAGCGATCAGTCCCAGGTATGTCCCTTCCTTTCGCTTTTTCCTTTGTCTCTGGGCATCATACTAACGGTGAGGTATGTAGGAATGGGTCGACCGCTACACCAAGCCTATCATTGAGCGCCTCAACAGCCAGGCCTCGACCTTCAACTTCACCGTCTCCGACGTCGTAGCCATGTTCGAGCTCTGCGGCTACGAGACCGTCATCCGCGGATCGTCGGGCTTTTGCTCGCAGAAGCTTTTCTCGCAGGACGACTGGCTGGCCTTTGAGTACGGCGAGGATGTCCGCTACTTCCACAACGCCGGCTACGGTCGCGACTTCACGCCGCGCGTCGGATACCCCTGGGTCAAGGCCAGCACGGATCTGCTGGACGACTCGGCCTCCGAGCAGGATCTGTACGTCTCGTTCACCCACCGCGAGCTGCCACCCATGGTCATTACCGCCTTGGGTCTGTACAACAACACTGCCTTCTCGGGCGCCAACAACATCAACGGCACCATGCCGACCGACCGCATCAACTACAACCGCGCGTGGGTCAGCAGTCGCATCCTGTCTTTCCTGACGAACATCGCCATCGAGAGAATGGAGTGCGATAGCTTCGGCTACGACGAGGGTGACTACTACCGCGTGCTAGTCAACGCCGGTCCCCAGCCGCTGGCCGAGTGTCGCGACGGCCCTGGAGACAGCTGCTCGGACGGGAAATTCAAGGACTTTGTCAATGAATTGGACAGTTCTTACGGTGGTGATTTCGACACCTTCTGCGGCACCAGCAGCAACATTTCGCAGAGCTTGAGCATTTACGAATAAGCAGGACTGGATGATATACTCTTTTTTTGGATGACGTTGATGACATGCTTGGATGATGTATTGCATTGCCATTTCTCTTGTCTTGTCTAGCGGATCTTTTCGGTATCTTGTTTTTAGATCTACATATTGCATTAATTAGGGTAATTACTCGCTGGAGAGCCTAATACATGGATGAATATCTGGATGAAATTGATCCGAGGCATGCGAACAATACTAAACTGTCTTCTCACCACCCCCTGTAGCCATCCTTAAATCTCCTCCCTACACACACGATAGAACTAGAGCCGGATCAGCTTGAGCTTCCTCCCCATCATTTCGACCTCAAGGATGAGAACAACTCACGTAATCACACGTTCCACAGGACGATGACTGAGGGCAATTCCGATCGGTGCTACAAAAGTCGCCACATCTCAGCGTCTAGCAGGACAGTTAGCATCGGCGGATTCACGCATTGGAGGCCCGTTTTGTACCGCATTGTAGGGGATGCGACTTGGAATGCCCACGGCGAGGCCGACCAGCGCTAAGAGGAGGAGGAGATGCATCTTCATTCTGTCTGGTGACGGCCGGTAGGACGGGGGCGCGGAGTGGTGTGCCTGAGGAATGTGGCTGCCAACTGTGTATACTTCTCACCCTTGATACAGATAATCACGCAGGGGATGTCGCCGAGAGGGCGAGGCTTGACGACATTATATGTGATCTTTCGGTGCTTCGTATGTCTGTATGCTATAATTATGTATTTGTCAATCGGGTAGCGGAATGTCCGTTGTACGCGAGGTCGACGGTCCAGAAAAGGTGCTGTTCCTGGTGGCATATTCACAGGTGTAACATCTCACCATCAGAGCACCTGATGATGCCATTCTGTACCTGCAATTGTGAGATGAACGGAGGGTCTGCGACTGCAGGCACCCGAGATCAAGACCCCATACTCTGTTCTAGCCAGGTACTCACAGTCGCATACTTTCTGCTGTTCCCGCTGATCGGATGAAGCCGAAGTGGAGTACATATACCTAAGATATATATAGAGCCCGTACAGTAGGTAAGGCTTGCCTGACCGGAAGAACCAATTCCGCGCTCTCCTCCCCTCCCCCACCTGCAGCGATACGAGGCTCATCCGTGGCAGCGCAACGGCCAGACCACCGGCGACCGCTGAGTCAGCCATCCCAAAAGAGCTTATCGCAACCAAGTCCACAGGCCCTAGACCCTCTCGGGACTAGGGCCAGGCGCCTGCGGTGGGCGGACCAACGAGAGCGGCGGGCGGGGATGCAGCCAGGCATCTGTGCATTTGTCCTGTACTGTAGACGTTTACTCCGTACCCCCAGATGCATCGAGGTGCCTGCTGTGTAACCCCAACACCTCCTTTCCTTCCTTCTGTCCGGCTCTTTCTTTTCCTGCGTCTGGCATAACCACCGAACCGCTCATCTCTCCTCCGAATGCCCGCGAATCTACGGTCATGATGCGCCTTTCCTCTCTACTCTGTTTGTGCCTTCTCGGACCAGCAACCGCTGCGCCGATAGCACCTGCCTGCCACCAGGGGAGATTGACCCACGCGCACTGGATCAATCTCGATTCTCGTCGCCTCTTTCCGTTGTCCGATGGAAATAGCGTCCGCACCGTGACGGACGTCGACTCCCGCCATACTACCACACTCCTGCGATCGCCGTTTCACGTCCTCTCAAATACCGACTGCAACTCCCCGAACGGCTTTTCTTCCTCAACGACACCCCTGAGGTCGCTCCGTCCGCGGACCGACACCGGCAAGATGGCAGCCCCGTTTCTCTCTTGCGCCTCCATGGCCATGCTTGGGTTCGCTTTCTTGGCCCTGTTGCTCGTCAGTCTATATGCTCGATACGCGCAAGGGTCCAGTCCGAGACACGACCGGGTAACTGACGCCATGGCGACGAAACCGGTGCCATCCCGTATGGCGGCGGACGGGGAAGTGTCGGATGATTTCGACGACACGGATTATCCGATGGGATAAGGAGGGATCGAAATTGGGGCGTCCGGGTGAAAAGACGACCGCATGGATAATCCTTGCGCGTGCTGCTGTTTGCTTGTTTTAATCACCTGGTCTCGTGACCCTCTATTTGGCTTTTCTTCATTTCCTGCACTCTAGTCTCCCCGTTTCCCTTTTGGTCTCTTTCTATTTCTCTCTCGTATCCACTTTCCGTCTGTCGATTGTCTGCGTTCGAACCAAGCGTCGGTGTTTCATGGCGAGGGAGCTTCATCATGACTAATGTGCAACGTTCGAATCACTGATCGGGATACTCAAGCTGTGAACTACGTAATGAATGCCTACTTATCATCTGTTCCGGTCTACTTTGGCTCTACTTTACGGTCACACACAATGAAGCTGACAGACTAGAGGTAGCACTATCGTTGATTCCTCCCTGACAAACTATCGCAACCTGCTGCTATTTGACTCCATATTCCCTGCCTTCATCCCCCACGTCAGAGCATACGAACGATGGTGATGTTGAATACCATCGGGAGTGCACCTATTCCTCCGACTCCACGCCGGTCCTTTAATCCACGCACCGATGTCGACGCTGCATTCTCGATTAGCGGGCGAAATGTGATGCTAGGCAGAACTCACTCGGTCACAGTTGTCACAACGGCCGTAGCAGTCCCTGTCCCTGTCACAATAGTCTCCGCAGCGTGCCTACCTTGATTAGCATTTCTCCAAAAGGCCGAAGGACCTGAGATAGAGCCTACCAGCGCTGGGTCTGCGTTCTCCGTCGCGACCGCCACGCTCAAGAGCGCAGCGAACAGGACAAGGATGAACCTCATGATGGTGGTTGTCTCCGGAAGATCTTTGATTTTAGTTTAGCTTTTGGGTTGATTGAATGGATTCTGTTCTGTGGAAGAAGACGAGGTGGAGTCGGTCATCATGCCCATATTTATACTCACACCTCCTCCCTCGATCGACATCTTCTTACCACCGTGTAATCGACCCCCAGGTGCGGGCACAAATGGGATCCGTAGGAATTTGTTCTTTCAGCGCATGATGTGAATCAACGTCGTCTTGTCTCAAGCCGCCACATCCGCTGTATAACGCGACCAGGCCATTAGCCGAGATGACTGCAGTTGAATGAAGCCATTCGCATCGAAGCAAGCTGACATTCCTCTCAGCCCTGGAGCTAGAATGGGGATTCCCCGATGCTCTGTCCTACCGATGTACCACTGTAGTTGGACCAGGTTACAATTCTTCGTGCGGGGAAGGAGGTCAGCCTGAGGAATCGGGGGAGTCTTTGCCGCATTTGTAGAATGAGGTAGGCCTAGGTGGTGGTCGGAATGTTAGTAGTGCTCGGAATATGTGCCGCTCTCGATGCATTGGGAATTTGCCTGGCGAGAGAGGAGGCTTCGGATGTTTGGATACATGCGTACTGATTGGGCAGTCTGTCCGACATATCGGACATTTTCGCACGTGTGGTCCAGGACCAGACGAGGTTTATTCTGCGATGGCTGTCCATCCCCGGCCGACAGGATCGCATTGCCAGAAGTCAGTCGATGGGCGAGTGCGCCTGAGGCTCCCAGAAGAGACAAACATGCAAACGGCGCCATCCGGTCCCACGTGCCCCTCGCCTCTCGCACTCTCCGGAATTCCCTCACTCACACACTCTCTCATGCATCTCTCTTCTACCCACTCCGACCCATCCAGACCAGTGGCAACGCTGCACTGCCCCTCGGTCCACTGCTGGAAAAGTATACCAATGACCGGCTGGTGATGGACACGCGAGCAGAAAAAGTCTTTCACTAATACCGCCCGCCAAGGGCCTTGGCGATACTCCCCAAGAATCCCAAGACAGACCCAACAGGCCTAAGAGCTGCTCGGCGATGGGCGACAACCAGCAGCTCAGGAACGTGCTCGTTTGCTCCCTCTGATTGGCAGTCCACGGGTCGCATCTTCGTCGACTCCTTGGCGCCAAGTCCGCTCCTCTCGGCGGAGGCCAGGGCCCAGGAACCAATACCATCCCCTGCTGCGCTCACGTTCGTCGACCATTCCAATCGGTCTGGATGGAGATGACCGACGAGAAGAAAAACCACGCGATGCCTTGGCACAGGGTGTGCAGCCACCCGGTCATGGCATCAATATGATACTTAACTTGCTCGCGTGCTCACTTTTTCCTCCGATTCTGTCCAGCAGCACGTCTTCCACGCATCTTTCTTTCTTCTCTCCTCATACTTTCTCCCTCTCTGAAAGCTCGAGCTTCCAGCTCGGCACCTCTTGCCTATCATGATTCCCCTCGAGACCGCCCCGTACGACTGGATCCTGGCCTTGACTTCTATTGCCTTCGTCTTCAGCGCCTTCGGTAACGGTGCCAACGATGTCGCCAACTCCTACGCTACCTCCGTCGCTGCTCGGACGCTGAAAATGTGGCATGTCGGTATCCTGGCCATGATCACGGAGTTCGTCGGTGCCGTAGCGCTCGGCAGCCGTGTCACCGATACCATCAAGTCCGGCATCATCGAGCCCGATCGGTTCATGGGCAAGCCCGGCACTTTCATGCTGGCCATGGGATGTGCCGAGGTGGGTAGTGCCTTCTGGTTGATGTTTGCCACTGCCCGTGGATGGCCGGTGTCGACCACTCAGACCGTCGTCGGTGCGCTGGTCGGTGTCGGCTTCGCTTCCCAGGCTGAAATCACCTGGGAGTGGAAGAGCGGCAGTGTCTCTCAGATTGCTGCATCCTGGGGTATTGCTCCCGCCATCGCCTGTGCCTTCTCGGCCCTTATCTTCGGCATCCTCAAATACACCGTCCTTGAACGCCAGGATTCATTCAAGTGGGCCATGCGCCTCATTCCCGTCTACCTCTCCTTCACCGGTGCTATCCTGGCGTTGTTTATCGTCGTCGAAGCCCCTACTGCTCCCTCCCTTGAAGCATTCGGCGCTGGCAAAGCCGTGGGTATTATCCTCGGTGTCCTGGCTGGTTGTCTTGTCGTTTCCTATGCTTTCTTCATGCCTTACTTCCACCGTCGACTGGTCAAGGAAGATGCACGACTCCGATTCTACCACCTCCCTCTTGGTCCCTGGCTACTCAAGGACAACTGCCCTCTATACTTCCCTGGCACCGGCGAAAACTTCGTCATCAACTACTACGAGGATGCCTACGGGGAGACTCGTGCCGGCCAGAAAGACGCTGAGAAAAAAGACGGCGCCGCTGACGGCAAAACCATCAACACCGACATCGAACAGCGTGCCACCACCTCCCCCGAAATCCAGCCCAAGAAGCCCATCATCGGCCCCCACGAGCGCTTCCTCCAGCCGGTCGAACATCTCAGCTGGTTCAACCCCATCAAGTACTGGGGCTGGATCAAGTTCATCTTTCTACAGGGTGTCACCCGCGACGTCATCACTCACGACTCGGATCACCTTCGTGCTATCCATGCCCGCGCACACCGTTACGACGACCGCGTCGAACACCTCTGGACATACTGCCAAGTTGTGTCGGCTATCATGATGTCCATCGCGCACGGCTCCAACGACGTGGCGAACGCCGTGGGTCCCTGGGCCGGTTCCTACGCGACCTACCTCTCCGGTAGCGTGAACACCGAGTCCGAAACCCCCATCTGGTTCCTGGTCATTGCCGGTGTACTGCTCGGCGCTGGTTTCTGGTTCTACGGATACCATATCATGCGATCGCTCGGTAACAAGCTCACCCAGATGTCTCCGAGCCGTGGTTTCGCGACCGAGCTGGGTGCCGCCATCACGGTGCTCCTTGCCTCGCGTCTCGGTCTGCCCGTCTCGACGACCCAGTGTCTGACTGGCGCTGCGACCGGGGTCGCTCTGATGAATTACGATCTTGGTGCGGTGAACTGGCGCCAGCTTGCGTTTATCTTCTGCGGTTGGGTCTTGACTCTTCCGTCGGCTGGCTTGGTCGCTGGGTTGATTTGTCTGATGGCGCTGAACACGCCACATTTTTAAAATTTTGTTTTGTTATGATTTATTTGTATATATAGACTTTTCTTTCTGGTTTGGTTGGCTATAATACTATACCCTAAATGCAATTAATTGATTTCGAACTGTCTTCGTTGTTTTTGTTTCCCCACTCTAGAATAGGCAGGATGTTTGCTCCCAGATTTTAATTGACTTCAAACCCAGGTGTGTTTTGTTCTTCAGGGATCGTCTATTTTTTCCATTCGTTTCTTTTTCTTGTTCTCCTTATGATCTACTCTTTGCCAATAAAACCAAAATCCTAAGATTGAGTCAATGCTCCGACTTGCAGGTCGATCGTCTTGAGGTCACACCGGTCGGAAAATGCCATGCTTCGCCAAGTGCTACACGTTGGATTAGCTCTGGTACCTCGGAGACATCCAGGAAGATTTACACACGAAATGGCCTCGATATTCTCGGTCATGGTGATCAGTCGATCGTAATATCACTGTCACTTCAGGCATGAATATGTGGCTCGCGGACGGCGAGAGGGGATATACGAGGTAGTTCTTCTTTCGCTACTGTGGGACTTCCTCCAATCGCTTGTTCATGCTTTCAATCGTGGTATGGGATGATGGTCAATACTAATCTCGCCGTGACGGAGATTCACCGGATACCACTTTGTTGATTGAAATTCTATGCCGCTGGATCGTGGCGCGTAGGCCTACGTCAAATGGCACTTTGGGAGATCTTCATTTTGCTACCCATCTAACTAGCTACACCCAAGTCCGGCAATGATGATCACGCACCTTGGAGACTGCAGAAAACGATCGACACGAGCGCAAGAATATCATCCTCAAGGTTCCAACGCAAGGTCCTCATTCCCTCTATTTATATCATCGTGGTCCGAGAGACATGATGAACATCAACAATGAAGCCATCCACCCTTCTCCCGGGGCTCGTGGCCCTTGCATCCGGCTTGCCCAAACTTCATGAATTCGACGCCCTCGGTGCCTGGTTCGACGGCGTCAATGCCATCAACACCAGCTATCATGTCGCACCTCATGGCGCCAAGAACAAAACCATCGCTATCGTAGGCGGAGGCATTACTGGACTTGCGACCGCGCTGATGCTCGACAGCGTCGGCGTTCATAATTGGGAAATCATCGAGGCGAGCGATCGCGTCGGAGGAAGGTTCCGCACCAAGTTCATGGGCGATACGCAGGAATGGGCCGAGATGGGACCTATGCGGTTGCCTGTGAGGGCGCATTATGCGGATGGCGAGACCATCGAGTATTCGGACCATGCGATGGTCTTTCAGCTTGCCACGTTGCTGAACGATATGAATGAGAATCATACGGATTGGAGGATCGACTTCATTCCGTGGATTCAACATCATCCGAATGAGTTGCTGGCTCTGGGGACCGGGCGGCATTCAGACGGGCGGATTCCAACTCGCGCGGAAATCCAGCAAAACTCCAGCTTGGGTCAGCCTGATACCATGGCCACGGCCGAGTTCAAACAGACTAAGACTCGCATGGAGGAGATCCTCTCGCGCAAGGAGAAGCTGAAGGCCATGCAGAAGGACGTTTGGCGTCAGCATAAGATTGCCATGGACGACGGTCTCGACGACTGGAGTGAGCAGTCTATGATGCGAAATGCTTTCAAGGCTAGTGAAAACGTCACAGACGCGATCTGGACGGACTCTGACTACGACGTCTTTTGGGACGAGCTGCACCACAACTCCAACCTCGAGCTGGACGGCTCGCCAAGCTCCCTCGGAAAAACCGAGTGGACATGTATCGATCGCGGTTTCAATCGTCTCTCGGACGCATTCCTGCCTCATGTGCGTGACCGACTTACGCTCAACCGAAAGATCCGCAAGCTCGAGTCTGTCACATCCCCTGTCACCAACCGCACCATGACTCGGCTGTCCTGGTACCCATCCACGACCAATCGCACCGCTCAGTCCCGCGAATATGACTACACCATCATGGCCGTCCCCTTTACCATGACCCGCTTCATGGATCTCCCGTCGTTCTCGTCTGTCCTGTCGCGCGCCATCAGCGAGGCCGGCCTCCGCTTCAAGTCCGCCTGCAAAGTTGCTTTGCTTTTTTCGGCACGATTCTGGGAACGCGGTCCCCGCCCTATTTTCGGTGGAAAATCCACTCCTCCCAGCTCCGCCATCGGCGCTCTGTATTACCCCGTCTACGGGCTCAACGAGTCTCGCCCCGGCCTCATCATGCACTACCGTGGTGGCGACTGGAGCGATCGCTTCGTCAGCTTCCCTGAAGAAGAGTACGTGCAGACGGTGCTAGACGCGGTGGTGGATCTCCATGGCGAGCAGGCCAGGGAATTATACACTGGTGTTTATGAGAAGCTGTGCTGGTTGGAAGACGAGTATACGGCGACAAGCTGGTGTCGGCCCGATGTCGAGCAGCATAAATTGTATATCCCCGCGTATCATCGCACGGAACATAATACCGTGTTTGTGGGCGAGCATACAGCGCCCACTCATGCTTGGGTTAGTAGTTCTTTGCATTCGGCGGTGCGAGGGTGCGTGCAGATCTTGCTGGAGATGGGGTTGGTTGAGGAGGCGAAGGTCTTGAATAGACGGTGGATGGGGAGGTGGATTCAGACTTGATATTTCACTATACATACACAGACTTGTTGGATATACCTCTTCTTGGCGATATATAAAAGGGTCAATATACATATGTCACCCGGTGTAAACCCATCAGGTGTGGTTCACGATGTAATCATTCCTCCTCCTTTGCAATCAACTCTGCCGAAGAAACTTTCCCCCATTCCATCCAACTTCCATCATACAGCCGCTTCGGCATCACATACTCCGACTCCGTCAATGCCACATCCACTACCGCCGCTGTAACACCGGAATTACAGCTCAAGATCGTCGGTCGCTCGCTGACCCCAGAATGTTCAAACAATGCCTTCAACTCTGATGGCGTCTTGATCGCCCCATGCTCGTTCAATACCGTTGATAACGGGATATTCACAGCGCCGGGAATATGACCTCTCTGGATACTTGGATCGGAGTACCCTTCGGACCCAGTGAAGAGCGTGTTCGTGCGTGAATCCAGAATTTGATACGTTGAGTCGGTTGAGTTCTCGTTCTGTGTAGCGAGAAGCTTCTGAAGATCCGCGCGAGATATCACCATTTCTTGATCAATCTCGGGAATAGGATACGTCTCCGCATCTCCTAATTCTCCAGATGAAGATAATACAAGAGAAACTATATCTCCCGACTCGGCAGGGAAGTTCAGTTGGTGGTAAAGTCGGAAGTTATTCAGGACGTGGACATTCTTGTGGCCGAACACGCGGAACATCCACGCCACCCGCGGCGCGTTGTAGGTTCCTATCTCTGCGGCATCGTAGACCACGACGATGTCGCTAGGTCGGAGACCGAGTTTAAATAGCTCCGTTGAGAAGGTGCTGGGGGTGGGGAGCATTAGTGGGTAGGGGGTGTCTGGGTTGCGGATGATGTCCATGTTGAAGAAGCTGGGAGTTTGTTACTTTTTTGAACTATGTTCGTGCAAGAAGAGAGTTTCTTTTTGGCAGGAATGTTTTCTGGGAATGTGAACGTGAAGACCGAAGTGAAAACATACACTGAACCCGGGATGTGGTTGGCGTTGAAAAAGGGAATGTGTGCGGTGCGGCCCGCGGCGACTGGAACGATTCTTTTGAGGTCATTGTGCGGTCGGGATTGGGAGTATGCCTCATGGAAGTCTGGAGGGCTCACAAGCGTGGATGCGAACATGGTGCGGTTGATTGCTCGATAGAAGATGTTGCAGGAAGAGTAATGAAGGTCGATGACGGGGAGAAATCGGTCAAATTTCTGATTGATGGACTAGATTATCGGAGACCCACCGCCCTCAGTCTTGGGTCTTTCTACGGAGTAGACTTGTTCTCTATCTAGAATCTGTTTACACTTAGTTTGGGGATTTAAGTTACTCGACCTATTACCCATCACGATTACTGAATTAGACTGGGGCTTTCGCGCATGGAATGACGTTGTGTTTACTATCAATAGTCTTTTTTATCGGGATTTACTGAAACTCAAACACAGGGATTTCCCCTCACATATAAGCGCTATTTCTTCCTCAGTTTTGTTGTTATAAACACACAGTATTTCAAAGATGCTCAATTTCCCAGTAGCAAAATCCTACGCTAGTCCGAAGGCTCAATTCCGTTCAACATGCCAGATTATACGAAGTCAGTTGGTCATAGTTGTTTCCCTGTTAGCTACTAACGTCACCAATGTCCCAGAGTTTGCCTTTCGTCGCAGTTTACCTTCCTCATCAGCGAAGATAAACACTCTATGAGGATCCACTCTGCCATAGTCGTGGAGACCTCCAAGCCATTGAACGCGAATGGCATCATGAAGGAATCTACCTCCAAAGTCGCTGTCCTTGCTGATGTAGACCCCGAGACTTTCGCCGCGTCTTGCGAATATGCCTACACCGGGACTTATACTTCGCCCTTCGTGCCACCAGGCGAGGATGACAAAAAGCCGACTCTATCCTAGGTACTTGATGAGGCCAAAGCACGTCTACCGAGTATCATTTATCAGAGCTACCAGGCAATGGTAAACAAAGACCTCAACCTGATTTTCGAGCGGTACAAGATGGCAACTGCAAAGGTGTTCAATCTCTGTATGGCTCTTTGTGGAAAAGCTGTTAACAAAATTCGAGGCTTTAAAATACGGCGCCGACCCGTCCCAAACCCACGGGAGACTGTGCACTCTTTTCCACGCAAAGCTATACGTCTCTGCCACTAAGTACTTGGTGGAGCCGCTCCGCCAGAAATGTCTGCGTTCGATTCACATGGATCTTACCTATTACTTGTTGAAGACGGACGAACTTTGCGATCTTCTGGAATATGTTTACAGGGAGACTGGGCCAGTTGAGCCTGATGGACGGTCGTCATTGCGCAGTGTGCTATTCCTTTATGTTGCTGCGCGTTTGTGACGGTATTCGGCCCATAAGAGGTTCTCGGATATGCTGCAGTCAAATGGCGAGATAGGCGCGGATCTTATTCAGAAGTTGACTGTGTAGTGTGGGTGCTCGAGGTTTACTCTCGATGCTTTTTTTTCTAGGTATCATTTAGCCTGGCATTTGAACTTCTATCCATTTAGGGATGCGGTGATGGCGGCGTTGATGTTTGATTCATTAATCGTACTCTTGTTCTACCCAACCTACCTCTCATGCGGATGGACACATTTGGGATGGAACTAGCTTAATGCAAGCATGTTATATCTTCCAATAGCAGGGCTAGATTTAATTGATGAACATTCCAGTGTTGCCAGAAGATCAGTAGAGACAGCTAAATCTCGATGCAAATGGCAGGTGAGAAAAGGTGCCGTTTGTGCTGCCCTGTTGTCCGAGTGACTGGCAGTTTTTCTATGCAGCGAGATAAAGCATACTTCTTTCTATAGCACTTCCCTCTTTCTATTCTCTTGCTTTTTACAATGTAATAATCTTGGACATTCAATACCTGTCTTTAAAACGAGAACGCACCGCAAGAATTAGACACATGACCTCCTGATTGACCCTCGCGCCATTCATGCATAAGTCAAATCCTGTCAAAATGATCTCTGTCAATGATAGTTCCCACAGCCTCATCACAATCAAGGAATTCAGAGCCAAGCCTCAAAACCTTGCCAGTCATATCTACCTGCGCCCAGTTCTCCGGTATCAACATAAGCAGAAAGAAGTCATCTCTATCGAAGGCTTTCACGTTTATGTCCATACACGCTCCCATACGACGGCCAGGTGGATCACGTGGCCAACATATCACTGATAATCTCCCATTGGATGGACATTCCTTCTCCTCACCACTCATGAGCCATGCAAAGCTATAATCATTTAACTGTCGGGCTCTGCGAATGCACCAAGTCGGGTCGTCTTTCGGGCATAATGCTTCCAGGAACGGGAAGAGGGATGATAAAGAGGGCATGGTAAATACTAAAACAGATCCTTTAGTATGTGGTGCAAAGAACAGACATGGAAACTAATTACCATCAGGGCGATGCATCACCTTGAGGAGAATGAGCTCCAGTTCTTCGGCTTCGTCTAAAAGAGAAGAAAACATCCCTGTAACCGCGTCAACGCTCACCTCGAATGTATTCGCAATATGATCACGAAAGTCTCTTCTCTCGGCTCTATTATTGTTAGAATATCAAAAAACCATTCATAGCGTTTGGTGACTTACCGCGCAAGGACTTGCTTTGCAACTTGGCCCTGTTCAATCTTCCTTATAGCTTCCAGCCTCTGCGGTCTGCGACGAATGGACAATTTATACGGCCACTTTCTAGAGAAAGTATAGGCTGCGGAAAAGTCATAAAGTACCTTATCATAAAAGTCTTCTGGGAGGCGAAAATGACGATCTCCTATGTCACTATGCAAGATGCCAACATTGTGGAGGGCATTCACTCTACGGAGTCGGTTGTCCAAGAGAGACATATACCAGTTCAATTCAAACTGCGTGAGATTTTGGTTTTGAAGTTGCTGTGGGAATTCAAGAACTTTTTGGAAGTCTTCACCGAACTCGGGCGTGCCTAGGATCCGACGAGCTGTTTCATCACGGGTCAATGATTCGAGAACGACGGCTTGATTGCGTGGCTGGAACCGCCTGTCGAATTTGGTCCGCTCAATTGGAATGAGAACCCCGTGGTATTGGGGAAAATAGATCTTTTCGCCCTCACTACACGCACGGGTGATACGTTCGAATGCTCGAGCCTCGTTGAGGAAGTTGTCAAACTCGTCTTGGATGTCCTGCGTCGTGAACCATGTCGAGGGGATGCGGTACCATTGCGCTTGGGCATCATCAAGGGTATATTCTGGAAACTATATCCACTCTGTCAGGTTGGGCTAAAGCCAGGTGAGTGAGAGCTTACGTACCATCTTTGCAGCATAGCTCCGCTTCACCCCGCCCACCTTGCTGTATAGCCGAAGGACCACAATCGGGCTGCCATTGTTCTCGGATAGTCGTCGTCCGAATATCCAGTTTTTATCGGGCACAGGAAAGTGGCGGAAGGTCGAGAGGCCTTGGGGCTTTGAACAGTAGTTCTCTTCAGAAGGAGGTTCTTCGCCGGAGAAGAAGGTCTCGGTCCAAGAGGTATCTAGAGGGGGGATCGCCATCGTGAACTTGCTTCTCGGGAAGCCAAATTATGAGCAGGATCAGTAAACGAGGGCCTTAGGGGTAGATCAGAGGACCCAGGGGATTTATGTTTTCGAATATCTGCTTCCTGCAGGGGGCCGAACCTCTCTGAGCGGGAGTTTCCATATGGTTCATCCAATGGCGAGAACATGTCAGGTCACATTGCATGTACCAAGAGAAAGGCGGTAGGGATAAGACCTAGGCAGCAGCGTGTCTGGATTCCAGGTCTCCGTGACTGCCTAGCTATTGTGCATGATAGTGTAGAAGATTCAGGGTTATCCGCCAAACATTCGCTAAAAGCAAGTTCCGGAGATCTCTATACGAAGCGGAGAATTCCATGAATGAAGCGGAAGATCCCATGATATCGGCCATGAAGATCACGTGAAATATGAAGATAAAACGGCCTATCTTGACCCTTAGTTAGTTGATCAGTCAGTCATGCATTCAATCAAGCAGTCATTGCTTTATTCGATCAATTCAATCATTTTTGACCATTTCAGCAGCCTACCCCTGGCATCCAATATTCCTACAGATGGTTCATCCTAAAGATCACTATCCTAGATATGTATGCGGGAGCAGTTGGATGATACAAGAAAGCCTCAAAATTGTCAAGGGAAATATAATTAAAAATCCGGTTCTCATTCTGAAAATGTATCAACATCAAAATTATCTGCGAACGCTAAAACGGCAGTTATCCCAACCCAGAACACATGAAAATCATGTACACACAAACTCCCTATATAACGGGTGAATTACTTCTGCTTGCCAAGGATTATCTCCTCCAGCACTGCCCTCTCACCGCTACTCTCCACTAGGTTCCTAAAGACGCCGGTCTTGATCTGCATCAGCTCCTTCGGCGTCCCAAATTCAACCGCCCGTCCGGCATCCAAAACGAGAATCTTGTCAAAGTCCGCGATTGTGCTGAGCCGATGTGCGATCACCATTAGAGAGCTGTTGCGGCCAAATTCTGCGCGAATGGATCGCTGGATCAGCGCATCGGTCTCCATGTCCACGGCGGAAGTGGCCTCGTCGAGGATCATGATCTTGGGTTGTGAGACGATGGCCCGCGCCAGGCAGAGAAGTTGGCGTTGGCCTTGCGAGAGGTTATATCCTCCTTCGGAGATGGGAGACCACAGGGAAGCGAAGGCGTTGGCGGGTTTGGGTTGGGTTGTCGTTGCGGTTGAGGAGGCGGAGGACGAGGAGAGCGTATCGCTGCCGCTGAGGGGATCTTGGCTACTGGACTGTGACCCCAGGGTGAGTGTGTCCTCGAAGGAGAGGAGGTGAACGCGTTCGAGTGCGTTGTAGAGCTCTAGGTCTGTGTGCTCGTGGAATGGGTCGAGATTGGACCGAACGGTTCCGGAGAACAGGACCGGATCTTGTGGGATGATGGCGAGCCGGCTGCGTAGGGCTTGGAGTTTGATTTTAGAAATATCTTGTCCGTCGATCGTGATACGGCCTTGTCGGGCTTCGAGGAAGCGGAAAAACGCGAGAGTAAGTGAGGATTTACCGGCTCCGGTGCGCCCAACTACGCCGACGCGTTGGTTGTGCTCGATGGTGAAACTGAGCCCATCCAGGACAGGAGGCAATTCAGGGGCATAGCCCACTTGGAGATCTTCAACGTCAACGTGTCCCCGGGTCGGCCATGCCGCGGGTGGATCGATGCCTCCTTGGTCTTCGGTCTCCATGGCCGTGTATTCGAGAACTCGCTCGGTCGCATTCATGTCCATTTCGACGTTGGCGTAGAAGCGCAGCCCCATAGCCACCGCGTAGTTGTACTGCAGCGCGAAACTCATGGCAAAGCCAGCGAGGGCAGCGGATATAGAGGGAACGTAAACAACGAAGGCCGCAGTGGCGGTCGAAAAGAGGGCTCCCACGATGCTCATCCGGAATCCCAGCCATCGGTTAAACAACCAGAGGTTCCATGCTGCCTGCGCATGTCGGTCAATGCGCTCGTACATCTGACGGATGTATACGTCGACTTTGTTAAACGCGCGGATTGTCGTAAGTCCAACAAGGCTCGACCCGAATTGCTCCATGACGGGGCTTTTGGCGGTGCTTTCCAGGCGTTTCACTTCACGCACGCCACCGAGATAGGTCGAGGACATCTGAACACATACGACAAGGAGCAAGCCAGCGAAGACCATGATAACCGGCGAGACCATAACGCCTGCCACGATAATGCCCACAAGCTCAAGGATTTTGAATACCAGATTGCCCAGGTCGTAGGCAAGTCGCCAATCAAGCATATAGACATCTCCCGTAAACCGATTCAGAATGCGACCGAGAGGAACGGTGTCCAGCCATCGAAGAGGCGCTCGTAGCACAACGGCGAGAAGATCGTCAAACATCTGTCGAGACGAGTGAAGCGATGCAAACGCAAGGGAGAGGGTTCGAAGAGTTCCGACTGCACATGCGGCAACAGAAATCCCAACATACACGCTGAGATAGAAGACAAGGTCGGGATCGATAGACGACTTAGTGGTGCTCAGGGTGTGATGCCAAAGACTGACAGTGTGCACCGGATGCGACGACGTATGCGACGAGCTCGTCCACAGACTCACCCACCAGGACTGATAAATTAGCCAAATTCAGCTCGTGGTGGAATTTAAATACTTACACGGCCGACCAGAAGGGCAGTGAACACAGCATAAGCCAGAAAGGTGAGCGCCCACACGGGCAGGCGATTCCCTTTGCTCACATACGCCTTATATACCCCCCAAGAGATGGCTCCTGTCTCTCGCTTTTCGTCCTGCGTAAACTTCCGAGGACTCTCATCGCTTGCAGCCGGGGGAGGACCAACAGAGGAACGTTTTCGTCGCGAAACTGCATCTTCTTCATCTGCCTGCTGCCTTTTAGCCGCTCTCTCGATGGCCAAATTTTGAAGGACGTCAGTAAGTCCTTGCATCTTGCCCAGGTCTTCCACTGTGCCCGCATGCGACATCGACCCGTTCTCCAGAAGCACGCAGTAGTCAGTACGCGGCAGACACAACCCCACGTGGTGTGTCACCAAAATTCTCGTTCGATCTCGGCCCAGTTCTCCTGTTAAGGCATGCTCGTAAACGTGTCGACCGGTTTCCGCGTCCAGCGCGCTGAAGATGTCGTCCATGACCAAGATTCCTGCGCGAGAGTACAAAGCACGAGCAAAGGACACTCGCCATCGCTGGCCACCGCTGAGGTTGATTCCATTTGCCCCGATGTCGGTCATCTCGCCGTCCGGTAGCATCGTGAGATCTTTTTCCAGGCCAGATGCAAAGAGCACCTTGCGGTATCGAGACCAGTTGTAGGGTAGTCCAAACAAGATGTTATCCTTTATCGTGGCATTCTCGATCCAGGGGTTCTGCGCTACATAGGCGATGGCGGTGTCGATAATCCAATTGTCACACGTGGCACGGTGGTCGAATCGTTCGTCCAGAGCGGGAGCATGTGGTACTGAGACAGATCCAGCCAACACATCACATTCTCCCAGAAGCGAGGCAAGGACAAGACTCTTCCCAGAACCCGTCTTTCCAGCAATCACACTCAAGCCTTTCTGGGGAAATCGCATAGTCAGGTGGCGAAGGACAAATCGGTCGTCACGCTCCCAGTCCTTCTGCTCTTCACTCGACTCATCTGCGGGCCATGAAAGTGTTGCATTTTCGAACGATATCTCTTGGACTTCTCGTGTGTGTGGAGCTTTTTCGGTGGATGTGAGGAACTTTTCGATACGGTCAGTGCTCACCTTGGCCTCCATCGCTTTGGAAAGCAGATCTGGCAAGCTAGCCAATGCGGACTCAAGATTGCCAAATACGGACAATGCCGTGAATGCGACTGAGGCAGACAATTCGCCATGGATCAGTGCGTATACCGTTAGGGAGACTGCCGAGAGCATCAATGGTCCTAAGATCCACACCGAAACCATGCCGGTAGTGTAGAGACTGGTTTTCCACAATAACTTCAGCTCAGTCTCTCGCTTCTGCGTGATGTGGTTTTGCCATTCTTTCTCCAGGGCGGCGAATTTAATCTGGCGGATACCCTGGAGGACCTCCGTCACGGCTGACGTCCGTTTGTCGCTCGCCTTCATCAGGTCCTGCTGCACAGAAGCGTACCCTTTTGTCAGAAACGCGTTGACCGGAGTGACCAAGATAGCTATAGCAACGCCTGCTAGTAGACTGCGCCATCCGATGAGATGCACCAAAAACGCCGAGGCAATGCCGAGTCTCATGAGACACGATGGGATGAGGTAATTGAAGGTGGCGAAATCCGCAATGCGTTTCGAGTCCACGGCAGCCAAATTAATGATACTCTGTCTACTTTTCTCCTGCTCGTCTTCGACTTCCTCATCTCCATCTTTCGTTGATGGTTTCAGGTGCTTGGCGTCTTTGCACCGCATCGACTTAGCAAACACCAAGGCCGATAGTCCCTCGTAGATTGGGATCCACAGTTGGGAGTAGATCAGCCACCATAGCCAGGACTCGATCCCTAGAGACAAGACCAGCAGCAAGCCAAGGGTCAACACCCAAAGCCACGCGGCAGTCACCGGGCCCGACTCGCTTGACCTCCCCTCCAGCGACGTCAGGATACCGTACAAGGCCACCTGCGGTCCAAATCCCAGCACGCAAGTCACCACGCTGAGAATAGTCTGCAGAACCAGGGGGCGAACATTTCCCAGCACCAATGTCTTCCACAATTTCAGCGTCCCTCGGGTCTGTTCCAAACGCGCGTGCAGTGTCTGTGCACGCGCTGCAAAGGGTAACTTCGGCAGATTATCGATGTCCAAGTTTTTGTTCTGTCCCGTGTAGTGGAGTAAAGTGCTGACGTATGTGTAGGTGAAACGGTTGAACGCACTGACTGTGAACTCCTGATCGACCATCTGGCCTTGGAAGTAGATGTTCGGTCGACGCGGGATAAGGGTGCAGCAAAGACCGCGTATCGTTGCCACAGCTGCTTGACTAACAAGCAATCCCGTGGATGCACGGCTAAAGTTGATGTCGTTGCCGTAGCACCACGGGATGAAAATGTTGAGGCCGCATACACCCAGGGTGAGCGTGCTGGCCCAGAACGCGTAGAGACCAAGCGTATATCGTTCCACGGTAGACGGTTCAATAAAGAAGGCTGTCGACTGGACGCATTGTATCATCTGTAGTCGGTCAGCAATTGGCTTCGTCCGTAATGGATCGAATAACCTACCCAGCCTCCTGTCTGCAGCCAAAACGGCACGGCTAAGAAGCTCTGGTTCTTGGACTGAAGTGAAAGAATCGCCAGCGCCAGCGACAGTTCCAATCCGGTCACGGAGAAGATAGTGATGGCGACTTTCTGCCAGGTATCCGAGTACATCTGGAGCGATGCCTCCGACGCCTCGCCGTCCTCATCCTCGTATCCCGATTTGGCGATTGGCGACGCATCCAGGCGGATGAATTGAGAGTCCCTTTCCAATCGACGAGTAGTCTTGACAAATGCAGGCACACTGCTAATGACTATGAACACCAGCACCACAACACCCGTCACGACGGACAGGACTTCCGGATCTGATGCCATTCCTCATAAGGTACGGTCTGGCATTGGAGAAAAGGTGAAGCAGCAGGCAAGCCGGTAATAGGAGAAACAAGGAAAATGAGAATTAGGGAGGGAGCGCAGGGGGGCAGCGAGAAAGCCGGAGAATTGCAGGAAGTCCTGCACATTCCTCACTTCCTGCCGCATTCCTGTGCACCCCTGCCTCAGGCCTTTCCGCCTTCCCGCCTTGATGCCTTCCGCGGCAGAACCGTTGAGAGCCCGCTGATTGGCTGCGGGCGCGTCACCTTGACGCGCCGGCCAATCACCGTCGACATGCGGTCCATTTCCGTCTTGGCCTGAGGCCCCCAAGCCGCCACTTCCCGTGACTCCCTGATTTTGCATCTCCGCATCGCCAGTCGGTCAGATCACCTTAGTTGCACCGTTGTAGCCGTTAGTGTCATGCATGCACATCATCTGCAATCTTTATTGGTAACAGGCTTTGCCTACTTTAGCTGCTTCCACGGCTCTACTCCGTAATCACGCATAATGGCCCACTTCCGATAGGTTTGGCTTTAGTCCCCGTCCGAATCTACCACTTCATGAGTGGCTCGGATGGTTGCATGCGGTCCGATTTGTAATGGCCAGCTGGTGACTGGCTTCAATGATGGCTTGATCTCTGGTGTGTCCTGCGTGGGCCCGTCATCGGAGCAAGGTCCCGGCACGATATATTTTGACGGCCTGGATTATATACAGTCTAGGAAAGAAACTTATTTGGGAATGCTAGATTTGTGATAGTAGTGGGCCGGTTAAGTCAAATCACCAATAATATGTTCTGATAAACACACATGCCAGTTTTCATGGTTGTACCGCTTTATCCGCCTCCTCATCGGCCTGTTACACTTCGTCGGAGTCATCTAGCATTCGAATCAAACTGAGCTAGTTCGGACTCACCGCTAGATTATCGTAGCTTAGTTTCTGTCTTCATTGTCAATATTTGACGTTTATACTTGTCGCAAAACCATGGTACCTGGTACTCATCAGACTAACACATATGGCTGAAAATAATTGTGATAAATAGACAGTAGATAGTCGACTCATCTTTTACTTTCCCTAGATCTCTGTTAGAGGAACATCTTTGATCTTTCATACCCGTGAACATAAATCTGGGGACAGCTGCAGGTGTCCGGGCACAAATCGCTTGGGGTGGGACAAGAAACGCATCTTGCCCATGGGGCGTGACCTGATGTTTACCCTTCATATCCAATGAGGAGCGACATATTACATATCGGAGCCGGGCTGGAGAATGGCCTGATGATGAATGATCTCAATACTTTGATTCCTAGAGTGATTTACCGAATGTAGGGTTCGGTGGCTCAGGTGACCATTGCATGCGACGCTACCTCCATTGCCGTCATTCAATAAACATAATCCATCAATGTTATTCCCCTTTGAGACAAATGAGCGCTAGAATCGTTTTTCGCTCTCGGTTTAGACTTGAATCTCGGTAGCAGCTCGAGTCAACGTTACGTATGTGCATGCGATAAACCTGCTGTGCATTCTGTCAGCCCCGCCGCTGCTTTGTTGGCAGAGCGAAGTGTGCAGGAAGCAAACAATGTCGTGTAATTCGTGCGCCGTGGAATATAGAATGTGGGAAATCGGCTCGATCACTATTCGAGTATGCCATGACCGTAGCATTAATTCGCTTGTTCTTGGTGGTGACACGAATGCCAACAGTCAGACCAGGCCGAATGAGTACCCTCTCCCACCACGTATTGGTTAAGATGTTTAGGGAAGCAATTGGATCTAGAGAAGTGTTATAACTCAGTGACCACATTCCTGTAGACTTTGGCTATCTGTGGTTTTCGAAGGTCTGGGTTAGAAGGTGAATGAAGGGTTGCAACTGAGGATAGAGAGATGATTAAGCCAAAGATAGTGAATAGCGTACAGAAGGAATGAGGAGAGTATATTATAGAGTAATAATATAGTGTATTCGAGGAAGTATCTCTGCCACCAGTAGCCCAAAATATCAGGAATCAGACCTCCGTGAAATAATAGTAAGGTTATGTCGTCTCATAGTGAAACTGCAAGTTGAACCACTGAAAACAAGACAATTACCTGCAATTAGTGCTTAAAGACATAACATTAGGGCTGCCTACGCTTGTTCCAAGGTCGTCGATGTATTTTTGGAGCTCGTTAGACGAGGCCAATGTATAAATAAGGGTCGCGATCTCTAGGAGGACGAGCGATGTTTGGAAGAAATCGATCTCGGAAACTCCGTGAGATATAGTCGGCAAAATATTTCTACACATTCATTTTCGAAATTTCTTTTTTGCCATCGCGCACCAACCTTACTCGGGGATGCAGAATCTCAAATCGTGGCCCATGAACTGCGATTACTAACGGTAAATCTCGTAAGATTTGCCCGAATAAGATAGGAAAAGGGAGTGTATTGTTGTATTGGGAGTGTATTCGTAAGAAATAGAAACTGTAAGCTGCTATCATCGACAAAGTCGTCGGAATAAAGGCTGACAGTGATCTAATCTATAAGACCAACGATGGTGCTCGCACCCGACACATATGACAAGACAAGTGGCTTTGCAAATTCAAAGATCACAACATTCCCTGACTGCTAGTGGGAAACCTCGAGTCGAAGTCGCCCTACCCAGTCAGGCTGCTCCTACTGGTGTGGCACAATACGCGCTGTTTGTATTCCTGGAGCATGCCATTGCTATAAGAGCTGACAAGTTCATGATCCATAGAACAACCCTCGATCAGATCGCAAATTGGGCCCGACAGAGCTCCTTATATCCGATGACATTCGGTCTTGTTTGTTGTGCGGTGGAAATGATGCAAATGGCTGGCCCGCGGTATGATGTTATCGCTTGGGTCTTTTGTTTTGAGCGTCGCCCAGGCAGTCAGACCTGATGATCGTGGCGGGCACCTTGACCAACAAAATGGCACCTGTTCTGGATTTTATTTGCATATCAGTTTGATATTCCATGACTAACCTTGTCATGAGTTCAAAGGTCCACCGACCTCCGAGGCTTTGATATACGGGATTTTCCAGATTCAAAAAAAGATACGGAGGAAGCAGACGACGCGTACGTGGTATGGGCGATAGGTGCATACACTCTGGTTGGCTGTGTGTGTAATGATTGAGCCAACATCGGCTATATAGCGCGTATCATGTTCGATATTGAGTGTATCATAGCATATTTCATTCTGATACTTGTAGTTTCGAGACTTAGGATTCGATCAATTCACGTACGACGGATGTTGGCCGAGCGCCAAGAAATGGGCGGATCAACAGATCCTCCGCATTTTTGGCCGCAAGGGGGTCGTGGCGGCAAAAAGTCCACTTTGTTATTCTTCTAGCCATTTTGGAGTACAGAGTCGCACTGAGCTTGCAGTTGTATCCCAGGCATGGGGGTATGGGGCTTGAATCACGCATATGGCTCATCGAAAAGCCACGCGTAAGTCACGCCATGGGTGTCTCCAATGTAAGCGTAGAAGTGTCAAGGTATCATCTCATTTCCGCGAAATCCCGGCCGTAGGCAATCTCAATTGATGCGACACTTAGTGTGATGAGAAGCGACCCAAATGTACCAAATGCGAAGATCGCCTAGATGACTGCCAGTATGGTTCTTCCGGCCCGTGGCTCTGGACGAATCCTGGATCCGCCGAGCACAGCTCTACGGCTTACTCCGAGGTGGTCTTCCACTCGAATACATCACCTGCGAGTGATTGTATAAATGGGGCAGTCCCTCAAGCTGTTCCATCTGCCGGATCCGCTGCCGGAGATTCAAACCATCTTCACTCTAGGCTCCTCATGCATTGGAAGACAGAAACTGCCCCTCCATATCTAGAAACGACTCGGACCTTCAAATATGTAAGACAGCAGTTCCCAACGAGGCATTGTCTAACCCATATCTGTTACATGGCATTGTTGCCGTTTCAGCAATCCACCTTACGATTGTCAATTCTCAAGATATCGAATGCGAGCAATGGATCAGAATGGCTGAACATCTTTGTTCTCTCTAGTCTTTTAATCGGCTTCGCTTTCGCTTTCCACCTCGCCGTCTCTGGGCCAGGTCACGAAATATCCGATCCTCTCGGCGAAATGACTCAGATCATCACGCTGATAAAATCAACCATGAATTTCTCGGCTCCGTTACTTACAGATGCCAAATCTGACGAAATGGGTCAGTTGACTCATGTTGAAGAAGCCAGTCCAGGCTTATCCGAGATATCTCGATCGGCAATATCGAATTTATACGGGCTCAACACTACACATGTTTTTGAGGAGGAGAATCGTCAGGCTTTTCACTCAGCCATATGTCTTCTAGAAGACCATTTTGCTAACATAGACGGCGGCGCGGAGCCGGTTTCGAAGACCTTCATGTGGATGGATGAAATTGCATCTAATTTTTCTGATTTATTGCGGGAACGTCACCCCTTTGCGTTAGTTATATTCGCACATTACTGCGTTATGCTTCCTCGACTACGATAGCTATGGTGGATTTCATCATGGGGCCAGAGGGTGCTTCTTGCGATCAATCGGGCATTGGATCAGGAATGGCGGCCTCTGATAAAATGGCCATTTGACGCGACTGGAATCAATTGGTTGGAACAATAGAGGATGTTGACGAATGGTGTCGGGCCCTAGCACATCAGCAATCATTGAATGGTATGGTCGAAACGATATCTGATCTCTTGCAAATTGAAACCCCGATATATTAACTATTAAATTTGATGCAGACTAGGTGACCTCACCGGCTTGAATTGCCTCTTAAGCCAAAGGAAAGACAGTTAAAAAGGAAGAAAAATGTATTACTCCAGATATCCACAAGATGATAAATGCTCATAATCTACACTATATACACATCATATTTACACCATTGACACGCAATGGTCAACCCAATTGGCCCGATCTTGACAGGCAATTAGGAACTCGAAGGCGTCCGGGGGTCTTGCCAAAGCGGGTCAATAAAATACACAAGGCCATGAGCCACTGCGGCCGCCAATGGACCGACCTATCCTTTTGTTAGAAAGAATTGACAATGAGCTGCCTGAATAAGAGAATGAACGTACCCAATGGATCCAATGGTACCCAGGAAAGCTTGACGCCACGTAGGCACCGAAGCATCGGGCGGGATTTACACCTAACGTTGTCAGTCCCACTTCAACTCCATTGAAGAGATAGAGGCAGTGGTATGATAGAGTACTCACTGGCACCGATATATCCGTCTCTAGTCCACGCTGTTCCCCATGTCACAACACCCAGCACGACGCCCACGAACCACGGCGCGGTCGCATGTCCAAACACCTTTGCCTGTCTCGGATCTAGCGCTACTCCAAATGCCAAGAAAATTAAGATCAAGCACGCCATGAACTCAATGATCAGCGCATCCTTCACGGGAACCAGCCCCGTATCAATATAGCATCCACCCACGGTGAACGTGCGGGTGCCGTACGCGCTATGAAGAGCAAAGCCGGCCAGTGCACCGCCCAGCGTCTGGCCCACCAGGTACAGAACCATGCGCGGAAAGGAGATGATGCGCGCAAAGAAGGTGGCTAGCGTGATGGTGGGACTGATGTGGCCACCACTAGACGGGCCGAAGGTGTAGATTAACAGCGGCGTGAGGAGCAGGTTGGTGATACCGCCGAACATGGGCGAGAAGAAGGTGAGGGTGGCGTAGATACCGGCCTGCGATTTAGGGGCGCCGTCGTTGGATGGGGCGTGCGTGGTTACCCACGCTGTGATAAAGACGTTCATCATGCTGGCTGATTGGGCCGTGTTAGCCTTCATTCTTCACTATCTGCATGCCTGCTGATAAGAACGAACAGGGGCGGGAGATAGGGTTTGGTAGTTGCATTTGCATTGGGTTTCAGGTTTCAGATGGTTATCTCGACGGGGCGATTCCGTAGAGATAAGGAAATTGGGTATAAAAGCAGAAGGATTCCTTACCGACACATTCTAATAGTGCAAACTTCCATAGATCAGCACTGAGGAACCCTCGGAAGTCGAAGACCTCTCGCAGTGTCATACACGGTGCCGCATCGGGCACCTTTTCCAACACCTTCTCATTCCGAGGATCGTTCCTGTCAACGACAAAGTCCTGGTTTCCTCCCAAGCGTCCGGCGAAGGGTGGGATCGTCGAGGGCGTCAACGGCCCCTGCTGCTCTTCGTGTTCGTACTCAGGCAGATAAGCCACCATGATGGGAAGGTCAATTCCGGCGCTCGAGATAAGCTGGCCGCGAACTTAGGGGAAGGAAGAAGGAGAGAGATCGATAGCCAAAGCTGACATGGCAGATAGTTATCTCACGATATAGTCAGACACGTCGGGACCGCCCGGATGGGATTCTCTCATCGCCAGCAGCGTGGCTTCTCGCCAACAGACTAGATTCACTTGGTATCTCGGACTTCGTGATTTGCTTTCTCGGCTCGGCAATCCGACTTTCAGCGGGTCTCTCCTCGAGTCTTGGCGAGATAAAGCTGACCTTCTAGAAACCGTTGGCAAATTCAATTATGTCGACTGAAACTGGGTGGCCAATAAGGGTGGATCAGGTCCGAAGTTATCGTCATTCCCAAGGATCAAGGTTGCGCCACCCCGAGGAAAAAGGGCTTTGCCGTCCTCGGACCATACTTTAATGCTGCAAAAGCCAGCGTTACGGCTGATGAAGACCATCGATTCTACCGAGTGGACTGATTACCGTGGTTGTGAGCCATATTCCCTCACATTGTGGCGGCTCCTCCTCCGGTTGTCTGGAGATTTCGATGTTTTGAAGGGATTTTTTTGTGACCTCTGAATCTCTCGACCGAATGGCGAATGCGCAAAAAATGGAGCCCGCTTATTGTCTTTCCCTCCAAGCAATCAACGAACGGGCCAAAGGATCCAGACTGGAAAAATGTGGAGAAATTCATCATTGACCGGAGTCAGGGGTTTTCAAATTGAGAAACCATCCTGAAGGTCTATGCGTCCAATCCAGGAACGAGCCCTATCGACCAACCGGAACACGATAAGCCTAGGGGAATACTGTAATACAACATATTATTTGGTAAATGACAGTGGTTGCCATCATCTCATCCAACATGTCATATTGAGATCGCGCGTTCCTCTAGGGCTCGGTCGGTCATGCCTGCCTCCCGCTCCGGTTTCCGGCTTTCGGAGTTAACCGTCGATCTGGCCATGACGCGGTTGAACGTCGCTTACGGGCTTGGAGGCTTGGAACACCGGTGGTTTGCGTTCTATTGCGCCGGGGATGTGATACGCATTGAATTTTCCAAGGGGGATTTGAAGATTGTCTCCCTGGCACGGCTTGAGATGCCGGACATGCCGCTGTTTTGGAGACACCTGACGATCGGAGAAGCTTGTTTGGGGAATATGCATGGATTAGAGACACCGGCCCTGTTGGAGATCCACTTAAGAAACATGATTCAGGGCGCCGTACGGATTCTTGTCATCCGGACTCCTGGGTCGGGTTGATTCGGAGGACTCACTACGGTTTGGTACTTCGTGCTTTACGAGTGCGAGGAGAAAATCACGGAGTAGGTACTGTACATTGGCTGTCAATTAGTATCCCTAGTCCCTACATTCTTCACCATTTTCGGAAAAGACGTGGGGGTATTCCAGTCAGGGAGGCGTGCACCAAGTTCCAACCCCCTTGATTTGACATTACTCACAGGTCGCGCGCGAGATCACAGGAGAGATGATTGGTGATACATTTTATGTGTCATTCTCGCGGATTCATGAAAAGCGATGAGACTGAATTTTACGCTCTGAACAAGGGCCAATTGACCCAATCAGGCGATGAGATGCGCTTCTCGGCCGATAAGGATGCCTGAAATTACAGGCGCCGAGGTGAGAATATCGTCGGATATTTCTAAATCAAAAATTCTAGTAATTATTAGTCGTTACATTTAATATCTCTATTAAGTCTCAAAGTTCTTAAGATAAAAATATACAGTTAGCGGGCTTAACCTGACTAGAAACTATTATCTTCTTTTTTCATGAGGCCTTGGCTTGTGCAAGTCCTTCGCCAGAAACCTGTATGGCCCGTCAAGGTTTGTATCGAAGAAAACCGGGCACATCGCCGGGACAAGCATGAAGGTTGGTTCATGTGAGCGAATGCACTCGTTTACCACTTTCCATGGTTAATAAAACTTGATTGCTTGATGTGGTTGGCATATTTGGCAATCTGCGTTTCACGGCCTTGAAATCGGAAACTTTTTTTATGCCATAAGAAAGGGTTGTTGAAGTCATCCGCGGCTTTTCAAAAACCTGATTATCCTCAGAACATTTATTTTTTTCAGACTGCTGGTCACAACTTTCTCAAAATATGGTAGTGGAGCCTCGAATTCTCGTCAGGGCAGTGATCTTTTCTCAAGATGTCGGGCAAGATTTCTAGTGATCAAATTGAAGCCTTGAAGCTTCATCTTGGCAAAGGTACGGCCGTCATCTGCCCTGAAGACCAAGGGTATGAAGAAGGTCTAAAGAGATGGTCTGACATCGCATCCAGACCAGCTGTATGTCTCTGTATATTCTTCTCCAAGTGCGCTGTGCTGATCTTAACTAGGGCGTTGTGCTTCTTCCCGATAACGCCGACGATATAGCAAGAGCCGTTCGCTTCGCCAAAGACAATCATCTCGACCTCGCTGTCAAATGTGGGGGTCATTCCACCGATTCGTCCTCCTCGAGTGATGGTGGTGTATCGATCAATTTTGCGCGCCTGAACAAAGTGCGAGTAGACCCGCTGGCAAAGACTGTCACTGTGCAAGGGGGTGCGCTATGGGAGGATGTGAATAACGCTGCGGCCCAGTTCAACTTGGCTGTAGTTGGAGGAACAGGGAGTCATATTGGCGTTGGTGGCCTTACTCTTCGCGGGGGCAACGGGTTTTTAACCCCACAATATGGAATGGTCATTGATAGCCTGCTGTCTGCACAAGTGGTCGTCGCAGACGGTCGACAACTGACGGCTTCTGAGAAGGTAAACCCAGACCTATTCTGGGCTCTCCGTGGAGCGGGTCAGTGCGTTGGGCTCGCCGTTGAATTCACGTTCAAGGCTCATCCTCAGGAAAATAATGTCTGGGCAGGGATTGTCACATTCCCGGGCGACAAACTCGCAAGCGTTGTCGAGATGCTGGATATCGTTTCGAAGCACCCTGAAGGCAAGGCGGCTCTCTTATGCGCGATCGCAATATGTCCAATCAGTCATGAACCGGTTGTGAATATAATTGTCTTCTTTAATGGAAGCGAGAGTGCCGGTCAACGGCACTTTGCACCACTGCTTGACCTGGGATATATTGCCTTCGATGTCAGTATGAAACCCTACCGTGACGTTCCGGCAATGCTAAACGCCGCTGCCCCTGAAGGTGGTCGTAAGTTTTCCGGTGGGATCTTGTTCAGCTCGCCCTTAAAGCCCTCACTGGTATGTAAACTAATAGATGAGCTCAAACGCAAGATTGAGATTGAGCCAGAAATGGGCAAAAGCTCCATACAAATGGATTGCATCGATCTATCTGCCGCTGTTAAGGTTCCTATAGCATCAACTGCGTTTCCTAGTCGCCATCTACTGGTAAACGCAGCTCTGGTGTTGCAGTGGACAGATGAGAATAAGGATGCTGAGATGATAAAATGGGCGTCCGAAGTCAAAGAGATGTTTGACATTGAATTGAAACGCGAAAACCACGAGACATCAAGTTTGGTGTCTAACTTTGTTAGTTATACCCAAGGTAAGAAAGAGAACCTCACATACAACGCTCTACGTTGTCCTAATCATTCGTTCAGAAACGAAAGTGTCCCCGGGAGAAATGTTTGGAATCAATGCCGAGAAACTACTCGAAACCAAGAAGCAGTATGATCCGGAAAATGTGTTTCGCAAGCTGAATCCCCTCTTTTAACGCACATGACCTTTGTAGCTATACTGGGAGTATTGAAAATTAGGATTGGAAGTATCTTCAATCTCCAGTGTGTCAGTATTGTGTCAGTCTTTATTGAATCGCTTCTTAATTATCACCCTTTCTTGTCTACACTTCCAAATCGCAGCGGATATTAAACACATTAGATGACACATAAACAACCAAACCTGGAACCCTTACAAGAATGCTCCTATTGTCCATGCCCAAGTTGACATTCTAAGCGGGAGAAGAAGAAACAGAAACAAAGAAACAGAAAGAACAGAAGAGAACAGAAGAGAACAAAAAAAAGGTCTGATTCAGTTGGAATTGGAATTTGATGGAAGGTCAGGGAAAAGGTAAAGTCGGTAAAGGAAGTCTATTGATTATGGTGAAATGGTCAATCTTCACTTGACCATGGATCCTCAAATGGTGCCACGTCGAATGGAAGCTCCTCTTCAGATGTGAACTCGTTGTGAGATTCTTCTGGCGCTTTGTTAGTGGCATTCCTGGCCAGGTAGAGACCGAATTCGTCGCCTTCAGACAAATAGGGAAACTCTATGGGTTCGTCGCGGTCAGCTTGCTCGAGGGGCCGGATCAACTCCTGAGCCATTGCATGCGCTACCTTTTTGATAGTGTCATCACAGAGATCGGGAACTCCACAAAAGTCCAAGGCCATAACCAATATGGTATACGGCACACCATTGCGCGAATCGGCCGCATCTTCCACAACAGGGCGCTGACGCAGCTCAACACCAATAGCCTTGGAAACTGCGCCTAGACGGTTAAGCGGCACATTTGGGTCCAAATATAAGTTGATATCGATGAGATAGCGAACGTCGTCAATCAGCGGTGGGTCCGAGCCAAGTTCGATCTTCTCGGCGTTCCTTTCTTCTAGCTCTTCGGGCGTTAAGTTTCGTTGTTCATAGAAGATCTCGACGGCAGACATGACAAAAACCCGGTTGTTGTCGAACGCAAAGAATATCAAACGAACTAATCCAGAAATTTAAGTGACTTAATGACGTCGATCGGAGGAAGCACACGGGGCTTGCCTAAGATAGGCACAGTCCATGTGACTGATGGGCTCTATATATGCTTGTGAGCGATTGGAAGAATTCGGGTCTATCCGGTACTAAAGTTACAAGGGTATGAGACTAAAAATGCCAAAACTACACGGATATTTCGATTTGTACTTCTCTTTGACATATGCAGACCATAATATCCTCTAATTCCAGCCCATAACCTACTAATTCGAACTACCAAAATAGGCTTTGCATCTTAGCTGTCTACAGTATGTAGCGGAGCCTCCCTTGAAGAGGGCCGGGCCGGAAGTCTGAGTCATGGGAGCCCCAAGCATGGGCATCTAAGGGAGACTATGAGGCCATGTATGGCAATCTCAATGTTCTGTGATACCTTTCCGCGATACAGTGTCCGACAGGTTCTCTTTTTGGAATTTCAAGAACAGGGACTAGGCTATTCTCCTCAAGGCTGCCCGATTTTGTGGGTTCAACCTGTGCAAACAGCCACCAAATGATCTCTATGAAAGAAAAACGATCCCACTGCACGCAATTCATAGGGCGTTCTTGAAGGTAAAGATGGCTTTTATAGTGGGCCTGACATTATAAAAATGGCATAGACTGGCTTTTAACAACTTATTTAATTATTTCAGACGGTAGACTTATAGCCCGCTTATGTTCAAGTAACCAGTACCAGAAAGGAAAAGGCCCGTGCTGAATCTGTCTTTCGCAGACGTAAACTCGTACCCACAATCATGATAGAATCCATAAGTAGGGCATCCCCAAATCGTGCATATATCTCTGATACTCACGGAAGAAGCTCAAGCCAAAATCACCTGCATTGTATGGATATTGAACATTACCTCCTGTGTTCACTATACGATCCGCATAGCTATTCGTAAACTCATAGCTCCTGTTTCCGCAACTTTCATCGCTCATCCATCCCTGGACTTGGAAGCTGAAATTCATGCAGATAACATAACACATGTGCTGGTGATTCTAAGGACTGGGTGGAGCGACTACCCCATTTTCGGTCCGCCGATTAATCAATCGCAAGATCTCCCGGCCAACCTCCCCCAGGTCCGACGTATTAGTATGACGGTCAATGCAGAAATTGATTTGCGCGAAGATAATATGCACCTGGTTGTTCTCTTCGTTTCCACCACGTGCAGTGTTGCTCGTGACGATGTTTGGACGCCGTTGACCCTGGGGATACAGGAGAACTCTCTGAAGGGAAACCTGTGTGAGGGACATTTTGGACGTGGTAGCTTTGTGAGTTTGGGTGCAGACTCAGAGATAGCTCTCAAGACTAATGGGGTATCTAGAATTCAAATGCTGAGTGTAAAATGAAAGTCTTCTGTGCTGGCAACATCCAGTATCGGCTAAATATGACTGTTGAGTCGTGTAGCTTATCGAACCGGAGCTTTCCAATTAAAAGACAGATCTTGAAATGTTCCAATTAGGATGAGACTGGCTGATGACCAACCAAATTTATCAAGCCATTGAAAAGAAAGTCTACGATACTGAGCATCATGGAAGCGAGTAGATATTTATATCGATTCCAACGGATTCAACCAGCTGGTTGTTGGATTCTTCTTTTCAATTCGTTTTATATACTATGCTTAATTTTAAAGAAATTCAAAAGGTCCTACTGCTGGGCCAATTGCAATATTCTCACGTCTTGAGGCCTAGCATCAAAAGTTCAACTGCTTATAAGCGCTTTCTATAGGTAAAAGCAAAAGTCGGGAATGTACGTTGCCAAGATGCTTTTGTGTCTAGGAAAGAAGCATCCGGATCTACAGGCTATTTTGGGGTGAGCACCATTAGGTAGCTTACGTCTGGGATTAATTATTAGAAGCTATCTAGTGCATAGTACAACCAATCTAATGACAGAATTCAAAACAATCAATTTTCAAAGGCAACAACTTGACCAATGCTCATTTTCAATGTTCGCTAACTGACATCATATGAGAACAATTAAATATCTGGATCGGAGGTGGGGAGACGGACAAGCCGATTGGGTCGAGGATCACGATTCTGAAGACGGACCAGGGTTAACATAAGACCAGTTGTGACGAAAGGATACTGGATTCGAAGATCTGGATGACATTGCACCAATCTGGAGTTGACGGCCTCAAGCGCCCTTCGGTTGAGGTGCCCTTGGAACTCACGCGATCTTGACGAGTATCTACCGTCATCCTTAAGAGCAACTATCATGGCACGACATTCGTGAAGATGGTTTTCAGGCACCGCACGGGGGATGCCGGTATAAACACGATCCTCAAGAACGTGTCGAAGGTATCGACCAACTTCACGCCGTATGTTGACGTTGAATCTAACATTCTCAGGATAACAAACCGAGATACTGACAAGGCTGCGTGGTGGCGAGAGATCTTGGGCCAGCAGACGTTCGGAGGCAGCCGTAATGAGGTCTCGCTGGCGTTGTTGGCTCGCCGCAGTGCGGGCCTGCTCTTGAGCCCCCTCTTCCTCTTCGTCGTGTCTAGAGCGACATGGACTACAGAGATCTACCATGTTGACTATTGCGGTCAAACAGCGGAAGATATCTAGGCAGCTGATGACGGAGAGTGAGACTTTTTTGGAAAAGTACCAAGTCCAGAGAGGCTCTAGCTTTTAAGTATATCTTTGGACCGCTAAATCCCTAATAGATCATGGTGAACACCCAGAAAGAATACAAGTAAATGGAAGACGTCGGTTGATCTGAAGAGTTGAGACCTAAAGCTCGGTCTGTGAAAGAATAAAGCCCTGTCGGATAAGAAACAGGGTTGGTTGGTTTACAAAGGTGTAACAGGAATGAACCGGTTGTAGGACCTTACGCTTTGTGATATTAGGTGCCACCTTCCTGGAATAATATTTGATATCGTAAAGAAAATGTCTTTGAGAGGCCAAAGAACAAAGTACGGAGTTCACAAAAAGGAATAATAACGGGTACCAAATTTCTCAGGTTCGTGTGTCTGTGGACTAGCCTATCGTAAACAACACCCCAGTCACGAGATAGAACTGCCTCGCTTTGGCAATGCTAAGCTATCATTCACAATGAATGCCATTACCTTTGGAACTATCTCTACTATTTGTTTCAGATACTTGAAAACCGTCTGCTAGAACCTCATGAATAGGCTGTGACGCGTTGTGGTGTGGTGTGTTAAGGTATCTCGATAGCGTATCGAAATGTCTATCAGGTAAAGTTGACAGACTCTAGATTAACTCCTAGTTCGATAATAATATGAAAAGTCGTCTTTGAAAGATCACACGCGCAATTGTGATTATGGATTTCCTGCGCAGCCGGTCATAAATTGTCGAAGGTCTTATGTATTGTAATCAATGTGAGTTTTTTCCGGTCTCCACGAATATGCTAAGGGAAGTAATTAATTTATTGGGAGGGTTGATATACCATTAAACGATTTTGGGGGCACTTCGCTTGCATATATCGGTTCAGAAAGACAAGTCTAGGCCAAAAATGGCGTTCCATGCTGCCGCTAACTGCCAGACAGGCAGCTTTACAGGGGTTTGGCGAGTGCTGGTACCTCTCAGGAAAATTAATCTCAGCTTTTCAGTCTGCCGCACACTGTTCATACGCAGATTTGCTGTCTCTCGATCCTCATCGAGGCATATATGCGAAAGCTACTACGGGCCTTCACAACTATATATAATATCAAGATACAGGAAGAAGTCATTGTGACCTCCTGAAGCCAGGGAACTTCCCAGTGCGGAGGAACGTTCTGGTTAGTTAGTATAGGATCGAGGGACCCTCCGGTTGGCATCCAGGAAGGTTCCTGGATGCTCTGCAGGCATCATATAGAGGCTCTGGATCCTCCCTCCTAGATAGCCTTTCTTCCCCATGGGAAAATTCTTTGACTACGAGTCATAAACAAACTTGTCTTATACTAAGCTCCTTTTTAGACCGCCACAAAAATAATCTTTATTACAGGCTAGTTACGAAACACTAGGTTGAGGAAAGAAGAAGAAAAAAACAACGATTTACTGCTTGAAGTAGTAAAAAAACCCATTATATAGGACAAACGAATCAAACAGTGCAAACTATGCAAATACCCTGAGAAGGGTAACGCTCGGAGCGCAGGTCGTCACAATCTGCTAGTTTCTCGCAACTGTTGTATTGTCAGATCATTTCTTACTCTCTTTTCCTTTCTTCCTCATGTTTGAAATTCTCGTTGTCAGCTGCCTAGGTCAGGTTAGTTGAATATAACGATCCTAGACTGAGCCCTTCACATTAGATATATATTATGAATTTATGATCATGTGGAGTAAAATCGGCATATTGTTAAATAGCTAATCCTAATTAAGTAATTTTGACGATTTGCCGATATGGTATCGTCAAAATGGGCAAATAGGCAAATCGTGAACAGCCCTGATTGCCATGGCAGAGCCATTCTATTCCAGCACACATTGTTGAGAGAGAAGTAAACTGTCAATTGACGTGGGAAGTCCTCTGGTCACTACAAAGCGTTGTTGACAGGAGCATGGACGAGAGCCTCGGCACGGCCCCCGGGCACGTGAGCGGTGTGCCCGAAGTGGTCTAGCGCGGGCACGGGACGGGAAGGCCGTTAACCGGCGGTGGGGCTCCGCTGATCTCTCCGCATTTCACCGACTCTTCCCTCCCGGATCCCAACGGGTCGTCAGAAACACGGTACCGAGACCTCTTCAGCGGCTTGTGAAGGCGGCTGAATACCGAAGAACCCGAGGGAACCGAAGCAGCTCTGCAGTGTGCGCCATCAATTTCCAATCATGCCGGCAAAATGGAGAACCAAGTCGGGCTGCTTGACATGTCCGCCCTTCCCCTGACCCTGCCACATGTCGTGACCGACAGCACTGACAGATGTCCATCTAGGTCGCACGCGGCGCAAGAAATGTGACGAGGAGAGCGGCACTTGTCGAGCTTGTCGTCGGAACCTCTTGACCTGTATCTGGCCATTGAAGGGGGCTGTGGATACCGATTCGACAGCGATTGTGAAGAACACGTCAAGCATCGACATTGCGGCCCATTGCTTAACCACGTTTCATAATCGAGCCGAGGAGTCACTATTCACATACTTTGCTTCAAGTGTATTACCACACCTTCTCATTCCGGGGACGCCGCGGGCATCGCGTGATGACCTACTGGCGATGGGCATGGCCAGTCCTCCGCTCCTGAATTCGCTCCTTGCCTGCGCTGCGTTGTTCCAGTCGGGGACGGAGGAAAGCAGAATGCGCGAAGCTCTGAAATACTACTCAAATGCGCTCGGAATCACGCGATCGATGATTGAGAATTCAACACTGGAAGGAACAGAGGACTGGCTGTTGGTTGCAACGTTAGCCATGTGTATTTTTGAGGTGAGTTTGAGGATATTGAAGCAGCTATTGTCATTAAGAGGCTTAGCGCTCTGGTACTAATATTGTTAAAGAGAGCCCAGCCTGGACCATCCTGCGGTGCAAGCAGCCACTTACTTGGCGCGTCGCGCATCATGGCCATGAAGATGGAAAGGGCCGCTGAATTTGAACCAGATGAAGAATCAACTAGGGGAATGACTTGTTCTGCATCCTTAATATACCATGCCTCGACAATGACGCTCATGTCTCCGACCACTATGTCAATTGCCGATTCGGTATGCTGGGACCAGGTCCAAGAATATCTCGAGACAACTCAGCAGTCACCACTAGCTATGCCCCCGGCGCTATGTCGCATAATGCTGGAAATATCCCAGCTCGCAAGCCGAATCCCGCTCAGTTATGATGACAGACTGCTGGTGTGCTCCCTGCGGCTTGAGCTCAGTGCGTGGCTGATTCCGCAGTCTGGTGCTGACGGAGAGAACGCGGCACCCGGGACGGATATTCAAAAGGCAGCGGAGCTCTATGCACTGACAGCCGACATCGTCCTTATGAAGATAGCGCAACCTGACGTCGGCGCAGGGGACAGCCGGATTCAACAGCGGGTCAAACAGATCCTGAGCAATCTGAAATCGGACGTACAGGGGATATTTTGGAATCAACACTATTCATGGCCGTTTACGATTCTCGCCTGTACTGTGCAAAAAGAGGCCGAGATTGTGTTTTTACTAGGCCGACTACAAAGAATGTGGGAATGCTCACATTGGGGAGACATCAGACGGACAATTCATCTTTTGGCCAGTATTTATCGACGACGAAAGGCATCTGGGCAGTTTAATTGCCCAAAGAGCCCAAACTCAGAAAACACCGTTGAGCCGTTTGATTTACTGATTCGACCCGAAGGTATCTCGAGTCTTATAGGGACATAAAGCGCAATTCTTGTCTACAAATCAACGATACCCCCACGGCGACCCCCAACGCAAAGACCACGAGATTCATTCTAATTATGTGAATCGTTCAGTGTGAACCGAATGCTAGGCTATGATACCGTGAGTGTGAGTGGGTAATGTACAAATCACATCGCCTCATAGCTTGGCCGCCGGAAAGTTGATGAGAACAGCTTTTGCCTGCAAATAGCTCAACACCGCTGCCCGGCCACCTTCATAACTACCATTTCCGCTCTGCTTCCAACCTCCTAAGGGCTGATCATAATCCGGCTGGTGATTGGAGTTGATCGCGACCGCCCCGGCCTGAATACGTTTGGCAAGTCGCAGTGCCCGGGGGATATCCTGGGTGAATACGCATGAAGAAAGTCCATAAGTTGTTTCGTTCGCCAGGCTGATTGCCTCGTCTTCCGTTTCAAAAGAGCGAACGCAGACAACTGGACCGAATATCTCTTCCCGCCAGGCAGCCGAGTCAACAGGTGGATTAAGCAGAATGGTTGGCGTCACGAAATTCTTGTTAGCTTCGCCCCCGGTTAGAACCACAGTCGGGCTTCCGCTTTCCGTTCCCTTGACGAGGGAGACAATCCTGTCTTTTTGGCCGGCATCGACGACCGGGCCGAGGAAGGTGGAATCCTGGCTGGGATCGCCTGATGCCCCCGCGAGCGCCTCGAATCTTGCCTTCAACCCAGTTACAAAGGAATCAACTATAGATTTATGCACCAACACCCGCGATGCGGCCACGCAAATTTGTCCCGAATGAACGAGGAAGCTCTGCGAAGAGTGCAATAAGGCATTTTCCAGGTCGGCGTCGTCGAAGATTATCGACGGGGACTTGCCGCCCAGTTCAAGCGTGACTCTTTTCAAATTGCTCTGGGTGGCCGCGACCTGAATCTTCTTTCCGGTCTCCACTGAGCCTGTGAAGCTCAGCCGGCCGATGTCCATGTGCGACGCTAGAAGTGCGCCCGTCTTTCCGTCCCCGTTCAGTATGTTGATGACGCCGGGCGGGAAACCCGCTTTGACGATCAATTCCCCGATCTGCAACGCTCCCAGTGGAGACTTCTCCGACGTTTTGAAGATGAACGTATTCCCCGCCGCGACCGCGGGCGCAATCTTCATGCTGAAAAAGAAGAGACTCGCATTCCAGGCCCCGATCCCCGCACAGACGCCAAACGGGTCGTGTCGAACGATCTTGTATACGCGATTGTCCCCCTCGGGCACAAACTCTCCCGGGAGCTTGTCACAGAAACCGGCATAATAGCGCCATATCGTTCCGATGAAGCCTGCTATACCCCGCGCCATGGTGATGGGCAGTCCGATCGCACGACTCTCGAGCGTTGCTAGCTCGGCGCCTTGAGCATCGAGCAAGTCTGCAAGCGCCAGCATTCGTTTGGCTCTTTCTTGCCCGGGCATGGACCCCCAGGGACCATTGTATGCGTTTAGAGCGATTGACACGGCGCTGTCAACGTCTTCTTGACCGGCATGGTGGACTGAATCGGATACGAGGGAATCGTCGTAGGGATTGCGGACGGCGAAGAGGGTTCCTGATTTAGCGGGTACATACTGGCAACGGTCAGCATTGCGAATTCACCCAGCTTTTTGAGTACTCCGACACCAGATTCGTGCAAGGAAACAAAATAGAAACCACCGCCTACCTCATTGTTGATAAAAAGCCGTGTGTGAAATTCCTGGGAAGTCGACATGGTGCGATCGTTAGGTCACTAGGTAAATATAGCTCCCCTGAATGAAATGGCAGTGCCAAAGACGGTCTGGGCCAGCAACGACTATTTCTATTTTGTAATCTCTCCGAGTTCTCAGTTCACAAGAGGCGCGAATCCTGCTGCTCTGCTCGCGCGGGGACAGCTGCCATCCAGACCTCCCTCGGCCAATGAGCGTTGCGAAAGGCAACACTAAGCATGCACGAGAGTGGAGAGCGCGCAATGCATGATGATTGGCTGTGACTGATCCTGTGATTCAGAGTCATCTGATGTGTGCGCGCAGGGAAGAATACGGAGTATACCGTCTGCAAGTGATTTGTGTCCCGTCCTTCGAAACACTGTTCTGAAAATTGGGAACCAATGGCATATGGCATTGCGGGGGGTTGAACGATGGTAAAACCCCGTCAAAAGTATGGAGTTGGGGCCCGTCGGACCCAAATTACGGCTCCGGCCGGGGTGGAGCCTTGACGTCCCCGAGGGTCTCGCCGGAATAAAAACGCCTGTTATCGCCGTCGTGGGTCCATCCTCTTGAATGAAACCAAAATTTACTTCGTGATCTCTCCTTCTCAGCTCATACGGAGTCACGTTGCTTGGATCTATACCCCATGGCGGACCCTCAATCGCAAACGCGAGGTGCAATCTGCTCTCTCGACGAGTTCCTCCAAGTCTCCTATGACTATCTCATTGTGGGCGGTGGCACGGCCGGTCTCACCCTCGCCGCTCGATTGAGTGAGGATCCTTTGGTCAACGTGGGTGTCATTGAAGCCGGGAAAGACCAAACGAGAAATGAGTTCGTTCGCACCCCTGCGATGTTTCCGCAGATTCTGGGAGTTCCCGAGTACGATTGGATGCTGGAGACTGTGCCTCAGGTGAGAGATACCGAACCCCGTCTTGTCAGTAACACACCCGTCTAAAAAATGCCCAGAAAGCAAATGGCAACAAAGTTCATGCTATGACTCGGGGCAAGATGCTTGGGGGGTCCAGTGCAACCAACGGCGTAAGTACTTAACATCTACCCTTGACAGAAGAAAACCCATTAACAAGCCCAGATGATGTATGTTCGTGGATCCAAGCAAGACTACGACGACTGGTCGGCGTTTGGGAAAGAGTGGTCGTGGTCCTCTGTCGCCCCGTACTTCAGAAAGCACGAGTCGATCGAGGACAACAGGGCCGGAGAACCCGGTGACTTTACTTTTTTGAATTTCGGAAAATCATCACACGGACAATCTGGACCTGTCTCCACGAGTTTCAACGATTGGAGAAACCCGTTAGAGCGCTACTTCATTGAAGCTGCCAAGACAGCCTCCGGAATGTCGAATAGCCCGACTGATCCGTGGGGAGGGGATCATTTGGGCTTCTTTTCTTCCTTGTTGACCGTGGACCGGAGCAAGGATAAAGGCACGCGTAGTTATGCAGCGAGTGCCTACTTGCTACCAAACATTTCTCGGCCAAACCTGAAGGTCCTGACTGAGGCGCTTGCATTGAACGTGATTCTCGAGGAAAACTCTGCGCAGGGCGTCCGTATTTCGCACACGCGTCGAGAATATGACATCCGGGCCACAAGAGAGGTGCTTCTCTGCTGTGGCACGTACAAGTCCCCCCAACTGCTTGAGTTGTCCGGAATCGGCAATCCGTCTATTCTAAGATCCGCTGGAGTTGAATGTGTCGTGCCCTTACCGGGGGTTGGTGAATGTTTACAAGACCACGTTCTCTCGGCAACAGTGTACGAGCTCAAAGAGGGGACGACATCCTTTGATTCCCTTCGGAAACCAGAAGTTCTCCAACAGCATTTGGATCTATACTCCAAAGAGAATTGTGGTATCCTGGCAGCAGGAACCAGCTGCATGGGATTTCTCCCCTACTCATCTCTAGCCTCACCACACGAACTCGCGACGACCTGCGAGAAGGTTCAGCGAACCCCCAAGGCAACTCCCTTCCAGCAACGCCAGCTGGAGCAGGTTGCAGCCCATTTTCAAAGCCCTTCGTCTGCGAATATCCAATTTATCATGTTCCAAGGCACCATGAATATCGAGGAAGTGGTCCAGGACCAGGGGAAGTTTGGAAAACCCGGCTCTCCAACCGATCCCGATGGCTTCACTATCGTCACTTGTCTGCAGTATCCGGCCTCGCGAGGAACCGTCCACATTATCAGTTCAGATCCGACAAAGAATCCCGCAGTGGATCCGGCGTATCTCACGAATGAAGCGGACGTTGATGTTCTCGCCGCGGGTATGGAATTTTGCGATAAGATTGTCAATTCCGCGCCGCTGAAAGACAAGATCCAACGGCGCGCGCACCCGGCGCCAAGCGTGCAACTCGGAGATAGGGAGCAGGCCAAGGCAGCAGTGAGAGACTTCTGTATGACGGAGTATCATCCATGCGGGACGTGCGCTATCGGTCAGGTTGTAGACGAGAGACTGAGAGTAAACGGAGTGAAAGGATTGCGGGTTGTTGATGCCAGCGTTTTCCCAGGGAATGTGAGTGGGAATATCTTGTCGAGCGTGTATGCCGTAGCGGAGAGAGCGGCGGATCTGATTAAAGAGGACGGGTTACGGGCCAAGGCGTCGCTCTAGGTAATATTCTGCTTACTATTCTACTTTTTCTCTGTCCTGAGCGGCATTCACTTCCCTCTTTCTCCAGAGAGTGACTAGAACAAGATGTCACCCCGTTAGTAAAAGTAAAACGTCGGATCGTGAGATGCGCTTGCTCCTTCCTTCCTTTCTCTCATTTCTGTCGGTCTTATGAAGAGAAAATCATCCAGTATCCAAGGAGAGTCCGACTACCGGGTTACTCTGTTAATCACATTGAATTCTACATCGAAACACTGCTACCTGCTTGAACAAAAGAAATCTCCACCCTCCCTTTGAGCCTCACTGACATTTTGACCCAAATATACCCATCATGTAAAGTGAATCTGCCCAAGATTATGAAGACAATCTGACCTTCCAAGGTGCCACTGGGAAAATATCAGATACTCCTGCGGGTGCGTCGCCGCCACGCGATCTTCGTCCAGTGTGAAGCGAAGCAGCGCACAACCGCGCGCCGTCATCCACTGCAGAATGACCACGTCGATGAACGCAACTACTACTGCTACAATCATTTGGTTGACCCAAAGGCTGGGGCTACTGTCTTCACGATTCGCCGCGTCGCCTGGTCCCCACACTGGGCGAGCTAATGTGGAGGCGAAGTCGAAGGACCAAGCAGACTGTGAAGATTACAACCAAGGGCGCAATATAAGAAGGTTTTTTGTTGAATCGAAAATTTTTTAAAATCAGAGTTATAGATGGATCGGATAAGAGATACACAGAGAGGAAGTCCGTCTTGTTTGGTCACGACCACAGCTGCTCCTGGCTGGTACTTCGACCACCGCGACTTGAGCCCTCCTTGCGGTAGGAATGAGAGACGATCGGAATCTCCTGTCTTGTTATGTCGCCTGCCCGTCCGAGTGGAATATCGTATTGGTGGGAGTCGGTTTGGTCGATTTCCAATACTCGCGGTTTGAGCATAAAGCCACACAACCCTTTCAGAGCCGGAAGGGACAAGGCAATTATGGCAGTGGATATTTCGGCGGCGGTCCATATGACGACGTCGGGAAGGTACCATGTGATATCATCAGGGTGATCGATCGTGCGAAATACAGCGACAATGCGGCCGGCGGAGGTTCTAAGGTATAACTAGCGTTAGAGCAATGAATGCACCTGTATATCCTGATAAGCAGGTTGAGCCTACATGATAGCACTAGTATCTGGTCAGCTTTGACGTCTATGGCATCATTCTTTTATTGGGCGTAGCTCACAACATCCCGAAGGACAAGATAATCCCCAGCAGGATTTTACGGCTCAAGGTCGCCTTCAGCGAGAGAATAATGTTTGTCGGTAGAATCAAAACCAACAAATCCGCGGATAAGGTCAACGCAGAATTGTAGCTTATGGTTGCTGCTCCAAAACACCTTTCACTGTTCTCCTTTTTCTTCCAGATGTCCGCGATTGGAAGGCATCGAATGATCGTAACCACGACTTGGACGAGGAATGCTGCGACCACAAATAGGCAGGTTAAGCGCAGATAGAGTACAAACCGTGGCATTGAGTTCAGTCGAGCGTAGAAGAGAATGCCCGATATTCGACAAACAACGAGATTGATGATATAGATTGTTGAGGAAATGCCCATCCATAGAGTCAACTTGTCCAGCGCAGCGGGATCGTCGTTGACCACTGCAATCAGATGTCTCCCACCTCCACTGAGTACAACCATCACTAGAGGGGGCACAAGAGCCCAGCTGAAAATCTATTCCGGGATGCTTTGTCATTGCTCTGTGCTCGTAAGGCTGAGGAAGTATGGCTCGTCTCGTCTAGGGATTACTCACCATAGCAAAGACTATAACCAGATCATCCCAACCAAATTGCCGAATGACCATGGCCCGCGCATATATTCGGACAAAAACAATGAAACTTGATATAAGTATGGCTATACAGATTCCGATAATTGCCCCTTGCTGTCTGTTTTCACCAAGGCGTTCCGAGGGAATCTTTTGAATCGGTCGCGATTCACCCATAACTGAAGCAAGACCGGCAGGAATCAGCACCAGAAGAGACGACCATGGTAATGATGGCTAACGATTAATATTTCCTCCACCTCTTGCATCTCATGACTATCCCTGTAAGCAGCTATAGCCTTACTCAATTTTCTACAAGGACCTCGGTTGGGTCGTCCCGGAAAACAAAGAAAATACGCTTTATGTTGCGGAATCCCACCTCAAGCCAAGAGGCATTGAGCCAATCCTTCCTCGCTTCAACGGTCAATAGTCTCCAACGACGTACCTTTATCGTGGATTAATATTCCTACGCGCGTTACAGACAAAGCGTTGGTAACACAATGCATCCGAGGCCCCTTGAGGTTGCCTGAATTTGCGGGTTGGGCCGTTATTGCCATGTCGAAACAACCAGTTACCCCATCCCATCTCAATCATTAAGTGGTCCGAGAGCTTTTACTTGGTTCGAGTAAGTCGATGCTCCATTAGCCTGGTTTAAACGGCGATAGTGTAGTAGTAAGGAATTCCAAAGCGCCACGATGGACGCTGCGGATGGATGCAGATGTGACGAGATACCTGACGGGCGTGTCAACACGTATTTGGCCCAATTTCACGCTCAGGATATCCCTCAGCTGTGAGTAGTTACGCCTGTCTATATTTAATTATGTAAGTGGCTCTAAATTGTGGCCACTGATCAATTAGTGCGAACCATCCTAGAACTACCTAGAACTAGAACTTTCTTTGGCTGACCGCAAGGGATCGTCGCTATGTTGATTCTCGCTTCAACGATTTTCCTAATAAGTATCTTAGAAAGGAACTAGCAAAGCAATTATGGTAGTAGAATCTCACATTTTGTAAGGTCATATGCTGCTCAGGGTATCAGTGAATGGTGATCCTGATTGACGTTTTTTTTATGAGACAACTAGCAAGGGACTTGAGAAGCTCGTTATTATAAATAAGCTAGAAGAGAAGATGGCTAGATCTCGAGATCTTTCTCGACCGTGAATACCCTTCAACAGTGATCAAGTATTCCCCCCCTTCTTTATAGTTGCACTATATAAAGTAACTCCTCGACATAAGCCATTTGGCCACCTCGAGTGGCTGGGTGGTTCCATTTTGCGGTACTTCTCCTAAAAGTGCCAAGCCCAATTCTTTCTATTCATCTCTTCATTTGAGCTTCATGCCAGCAAGACCTTGACAGTTCATCCCTCCGTACAGGTTGAGTCGGCGGTTGGTAAAAATTGCATTGAATCCATTTGTGTTGCTAAGTCGGTATCTGAAACAATCAAATGAGATAAACGTCACACAAAAACCCCCAATTTCGCGATTTTTACTCAAGCCATGCGCACTAGACTTTACCAAAAAGAAACCCACGCGACGAAAGAAAAATGACTTTTTATTATCGTTAATGATGGCCAGACTGCACTCGCACGAACTACATGTGAATGATCTCCATGTGTGATCCGATGCGTCTGAAACCTCGCCAAAAGCCACAGCAGTTGGAGACTGTAAGCCAAGTGCATTCTTCCCTCACTTAAAATTTCCCAGTAGCCTACAAGCTTCGATCCTTTTCTTTCAACAGGCCAAAGATTGCGGATTACGTTGCCACACAAAATTTCAATCCGACTCCTGCTCCGACAAGGCCCCGATCAAACGCCGATTCAATGTAGGCACACCTGATGATGAGAAGGATAATTCCCCGGCTAATGAACATGTGAAGCAATGCTATAGGAGCTTTTTTCTATTCCTCCGTGATTCTTCTCGGCCGTCCATGCATCCAAATGCCGTCGAAACTCCCCATGATATGATCCATTCGGAAGGCGTCGTATCATCTCGAAGGGTACTTGATAAGCTTGTCCAGATACTAGTTTACTGGCAGTTCGTGGTCGGAAATCCCGAAGATAAACACTTCACGAGGAAACGGATGGAATCGCACCATTGCTACTTTTCCCAGTTGGAGGGAGAACAACATCGGCCCCGTCCAGCACGCAATTGATGGGCCGAATCCTTAGCGTTTGCGCCGGGGTAAACCCAATAATCGCCATCCAGCGTACTGCACGCAAGCAATGGGCAGGATGGCGTTTTCCGACCTTATTTTCTCGCCGGTCTACTTAGCGTCTTGGATCCCCTCGCCTCTGCAGCAGTAGTCGACCCACTTGATGCTTGAAAGTCATGCAGAAGTAATCTGGCCTTACGCAGACCCCAATTATCAAAGCCTAATTTCCTCTACTTCATCTGGTAGTAGGTGGAATATCCACACGTCTTTGTCATTTTAGTCCCGAAATTAACCTGATAATTGCATTTTCCAACCCAACGGAGCCGGTAACGGTCGTTAATCTCGCCCACCTGACTCTGTTGTCGTGACTTCTATTTCGGAGTACGTTCATCTCCTGGAGTATGATGCCATCGGGAATGTTAGATACGTGATGGGTGTCTTGCCATCGTCGGTGGGTCTATGGCCTCCCTTGCATGGGGTCAGGAGGTGAAAAGTTCGGTCGCTGTATAAGTATGACAGAAGCGAAGCGATCAATTCCTACTTGAGAAAATTTTGGACAGTTTGGTGTCTCTTTTCTTTCATCTGCCTTCCTAGAGTCCAGAAATGGCTGGAGAACGCTCCATTCATCATGCGTCTGCGAGCGATCAGGCCATAGCGACGGGAATCGAACACGACCACAAGGACAAGAATTTCGTCCGAACCAAAGCAGCAGATCTTGAGGCCGAGGCGCACGGTGACGGTGATAAGGGATCCGACGACTCTTTGTTTGGGGAATTGGAAGGAAAAGAAATCACCCCAGTCGAGGCATTCAAATGGAGCGTTGAGGGGGACCAGTCTCCTTGTCAGTTGCCACTTGACCGGGCGGAAAAGAGGGATAATGTATTGACTTCAGTTCGCAGTTCCTGAGGTCGCCGCGTGTGTGTCCAACAAGGATGATCCTAGCATACCCTGCAATAGTGAGTTTATAATATGACTCGCACGTCCTTGATAATGACTGACCATTCTTAGCTGTCCGTGCCTGGATACTCCTGACGATCTTTGTCACTCTCTTCGCGGGTGTTAATCAGTTCTTCGGTCTTCGATATGTGCGTTCCTCCACTGCGATAGCCAGCGACAGTATACTAATTCAAATCAGCCAAGTCTCTCAATTGGTTATGTCGTGGCACAGTTGCTCGTCTATCCCATTGGGCGCGCCTGGGAAAGGCTTCCACGGTGGAGAATTCCACTGGGCAAGTTTTCCTTTGACGTCAATCCCGGTCCGTTCAGTGTCAAGGAACATGCTCTGATCGTAATTGTCAGTTGTCCAAATTTTCAAGGTTTAGGCTAAATTCAGCTAATGAGACCCCGCTTAACAGTGTGTGAATATTAGCGCAAGCACGGCGTATGCTCTGGGCGCTCTTGTTGCTATCGAAAGTCCTGTTTTTTGGAACCGTGATTATGGTGCAGGATTCGGCTTCCTCTACCTGTTAACTACTCAGATGCTTGGGTAAGATGGCTGAATTATTGAGCTTCAATTAACATTGCTGACCTCCTTAGATTTGGATTTGCCGGACTTGCCCGTCGATGGCTGGTCTATCCGGCTGCCCTTGTCTGGCCGACTTCGCTATCTTCCACGGTTCTCTTCCGTGCGCTTCATGAGCCCGAATCGCGCACCCCAGCCAACGGATGGACGATCACACGATATCAGTTCTTCAGCTACTTCACACTGTTTGCGTTCGTTTTGTTCTGGTTTCCCGATTATATCTGGACGAGTCTCAGCACATTTTCCTTCATTACGTGGATTGCGCCTCACAATCAGAAACTCAACACGCTCTTTGGCGTTAGTAGCACCCGCGCATCTGGCTTTTAATGAAATAAATTCTGACCCCGTCATCTTGCAGATGAACTCTGGTCTTGGACTGCTGCCAATCAGCTTCGACTGGACCCAGATCAACCAGGCCGGAAAGCCTCTTACCACACCGTTCTATGCTACTTGTAATGTGTTTGCAGTTGTGGTTCTATTCTACTTCTTTCTCGCCCCTATACTATACTACTCAAATATCTGGAACAGTGCATAGTGAGTGATCTATTGCGACGGACAAGTATAGAACCTTTAGCCAGGTACTAATCGAATTCAATAGCCTCCCTCTCCTATCATCAAGCACCTTCGACAACACGGGCGCAACTTATAATGTCACACGCGTCGTCGATGAAAGCCTCAATTTCGTCGAAAGCAAATACCAGACCTACTCGCCCATGTACATCTCCATGTCTTACGCTCTTACCTTTGGGCTCTCCTTCGCAGCCGTCACTTCCATGATCGTCCATACCTATCTCTACCACGGCTCCGAGATCTGGGCTAAGCTCAAGAACTCGCGGTCTGGTGGTGAGGATATCCACCGCCGGCTAATGCACGCTTACAAAGAGGTGCCGGACTGGTGGTATGCTGTGCTCATGGTGGTGATGGTGGGATTGAGTATTCTCACCATACGATTCTGGGAAACCGGGCTTCCTGTCTGGGGATTTATCGTTGTTTGCTGCGGTCTTCCGGCGATCTTGACTATCCCGGAAGGCATTCTTGAGGGAACGACCAATCAACGAGTTTTTCTCAATATCATCACGGAGCTGATTGCTGGGTACGCTTGGCCTGGGAAGCCCATTGCCAACTTGATGGTGAAGTGTTACGGTCATAATTCTATCAAGCACGGCATGGACTTTGCGCAGGACTTGAAGCTAGGACAGTACATGGTAAGAGAATTGTATGGCTACCGGTAAATATCAGGCACTGACTTCTCTTCAGAAAATTCCCCCACGTGTTCTGTTTGTCGGCCAAATCTATGCCTCCGTGCTATCAACCATGACTCAGACCGGAGTCCTGCGGTGGATGTTTGGTCATATCACTGATCTTTGTCAATCAACCAACACTCAACGATTTACATGCAACGGAGCTAAGGTGATGTACAATGCCTCGTTGATCTGGGGGACTATCGGTCCTCAGAGGCTGTTCCAAGCTGGTCAGACCTACAACGGATTGATGTACTTCTTTTTGATCGGAGTGAGTGTGCCTTGTGATTTCGGAAGACTATCCATATTCTAACATGGTCACAGCCCGTCGTCACCGTACTGGTGTATCTCGTATATCGGCGCTTCCCTAACAGCTGGCTGCGCTATGTCAACATCCCGGTCTTCTTCAACGGTGCCGGCAATATTCCTCCTGCGACGACAAGTGAGTGCTCCGCTTCCTTGATTGCAGTCACTCGATACTAAATCCCTTAGCTCAATACTCCCTCTGGTTCATCTTTGGGTTTATCTTCAACTATCTCATTCGCAAACGTGCCTTCCCATGGTGGAAGCGATACAATTGTGGGTTACTCTAATACCGGTTATCGTCATGTTATTTCTCTAACATGTTGTACAGATCTTCTTCAAGCCTCCATGGATACTGGCACAGCCTTGGCGACTATTATTATCTTCTTTGCCCTAGGCTATCATGGTGTGAAGCTCAACTGGTGGGGAAATACAGTTGGATCAAACACAGATGATGCAAACTCTGTCCCTTGGCGTACAGTTTCTGAGGGAGGATATTTTGGCAAAGGACCCGGCCAGTTTTAGACCTGGTGCGTTGTTGGTCATTCTCTCCCCGGTTAATCTTCTTCAGTACATCTATCTTGGCACTGGTGCCGGATAAATTTAGTATTAGAGATGAAACGTTGTTCCCATGGTTTTCATATGCTTTGTATGTACCATAAAAGAATACTTGACAGTAGTCCTTTGTTCAAGATATCAAATCTCCCTTTTCTTAGCCTACGCAGTTCCATACTTATTACCATTATCATTCCTCCAAGAAGCATTATAAATTAGAAAGCGGACTTTTAGGCGTCGGTGATTCGCGACGTCTTCATGTTTACAGAGACGCAAATGCCTTAACCGATGCTTCGGCGGTAACATGGGCGCTGGCCGGGTTTGCTCCAGTCACAATTCGACCATCGGTGATTGTGAACGCATCCCACGGTCCGGCAGGAGACACGTCTGTATGTTGTAAGCGCGTGAACGAATCATGCCAAAGTGATGGTACTTACAAGTGGCTCCAGATGAGGCAGCTGACGCCTCGATCGTAGGTCGGTTCCAGCTCTGAATCGTGCTGAGCACGCCTTCTTCCTCTTCGCCCCGGGTGGTGAATCCAGTGACCTTGCGGTTAGCGATAATGGATTTTCCCGTGCTTGGGTCGATAATTCCTGGGAAGATCGCGCCTCCGTGGCAGCTGCATGATGTTAGTTTGCCATGGCTGAGAGACCACATTGCTCTTTTTGTCACGTACACTGCAGCAATAATAGCACCGGCACTGTACATTTCCGACGCAATGTCCTGTAGACCGTTGGCGTCCGGGTAATCAATCAGTGAGGCATGGCCCGCTGACGCAAAGAACAATCCATACTGGAAGATGGATATATTAGTGGTCTATTTCAACAGCATCTACCAAGCGACAGACCTACGTTGCTTGCGTTGACCTCACTTGGTCTCAGCAAATGGTCGAGTTTCGACCGAAACTCACTTGAATGGTCTTCCCACACGGCTCGGTCTTCGTCGGGAAGCCATTCTTTCTGTTGAGACAACCAGTCAGGCTGGTATGACCCCGTCTCTGACACGAGGTCAACTTCGAACCCTGCCTTTCGGAAGACATTGAAGGGATGCAGGGCTTCGGTGATGAACAGCCCGGTCTCTTTGCCCTCTGGGTACAGGGGGGCGTGAGCCGACGTGACGGCGATAAGAGCTCGACGGGGTGGAGACATTGTTGGAAATGAAATTTTTTGTTGTAGATTGAGAAGAATGTTTCGTAAATAAGGAGACAATTTTGAACGCTGGATAAAAGCTGTCGCATAGGACTGGTGACGTCATGTAGACATAAGTGAGCCCCCCGGCTTCCACCCGCAGGCCTTTTCTTTCATATACTCTCTCTAGCCATGGTTGGAACTGATAAACCCAGGCAGGTCGAACAAGCGGTGATCCGTCGGTAATGGCTCGACGCAAGGGAGGCTCATCAGATTCCTCATGTCGCGGACTGCTGACCTCGCAGTGGAGACGCGTAAGGATTTAATTTCGATTCACTTTCTCACTGGATCTTGAATATCATCTTGATCACTATGATTCGGTCTTCTACAGTTATCAAGACATGCTGGGAGTGCAAATTAGACTACTTACACTGTCGCCGCTAAGGAATCCACCCCTTTCATTGATTTTATTAGATGATAGACTCATCATAACAGTCAACTGCCAGGGTCATCGCAACTTCGTGTCACTCGTTTCTCCCTCGTACGACTTCCTCCCTCGTGCCCACGTTTGCTGAACTTTCGCTTTCAGTAAACTCTCCGCGTCCCACTCCATATCCAGAACCACAAAGTCCGCCCGATATCCCCTGCGCAGCCTGCCCGTCCACGTATCCGCAAACCGCGAATACGCTGCTCCGGTGCTTGCCGCAGTCACTGCCGCCCCAAGGGAAATACCAAAATGCGAGTTCACAGTCTCGTCGCACTCCGGCTCGATAGCCGACCGGCGGGTCGTCGCATTATACAAGTTGGGCAGTGAGAGATGATTTGCCGTTGGCGCGTCGGTCCCGATGGCGACGGGCGCGCCTCCATCCAGGAAGTCCTTATAGGCGAATGCGCGACTGCAGCGATGCTTGCCGATGAGATCAGGCCATGCTCGAAACAGCGCCGGGTCGGAATGGACGGGCTGAACGGAGGCGGTGATTCCCAGTTGGCCCAGGCGTTTGGCATCTTCGGGTGCCGTCAACTCGAGATGCTCGATGCGATGTCGGTGACCCGGTTGAGCGTGCGAAAGTCCATCAATGGCTTGTTTTACTGCCTGGTCTCCGATGGCGTGGATCGCGCACTGGAGGCCAGCTGCGTCCGCCTTCTTGACCACAGCCTCAAGCGCGTCTGCAGGCCAGATGGTGGGAATAAGGTCTGTCGAGCCATCGTAAGGCTCCTTCAAAGCTGCGGTGCATCCGTCAACAACTCCGTCAGACATGAGCTTGATCCCGACGATGCAGAATTCGGGGCATTGCGTCGGGCTGTATTCGCGGTTCCGGGCGATTGCCGTATCCAGATGCCGCATAATTTCGTTTAGATCCTCGGAATAAGGGATCAGCCAATGTGCTGCAATGTGAAAAGGGAAGCTATCGCCGCATTGCTTTCGAAATTCCTTAAGAACATCCCATTCCATGTCATCCATGGCCATGTCAATCATTCCAGTGTATCCGGCGGCACTATAAGCAGCCGCCGCGTCTGTCAACGCAGCCAACTTGTCCTGTTTAGAGGTCGCTTTGGTGAGAAACGGAGGCACAACTGCCAGGTGGGCAGTTTCGCTCAGCAACCCCGTGGGCCAACCGCTCTCGTCGCGATGGATCTTTCCTCCAGGCGGGTCGGCCATCGTCGGTGCGCCAATCTCCTCCAACGCAGCCGTATTGCACCACCCCGAATGCAAATCATTGGCATGAATGTAAATGGGACGAGGATCCAAATCGTCCAACATGCTGGCCAAGGCGACTCCGCCCGTGGTTGATTGAATCCAACTCTTGCAGACGATCCGGGGCTCGCTCGGATGTTTCTCGGCATATGCCCTGATCTCACGCCGAATGTCGTCTAGCGACTTGCAATGCAGCAGATCGAGCTTACGACGTGAGAGTGCAAAGTCGACGATGTGCATATGACTGTCGATAAACCCTGGTACCACAATTTTATCGGCCAAGTCGATATGTGTCGCGCCAGCCGACAAGGCACCTCGCACGGCGTCGTCGGTGCTTCTTCCAACAACATGTTCGATACGGTCGCCCACGATGACCATGGCTTCCTGGAACACATGTTCGTCCGGTTTATCGCCGGGGGTAAATATGCGACCGTTCGTAAAGACAGTGGAGTCCATGATAAAGGGGGCACTAGTTCCTCCTCCACGACTCGATCAACGGGTTCAGCTAAGTGGAAACTGAACATGGAAACTTCAAGCAAGGGACTGGTCTGTCACCTTCGAAACGCTGGGTACAGGCTCTATTTATACCCCATGGAAGTTATTCCATGTTATTTGATCTGTTGGAGTCCGGAGCGCAAAATGACACGATTTGTCGCCCCACGTCGCCCGAGTGGATCCAACCTGCAGCTTCTTCAGAGTCAAGAGTGCGCCTTTTCCTGATGAAGGAGGTCCATCAGCTTGTCGCTGACCGGAACGTTGGCGGTCATTTCACCATAGAGCTGACAGGATTATACCACAAAATAGTAAAACAAATTTTAACGTGTCTTCTTTTTTTCGTCGCAAGATATGGTGGACGCAAGATCGTTCTTCATTCTTCATTCTTGAAAACTGTTTAGAGCTACATTTTACTTCGTTATTATCCCTGGGCCACGATATTGAAATATATCTCGGCCGTACGACTACGCAGGGATCGTCCCCAGATAATCATCGGGATTGCGATGACTAGAATTCCAAAGCAAATGCAGCCTGCACTGACGAACATCTTCTCCACGCCTAGACCATTCATCCAAGGACTAATGGCAAATGCCGCAGCCGTAGCAATACCGTTGCGAATGTACGTTATGGCGACTAGCCCTTCGGCAACGAGCTGGCAAATTTTTCAGCTCCAAGCCTCGGCGGATAGACAGCGATAGTAGCACTTACCTCGGGGTATGAGTCTCCAAAGTAGGGCAATATAATCGACGTAGATGAGCCCAGACCAAATCCTACCAGGCCAGAACCTATTAGAGGGACGATCCAGTGTTGTTCCTGTGATTCGTAAGTATGCATCAAGAGCTGGACAGGGGTTAGACAAACATGTGCAATGCTGATACCGTATAGAAAGAGCCCCAGAGGGGTGAGAACCAGCGGTGCCAACAACATATGAAGTCGCATCTCCGGGTCGTAAACCCCCGATCGTTTGCTCGCCATTTTCACCACATAATAGTCATTCAAGGGTCCCCCGTAAACAGATCCCAAAAATGCCCCCAAGAACGGAGAAACGTTAATATTTCCCACCCCGACGGACGAGAAGTTGTATGGGGCCGCGGCAAAGAGGAGAGGCTGCGTGGTGGCGAGAACAGCCACCCAGCAAAGCATGATGGAATACTCGATAGCCACGAATGTTACCGCTGGGATGCGGAAGAATAGAAAAAAGGGCCGTCGTAAATGTCGCCAGTACGTGTCAATGCTGAGATCGGATGGGGGACCGCTGAACATTACTCTCTCAAAGTACTTACGGCGATGAATAACCGGTCGCTCACCAGCCGGCATGATGGGGAAGGTCTCTGGTCTTGATGATTGTTGTTTCTTTTCGCATAAGACCGGTTCTTCAGCTTTCTTCCCCTCAAGGCTCTCGGCGAACTGTACGTCTTGTCCGAGAAAGCAATTCTCCTCCTGTCTTGAATATCTCGTCTCCTCGAAGCCGATGATTATGAGGACAAGGACCACCCCATTCAAGATGGCACACCACCACCAGACCCAGCGCCATCCTTGAGTACGGATGATGTATCCCGCGGGGATCAAGCTGAGGTAGGTCTAAATATACGAATCAATTTGACCAGTCTGGTTTCCCATAGAATGCGGTGAACTCACCCCAGCGACAACCATCACACAATAGATCCCATTAACTGTAGCACGTTGATGAACGAAGAATAGATCTATGATCTATACTCATACGCAAAGTCTCAGTCAACACATTCTCTCTGCCAGCAGTAACGAGAACACTAACCGTCATCTGTATGATAGTGTCGTTGACGGACCCGGCTAGCCCCGCCAATACTTGCAGAACAATGTACTGCGCCTTGGTCCGGAAAAGGGCCTGTCCAACGTTGACAAAAACCATTGTTAAGGACGCACACAGGTATACAGGCTTCCTTCCCAGCAGCACTGCTGCGGGAATGAACAGCACGCATCCCACCCCCAGTCCGGCCAGTCCAGCTGCGTAGCTATAGGTGAGGTACTCGGAGTCATATCCGAGTTCAGCCGTCAAGGAGGGCCATGTCACGGTGCCGACGTCAAGTCTATATTCCGGGTCAGCTAGCGTTGTAATGATCGTAGATCAGTGAGTACAGTACGTAGCAAAGACCATCAATGTGAAGAGACAGCCAAGTGCATAGTTGATCGCCTTTTGAAGTCTCGACCAGTTCTATAGTCCCATCTCGGATTAGTCTTTTACTGACAACCAAACATGTTTGATGAAAGACAAACCAAAGGCTCATTCGGATCCGTAGAGGGTCGCGGTTGGAGCATCACTTGACCATCAACGCCATGCTCAACGCCGTCTAAGTGGACGATTTCTTAACAAAATTAGCCCCAGCCGTTGAATATCCTCCTTCCGATTAGCTAATATATACCATTCCCTAGATAAACGGTTCCTGGTGGCATTTGACTCCCCGAAGGACCATCCCTTCGCTCGTCTCCTACTCTGCTCATCGTAGATATTGGTCCCACGGCGTGATCGGTTCAGAATCGAAGTATCAATGGAAAGACAAGAGTTGTAATAGAGAATGCTCTAGTATAAGAGTGTGTCATTCGTGATGACATTTGCAGGAAGCAATGGATATAGTTTTGACAAAGTCGCAAATCGGGGATTGTTGAAATACTCGTCAGGCATAAGCTTTATATATCTGCTGCCGTCATCGTTCTACCTCCATCGATATTCCCCAACGCTGGCAGTCGAAGACTAATAATGACCAAGGGTACAAGACCACCACGAGTGCCCCCCCGCGAGGAGATAATGAAAGAAGAACGTTACTGGTCGTATGGGGTGCTATTCGTAGATAGCCGTAACCTTGGACTGTTTATCATCTCCCCGAGTTACCCGATCCGGAGGAGACGGCGCAAAAGGACGCGATTGGTCCAGTGCTGGAGTGGAGACTCGCAATGGGGTTCGCTTACAGAGACTGGGGAGATTCGGTCGCATCTGATTGAGAATTGCAGGAAATCAGTGCTAAATTCTGCTATCATTCTTCCCATTATTCGACCGTTACCCCCTGTTCCGGCTTGTTTATGTTTATCAGCCGGATGCCTTGCTGCAGTGCTGCCTGACTGCCTGGGTGCTATCCGCTAACCCGGAAGGGGCAATGATCGTCAGGCCGCCACCGGGGAACTTATCGCTGCCTGAGGCTTCCCCTCGCGCGTCCCTCGCCGTGTCATTTCCCCGGATCGTTTCTCCACGTCAATTGCTTCAAAACTTATGGAGGGATTGTGGTCCCCAACAACAGGCGCACTGTCCCATTTTCCCTCTTTACGCACGCGTAACTCCAATCGCCGGATTCTGTTTATCAGCTCTGACCGCGACGGAGCCTCGGGCTTAGCAGTGTGCCTATCTGCCGACCGAAGAGCAAGGGAATAAATAGACCACACGGATATGCATTCGCTTCAAAGCCATGGCCCTGACTCTAAGTCCCCCGGGTCAGGGAAACATTATCGTCGACCTCGAAGGAGACCGGCATATTTACGGACAAAGACCGGGTGTCTCACATGTCGGTAGCACATTCCTCGTGCTTTTCGGAGAAATCGAGAGCTGATGAACCTAGGCCGAACGAGGAAAAAGAAATGCGACGAGGCGAACAGTCCTTGTGGGAACTGCGCGCGGAGACAGTTACCCTGTCACTGGCCGGGGGACAAACGTGCAGGACAAGACGATCTCGAATATTCCACCGCAGTCTCGGGCGCCCACGCAAGGCGACCAAAGCTACAGCCAAACACCGATTTAAAAGTGATCCAGTTCAACCCGGTGGACATCGATCAGTCCAGTACGTCTGAATTACGCTCTAGTTGGTCTCCAAAGGTGGTGGCTACTTCGACGCCGGAATCCTGGAATGCAGAGTTGGGGGACGTGCAGGCCTACATTCCCACAATTGCACCTCCTCTATCATCGATATACTCAGATGCTATCACATCGGATAGTATTCCACTCTTTGATTTCCTGCGAGCCGTGTTTCTGCCGCAGTTGATTCGGCCAACTGCCCAGAGAACGCTGATCGATCTCTTTAGTAATGAATCCTTGGCTATCGCTCTGCGCGTTCCGTTCTTCATGCATGCTCTTCTCGCATGCTGTGGCGCTGAGATTTTGGTAGAAGGGCGTCATATTCAAACGCATTACCAGCAACTGGCAGAACGGCACTACACAAAGGCTGTGGCTGGGCTTCGCGCTAACCTAGACACCAATTTGACCGACCGTGATGGCACGGTGGTCCTGCAGACAGTAATCATGTTGTGCATTTATGAGGTGAGCCGACAACCTTCTTCGGGGGTACGATTTTTTAACAAGTCCAACAGAGATCCAAACCATATCTCTCCCACGGTGTGGATGCACATCTTCTCGGCATGGCACAGATAATAAAAGTTCGTTTCCAACAATCCAGCCAGAATATGCATCGGTCAGCTACGGACCTGGCCATGGACCGTGTCATTCTCGAAGCGTTCATCTTCCACACCTCGACCAGCATTCCTTTCCAACAGCAGGAGGCGAGTCCAGTGGACATAGACCTTGCCTTTTCACTAGCCGAGGAAAAGCTGGAAGATGAGTCTCATAGAACCATGGTGGATCATTCTCATTCTCCTATCCTCGGAGTGCCACCCCGTTTATTCGCACACATTCGGGAGATTGCGCTCATGTACCAGGGCTCACCACGGAATGTGGATATCTTGAGATGTTATGAGCTGATGGAAATAGTGTCTGAATTGGAGACAGATATGCATGGAAGTCACCAGTTCGTCAGGGGCAATCTATCGCAGGGCAACCTAGTTTATAAAACAGCCTCCGTTGGCCCGAGACTCTACACACTCGCTTCAAAGCTTTTACTTGATCGCATGATATGTATAGTATCGGGGAGCTCTCCCGCAACCGCACCCCAGCTTCTGGAAGAAGCATTCGATCTGGTAAATCAGTTACAACCTTCGACTGATTATTATGCCGAGTATTACGGCTGGCCCTTCCAGGTGCTTGGCGCATGTACAACTCTACCGGAACACCGAATTTCCCTTCGTCGAACAGCGACTACGTTTTGGAAAGCCACCAGAAATGGAACAATGGGGAGATTGGTGAGGACACTTACTTGCTAGAGTGATTTTAATGATAGACTCTCATCCCTCGAACTCGAGGCTTTGGAAAGAAAACAGGGACACTAGACTTGTTCGCACTAGACAAGCAGCATGTGACGTGCTAATGTGATGCTATTTTTATTCTCCTTGCCGAGTACGAGCCCCACCGTTCTGGAATCTGTTGGGCGAGTATAAATACGAGTTCAGCCTTGCAGCAAGCCAAAACACCTGGAAATATCCCATTCACGTCAAGCTCACGATGGCAGCGACCTCCCAGAAATCTAACTTGGCTGCCTGGCTTACCACGGACATCCGTGAGAGTCTCCCCGAGGAACTGGTGGCCCACACCATTAGCATCCCGCCTTTCGTCTGCGTCCCAGGTACCTTCAACGTGCGCGATCTTGCTGCCCCGGGACGGACCCTACGATCTGGACACATCTATCGCTCTGGGGCCTTGACAAACCTGACTGAAGAAGGTAAACGGGCTCTGGTACAAGGCCTAGGCATCACTACGATATTTGATCTGCGAAACTCCTCCGAGCGAGTCAAATCGCCAACCCCGGAGATCCCCGGCATAGACATAATCTGGATGCCGTATTCAGCCGAGCCTGGAGAGATCAATCTAAAAGCCTTTGCACGAGGCGAGAATGATTTCACGGGGTTCGTGGACCTTTATCATAACATTCTAGACATTTCTGGGCCGACATATCGGAGGGTATTCGAGCATATACGGGACTCTCCGGACGAATGCCTTCTGTTCCATTGCACTGGTATGTCGATTTTGCTTTGTTCATCTTTCATTGTGAATGTTTAGGGTGAATATTCCATTTGAAGGACAAGAAATTAATGCCCTGATTGTAGCGGGAAAAGATCGTACTGGCGTCCTCGCCGCCCTCATCCTGCGTCTCGTGGGCACGTCGCTAGAGGGCATCGCTCATGATTATGCGCTTACTCGCGTTGGCATTGAGCCCGTCCGCTCGAGTCTTCTCGGTATGTTGAAGAGCCATGTGGGCGATTCCGAGGAGAGTGCCGGACTGTTGGGGCTGTCGAGCCTAAGGACTGGTGCTATCGTGGCGTTCATTAGAGCCTTTGACATGAATTTTGGAACCGTCGAAAGTTATATGATCTATAGGTTGGGGCTTACCAAGGATGACGTGAATATAATTAAACAAAATCTTCTCTCTTCCTAGCTTACTGACCCTCAATGGATACACTACCATCTATCATCCCGGCTCATTCCAAGAAGGATGGGATGAAGGCTTTGTACTCAGGGTGAACACTGGGTTGTCTCGATATTGCATTAATGTACATATACCATCATATCGGTTAGTAAAGGATAATTCCATCGTGAATCATTTTGACTTAGAGTATAATTAGGATGCGATTTGGCGACATCATCTCCTGTCCACACTTATACTCATAGAAGTAAAATAGGGGATAGGGGAAGGAAATCTTTCATTCTGTTGGCACTGGTGGTTGAGTAAATCATCCTTCCCAGCCAAACCCCCTCTTCCCTTGCTTCCAAAATGGTGAGGACAATCGTTACCATCGACGAGGACATCATCAACGAGGACATCGAGGACATCACCGACGAGGACATCACCGACGAGGACATCACCGACGAAGATTTCACCGACGAGGACATCGCCGACGAGGAAACCACGGACAAGGCCATCACCGACGTGATGGACTTTGATACCGAGCATGGCGTGCCGCCCCATAATCGTCCGTATCCCAACATGAACCCCCCTCCTGGTCATGACGGGATGGATACTCTCTGGCCGGTGGCGATGAAAGTTGAAATGAATTTCTGCATCGACCGGAATGTGAATGTTAATAATCGACAGGAACTGGCCTACGCTATTCGCGGCCAGGCCTGGGGCCGACTTATTAACAATCGGTTCGAAGATGACCCCACGTTTCTGCCTTATAGATACTATCGCCTTAAATTTATCTTCGCTACGCAGACTTCCTCGGTGTCTTGGATACACGTTTTCATCCTACGCATGATGACCGAGATGGCGAAAGCATCGGGTCATGAGGAATTGACGATTCCATTTGACCACCCTTTCTTTCGCTTGCAGATATGTGAATAGGCTTGCAGGATCTTGCTTGGCCTTAGAGGGAAGCTCCACCAGGTCTAATGTTAGCCTTATCTGGAGTGTTTTCTTTTCCTTTCAGCTTCCACCTTGTGCTTGTCATGCTGTCGAGCTCGATGCTTGCAAATCAATTTACCTTTTTATTTCTACGTCTTCGCGCACTCTAAAATAACATTTAATCTTTTAATTTATAATAATCATGCCCTATCCGTCGTATGTAAACCTTGAAATTTAGATCTCCAGAAAGTTGTACCTCAAGTGTGGAGAACCTACAGAATCTAAACTTGTTTAACTATCTAGAACCCCTCATTTCATTCTTCATTACTAGTATTCGTCATCACTGGCGCAGCTCTTGGGGCACTCGGTGTTTCATAGTCATGAGCCCACGCCTACTATCCGGCGAGGCTACCTTAGCAGAGGAGATCTGTCGATAGCCTAGCCAGGATTGATAGATAGAGAAGTGACTTTCGATTTTGAGAGTGACCGCTGACTGGTCTCACACCTGACAGTCACGCGACCACGAACAAGACGACAACGAAGCAGAAAAGGTTTCTCAGATAATTCCAAACCACTTCAAGATCGAGTCCACCTGCGTTGGCACAACGTGGCCCACTCCCTTGGCCGAATACGCTACAAATTGTGTGCCGTCACCGTAAACATACTGCGTGTAGCCGGACTGCGGCGTGTCGCTAACGCTTTTACTGAGAGAAACCCCGAACACGCTCGACCACTGCTTCTGCTCTTCTGCCAGGTTCTGATGCGAAATCACCGTGTCCGCCGTGCCATGCCACACCTGCAATTTCGGATATTTCCCGTCCCAACCCGGGTATGCCTGATCAACAAGGGCGGCCCATTCCTGGCCCGTCTTGATCACCTCGCCGGCAGCACAGGCTGGATCCGAGGAGAAGGGACTCGACCCCGGCGAGCCCTTGAGGCATCCGTATGGCAGGCCCGAGAAGGCGGCTCCCGCAGAGAAGATATCCGGGTAGGCGGCGACCAGCGTTTGGGTCATCATGGCGCCGGAGGACGAGCCGGTCACGAAGACGCGAGATGGATCGCCGCCGTATTTGTCTAGCGTATACTTGACCATGTTGACGATAGAAAGAGAGTCGCTACCGCCATTGTGCGTGAGCGAGAGCTCGGTGTTCACATCCCAGCAGTTAGAGTCGCGCGTAGAGCCGGGGTAAATGGCAATAAATCCGTGCTTATCGGCGGCAGCGGAGATGTCATTTGAACGGTAGTAGCTGGGAGCACTGCCCAGACAGCCATGGAGCTAGTTCCATTAGATATCGGACTGTGTCGGTCCCGGGTGAAGGGGTCCTTACGGCGACCACAATGGCTGGGTTGTCAGACACGTCATTAGGAACGTAGATGTACATCCGATCCTGACCAGGGTTATCACCAAAGCTGGGCACAAGACGCAGAATGGCAGCGGAGGCTGTGCCTAAAAGGCAAAGCATGTAGCAGAGAGTATAGAAGGGGGCCATGGTAAGCTGTGTATGAATCGATCAGTACTTCACAGTATGAGTTGTGTTGTTTGCTTCCCGATCGAGGTTCTTCATCGAAGGTCAACTTGACGAATAAATACTGCTGGCATACCCTGTCCCTACGGTAAATGGACATTCTGAAACTCCCGAAATCATCTTTAAAACACGCCGAGCCTGCCAAGAAGTCGGCATCTAAAATCGACCGAGGTGGATGATCGCTCGGAGTGGATCTCATTCGTGGATGGAACAGGGCGATCCCCATGGAAGATAATTCTCCTCGAACCCTAGGGCCTGTCGATCCCTGATTGTTCCCCTCTACGGATCTGCATCTGATCAGCACCGAGGTCGACAGATTTCGACCCTGAACTGCCGGTTCGCTATCCTATCCTTGTTGCGATTACTGGTATGTGCACTGCAGGTGGGCTCATATCCAACATTCTTTTTCCTGGCCTAGACTATGAAAATGGTATCAAGCTATCCTGTGTCCTGATTTCCGTCAAATCGCACGGTTTGATCTATCCAGAGCAAGTGCCGACCTTCTTGGGCTCGCAGCCACCAGCACATCCATCGTAGAGCACGCATGGGCTCTTGGTATCGGTGCAGACATTCTTGAGCGTGGCAGTGTCACCGTAGTTTGAGTTGATGCCAACGAGTTCGCCACCGTTGCGAGCGGTCACACCCTCCACGTAGACGTTGCGCTTGCACTGGCTCTTGCAGTTGCCGCAAGACCGGTAGAGCTTGCCGTAGTCCTCAACATAGTAGTTGATGATCTACACGCCGGCGGATTAGTATCTCAGAGTAACATGCATAGCGAAAGAGGGGGTTAGAAAGCTTACATTAACGGTACCACATCCATTGTGCTGCACGATCTTGTCGCTCGCATGGTAAGCTCCTCCGCCGATGATCCAGGTCTCCTGGCCCGCTTTGTCGTTTTTCTAGTTCGGGATGCGGGTTAGCTCTGACTCTCATGATACTTAAGACATGACCAAGGAGAAGAGGGAACGCACGATGGAAATTGCGTCTTCGCAAACATCCTCAAACCAGACAAATTCCAGCGTGCAGGGTCCGTTGCAGTGCACGCCCTCTGCTTGGTTCTTGCCGATGATGACGTTTTTCAGCGTTGCGCCGGATTGAAGGTAGAAGACGGCGTCTTTCCAGTCACCTTCAGTCTGCGAGTTGCAGGCACCCGAACCACGGTCATACCTAGCCCAGCCACCGTCGAAGGTCTTTCCAGCGGCGACCTCGATCACGGCGCTGTTGGAGTGGGAGGCAGTTGCTTTAGGCACGCCACCCTCGTAGCCCAGACAGGCGAGAGCGGTGGGCAGGAAGAAAGCGATGAGAGGAAGTTTGGAAAGCATTGTGGTGCAGACTATGCTTGATTACCTTGAGGGTTGGATATGAGGTGCTGGAAGGGAACTGATTGCGCGATCATCGAGCACTCTTTATATACCATTCTCTCTGGTCCCATCCAAATAAGGACCAGAGCCATTGGTGGAGCATCTCATCTTCCTGGCTCAGTGATACCTGTCTCATTCAGGAGAAATGAATCCCAGGAGTTGCATCACACGATATCGCCACCTGGAACGGTGATAGAAACACATCTCCTCCAATCAGAATAGAAACTACACACCTGGGAACCCTCAGTCTCGCAGCCATCTCGCTTAGCAAACGGTCACTATCCACCGAGTAAGATTGTCATCCAAGCCATCGTGGCATGGCACTCCGGTGGACAAGTAAGGACAGCGACAGCATCAGGCCAACGAGCGTGGCGAAGTCAGAACTGCCCAGAGTCGTGGCGCTCGGAGTAATGCTCTTCGACAATTTCGGTTTGTCAGGGCCAATGGTAGTTGACATCCTTGTCCACCAATTATCCGGGGTGCAGCTATTCACAGCTGCAACCAGGGTCTGCCTGGTGTTGATCGGGGAAATTGCAGTGGGCTTGGGTGGTCAAAGAGCACGCTCAAGAGGGAAATGGTGGAGCAGAATATGTTGCAGACTGAGACATTGCCCTTTGTAGTAGCTCTTGGGGCCAGTGATGCGAGGTTAGGGAGCAGACTAGGCCGACTAGACTGGCTTCTATTGGTTTCTAAGGCTCGGCTCTGTCGGTGAAGACACTAGTGAAGCCTTAGTCTGAGAACCTCGAGGGCACTTTGGCAACTCTCCTCCGAATAGTGAGGGCTATTATCCGAGTTTGACTGCATGGAATGCTCCGAGTGGACAACTCCTGTTATGAATGCATGTGAGGTAAAAGCACAATCTACGTCGCTCCTATGGAAGACAAGGCCCAATATACACAGTACAGAGGAAGCCACAAATCACCCTACTCCTCGGCCACGATTTCTTCCGGCACCACCAAGCTCATCATCTCGTCTAGTAACTGCTCGACGTCCGCGGCCCCTGCCTTTGCGGCCAAGTCTCGCGCCGTCTGTCCATTATCATCTTTCACGTCGGCGGCCGCTCCGTGTCCCAGAAGAAAATGGACATCCTGTCGTAGTCCGGCGGAGGCCGCCATGTGCAGCACCGTCTGTCCAAACATGTCGCGCGCAAAGATGTCTCCCCCTTTGTTAACGAGAAACCGCAGGACATGGCTTTTGGCCCGGACAGCCTTGTGCAGAGGTGTTTTGCCGTAATCATCTCGCGGATTCACATCCGCGCCCTTCCGGATCAGAAAGTCGACCATCTTGCGAAGGCCATTCTCGGCGGCCTTGTGCAGCAGCGTTTCCCCGGAATGGTTGGTCACGTTGATGTCCGTCGCACTTTCTAACAGAAGCTGCAGCATGTTTCGATCTCCGTTCGCAGCGGCGAGATGTAGCGGCGTGTCGCCGGACTCGTCTTGCGCTTCTACATCGGCGTCATTGGCCAGCAAGAGCTCGACGAAGCGATCGTGACCCAGCCGTACGGCGATGTGTAATGCAGTCGTGTCGTCCTTTGTCTCTGCGTCTACCTGAGCCCCCATTTGCAGGAACACCGTCGCCAACGCCACATCGTTCTCCTTCGCAGCGAAATGCAACGTCGTCAGCCCAGACGCATCCTTGGCGTTGACATCGGCTCCCTTCTGCAGGAGCAGCTGCATCATCTTCATGCGATGTTTACCTCGCTCGTACATCACCAGGGCCAGCAGCAGCGGTAGCCCTAACTGGCCCGACGGCGCGTTAATGTCGGCCCCCTTCTTGATCAGATACTTCACCACGTCGCCGTGTCCCTTCCGACCGGCTTGATACAATGGAGTCCCATCAGGTCTCTTCCCCCCAGCCTCCGCATTTATCGGGGGTTGCAAATTCATGTCGGCGCCATGTCGCAGCAAGAGTCGCACAATCCCCATGTTCCCATTTCTCGCTGCCCACCATAACGGCGTACACCCGGCATCGTCTGGCTCGTCCACGCCCACTCGACCCGAGCTGATCAGCAAGAGCAGGATCTCTTCATGTCCTTTTTCCGCCGCCCAGGCTAACGGCGTCCGTCCATCCGCCCCTTTCACCGCAGGATCCGCGCCCGCCTTCAGCAGTAACAACACCAGCGTCGGGTCCCCCTTCTCCACGGCGTAGCAGAGCGGCGTTTGTCCGCTCGCATCGGCCACATTACTATCGACCCCCTTGGCTAATAGCGCCACCATCACGTTCTCGTGCTCGTTCTTCACGGCCCATCCTAGCGGTGTCTGCCCGAACTTCGTGTCGCGGGCGTTGGCGTCCACTCCGTTTCCCAGCAGCAGGCTTACCACCTTCTCGTGGCCTCCCTCGGCGGCCCAGGATAGCGCGCTGCGACCATTCTCGTCACGACAATCCAGGTCCACACCCGGCGTGCTTAGCAGCAGTTGCACGATCGAGTCGTAGCCTTTGCTCGCGGCCAGGAAGAGAGCCACCTCGAGGCGGCTTTTGGGCGCTGGCGGAGCGGATTCGGCCATTCTTCCATCAACTCAATTCCTCGGTTTGATGTGTAATATCCAATGTCCAATGTCTACTCACTATCTTCGCTCACTTACGTCCACGGGTGCTTGAAGGTGGGGGATAGTGGTACATTGAGACACCAGTCAATTGGGGGGTGGACGGGGATTAATGAGCTTCAGTTAATTCTGTCCTAGAAGTCCGAAAATTGACTATCAACGGTAATCAGTCACGACGTATTGAGACAAAAAGAAGGGGAGAAAAAAAGAAACGCAGTCAGTGGAGTGTGAACAAGCGCGGACGGAGAACAAGAGACGAACGTGTGGAGGAAGGGGAATGTGACAGGTATTTTAAAAAAAAGGGGGGGGAGACGGGGGAAAGGAAGGGCCATGATACAACGGTGCATGAGAGGCCACCGACTAAGAGGAAATGGCCCGACGGAGGATGCAGCGTTAATGCAGAGAAGACATACTGTACGGAGTACAAAGAAAGCATACGATGTTTTCCCCCCGCGAGCGACACGTGGGAAGCCCTGACTGGCCTGTCGGAGCCTGAGGCAATCCACCGACGGGGATTCCCCTTCAACCTTTCATTTCTGCCTCTTCGTTCTGATGATTTACGATGGTCGGGAGTCTGATATCCTCGCACTCGCCAACCGGGATCAGGGGAGTTGCGCTGGCATGTTTGCTACCCAATTGGTCTGTGAGCTGGTCTGGTTGCTGATGGTCGACTCTCCTGCGAATGAGACCGAGCACATATCAAGGGCGCATAACAAAGAGACTGGCACGCGACGCTCGTCTCCTCGACGTGTTTTCAACTTCTGGGTCTGGTTGGCCGGAACAGTGTCGAGGTCGACGTTGCCTTCGTGCTTGGGCAGCAGTACGAGGGCGATGTAGGGCTGGATCGGGGCCTTAGGTGTCTATCCATCGCTCGGGGATAGCAATATAGCATCCAGAGGGGCGGAATGACCAAGTAATAACAGATGGTAGGCTACCAGCAGCGTCGGAATGGCTTGATGCGTTGTACGTGAAAGTTCTCGTGCGTCGCAGAGCTTCACAGACCTACATCTCTCCTCTGTGAGTCTCGTGTGCAGACTTTTGGTGTGCCTTAGACCATGATATGTACATTCACCTCTATATTGCAGATTGGCATGTTGCGGGGCTTCAGGTAGTCCCATGCATGCTGGATACTTGCCCACATCAGTCCGGAGACCGTTGGATGCTCCTCTTTATACATGCAAAATCCCACCAAACACAGCCTTCCACTTGTCTATAGCAGCACCATCGCCGCGCCCACAAACATCGCCGCCGTCCAAATCCCCAACAGTCCGCTGATTCCTCCCTGACTGGTCATCTCGGGTCTCGATCCCGGTGCCGCGTTAGAAGACGTTTCCTCCGTCTCCAGCGTCGGCTCCGCCCCCGCGCCGCCGGTCTTTGTATCTGTGGGCTGGTGCACTAACGTGAGCGGAGCCACTACGCTGACCCCCACGTAGAGCGAACTATCGCCGGTCGCGATCGTCGTTCGCGCCGTCGAGGTGATCGGCGAGGTCGCGTTGATCGACCATGCCAGGCCCGTCACCGTGAAGTCACCCTGCGTGAAGGTGGCGTTGACTTCAGTCAGGACTTCCATGGGAAACTGCCGTTGACAACCCGACGTGACGCTATGTGCCGGCAGAGTGGAATGGCAGCCGCCGTCGGTGGTGAGGGTCATTGAGCTGAAGTGTACGTGCTGGTCAGCTTGTCCGTTGCGGACAAGGGATGTACTCTGACGTCGACGGATGGTTGTGGGCGGACCTACCTGGGGCAACATACAACGGCCGTTTCGCTGGGATCGAGCAGCTGCACCAAGACGTCCGACGCTCGGTGAAAAATGGGCAGGTTCGCCGCAGTCGGCCGGTTTGCACCGCCGGTGAAAATGCCAGAAAGGCTCGGTTTGCTGTCGCCGTCGCGTCCGGCCACGCCGACCGTGGCCCATCCCGAGGGACAGTAGATCCCCGGTGAGTAGTACGGCACTTGGAATCCGTACAACGGATTATCCCAGGCGACCGAAGAGCCCGTTGGTGAGCTCGCGACCGTCGACGAGGGCGTACATTGCTTGGTGTTGAGAGAGGCGCAATCGGTGAGCCACTGAATGGAGGCAGGATGCTGCGTGCGAGCGAGTCCGACGTATCCTGTGCACGAGGCGGGCGGCGTAAAGGTCGTGGTCAACGGTCCCCAGTTGGAGAAGGTGTACTGGTGCAAAGACGAATCGGTGGGCATTTTGACCGCACAATTGCCACTAACTGCAAGGAGGAACTCTCAAGTTTCAACGGGGCCATTATGCTACCGAAGATGCGGTGGCCGGTCTTGATTATAGGCACGACGGACGAAAGCGCCAAACTCCTGAGCGCGAAATGAGCGAGGCGCCGGGACCAGAGCAGACCCAGTCAAGGGGGGCTTCATTTCACTAGTCGCTGCACTTCGCCGCAGCATTTCTTTCACCCGACCTGCGACGCCCAATCATAATCTCTTCATGATCCGGGGTGTTTATATTTGGATCCGCCGGTTGGAATCTGGAAGATACCTATGCGCCCAGCAGCCGCTGGCCAAGAAACCAGTGTCTTCTTGGCGTGTACGAGGAGATGATTGGAGGTTTTGGTCGTACCTTGCTATATTCGCTTAACTAGTTATAGTTACCCAGTTCATATTAGATAATCTGCTAATAGCAAGTCCGCCAAATTAATCAAGGGCCCAGGACCCGGACTATGGTTCGAGCCGTGATCTAAGAAAAGATCTACGTCGCGACGGACCGCACCCATGTTCTCGTCGGTATCTTCCGTTTCTCGGCGAACATATATCGTTTTCATGCCTCTGGTTATATCAGCTCAGGCCTACCTAGAGAGCCTTGGGAAGGAAACATGCACTTGCTTTGCTGCTCGTAAGTCGTAGGCATGTGCAGCGACCATAGCGGCCTCGTGCGGGGAGAGTTGTAAAAGTTCCAGGGCCTTGCGATAAACGGCGGGATCCGGCTAGTTCACTTGCATTTAGGGGCACAGCTACGTAGAGCAGCAAACGGAAAACATACCTTGGTGAGCCCTAGAAGCTGCGAAGAGAATAAGGTATGGAAAGGGAGGCCAGACGATCGGATGATATCGAGCTGCAGTCGCGTAGTCCCATTGGCGAGGACGACCCTGGTGCATTTAGCTACCTGTCTGACAGAAGGTCGCAGAAGACAAACACCGTATATTTCTCCTTCAGACGAGAGATGGCTTCCATCGCGTCGGGCCAGGCTAATCGACGTCAATTAGGAACCCCCCGAATCCGAAAAAAGTCCGATATATACTCGCCCACTTGCGAGTGCCAACTGAGCACCAATCTCACCCTCTCCGTCTCATCTACGAGGGCATCATCAATCCCATATTGTTGCAAAAGACGATCCAGAACACGACGATGGGTGACATCGATATCCTCCGAGCCCCCACCCGATCGGAACCGAGCGTGAATCTCATCGAAGAACCCTCCGCGCCAATCCGCGGCGAATTGTGCATGTTTCGCTGCCAGGCATGGGCCGAGGGACGGGGACTGGGACAGGGCGGTGCAGATGGAGGTCATCCAGTCGGTACAAGTGCCCATCAAATCGAAGATGAGGGCTTGTGGATGGGCATGAGAGATATCAGAGGACATTTTGGCGACACATCCAAGGAGAAGAGACATACAGAGCAAAGCGAAGTAAAGCGAAGGGGAGGAAAGAAGAGGAAAAGGGAGCAGCGACCGCGATAAGATAATGAGAGATAGGATAGGATAAGATAAGATAAGATACGGGGCGATAAGCGGAGGCTGACAAATCCATCTCTTTCCCTTTCTTCTCTCCTTTACGATGGAGTTGTAGAATCTCTCCTTGGGATATTCACTGTTACCTTCAAATCACTCTACCATGTCCTTCCAGCAAAAGGAATTCTCCGACTTTCCTCCTCCGCCCCCTGTCGGCATCCCGACCGACTCCTCCGACGTCTACCCTTGGTATTCGATCGGTCCGGGCATCTGTGAATTGCTGCTGAACGGAGATAAAGAATCCCACCATGAGTCCGTCCTGCAGTGGTTCGAGTCCGGCCAGAAGTCTCCACAAACCGAGCCGATCACCCACTCCTATGTGGAGGAGGTGTGCTTCCTCCAGGGCGGGCTGCGAGACCTCACGCTGAATCAAGAATGGGGACCTGGTGCCTACGCGTACCGGAGGCTGGACATGAAGCATGGGCCTTATCAGGCGTCTGAACAGGGCTGTTTGGAATTTGTCAAATTGAGCCCGGTCTGACTGATTCACAGATGACTCAGTGGAAGAACAATATCATTCATATCTCGTCGCCGGATTCCGCGGACATGTCCTTCCCCCGGGGTCCGCGGATCCCGAGACTATCTCGTATTTGATCCTGTAATTGGAGCACGGAGTCTTGGACTTAAACCGTCAAAGTTTTTTGCGATTTTTGACGATTGTTTAAAAGCTTCCATTCTGTGCTCATCATTGGGACAACGCTCCAACTAGTCATTCCAATGTAATGGCGACTCTCGAGAAATCCGTGGCCCCCAGTCCAGAGGGCTCGCTGGCATCGATACCCGAAAAGCCCAGTGAGCCCAACACCCCCAAGAAGGACGGGGGTATGAAGAGCTATGTCAGAATATTCGGATATACTGATCGGTTTGGCTGGTTTCTTAACGTCCTGGCCTTGATCGGGACCATTGGCGCAGGTAGCGCGTTGCCTCTGATGGATTTGCTTCTCGGCAAGATGATCACAACCTTCAACAGCCAGGCTACTGGCGCCGACTCTGGTTCGAAATTCCAGTCCGAGTTGAACAGATATACGTAAGAAACTCATTCAGTCGCGAATGACAGTCTCTGACGATAGTCCTCCCCAGCCTCTACTTCGTTTACCTGTTTATTGCAAAGTTCGGGTTGGTGTACATCTGGACTGTACGTGCATCCTTACTGATCCTGTCTCGTTGTCCTATTTTGTTTATTGTGCACGGTGTAACTCAAATTGAACTCGCAGCTATCCTTATCAGTCTCCTCGCTCCGGACTACCAAAGCCGTGCGCATCGCCTTTTTGACTCGCTTGTTGCAACAAGACATCGCCTACTTCGACTCCAACCAGGGCGGGTCACCGGTTGTACAAGTCACCACGAACGCCAACCTCGTCAACCAAGGTATTTCCGAGAAGCTTGGATTTGCAATACAGGGAATCGCTACTTTTGTGGCGGCCTTCGTCGTGGCCTTTGTCGTACAGTGGAAGTTGACGTTGATTACGATTTGTATCGTCCCGGTTATCATCGTGGTCACGTCTGTATGTGCAGACCTCATGGTCAAGCAGGAGAACAACATCCTGCGCGTCAACGCCGACGCCGGTTCTCTGGCAGAGGAGATCCTGGCTAGTATGAAAACCGTTCATGCCTTTTCCGCGTTTTCCAAATTGACTGCCAAATACGACGAGCTGGGGCTGGAGTCCAAACGCCTGGGTTTATCCCAGTCCTTGAATATGGCCATTCTGTACTCAGCGGAGTTTTTCTGCGTCTATGCAGGGTATGGTCTCGCCTTTTGGCAGGGAGTCCGCATGTATGCGCGAGGAGAGATTGCCGAACCTGGCACAGTTGTCACGTATGGGCCCATCCCGACCATGTTGAGGGTATGCTAATTAAGGATGTCTGCATACAGAGTTATCTTCGCGGTGATTGTGGCTGCCACAGCCATGACCCAGATTGCACCGCAGATTATCCAGATCACCAAAGCCGCTTCAGCTGCTCAGGAAATGTGGGCTGTTATCGACCGGGAACCTTCGATCGACGGGCTTTCACCCGAAGGAGCCCGACCAGAGACCTGTGTCGGAGATATTTTGTTGTCGAATGTCTCTTTCGCATATCCCACTCGGCCACAGGTACCAGTCCTTCGAAATGTCACGCTAGAAATTCCTGCAAACAAATCAACCGCCCTAGTCGGGCCCAGTGGTTCGGGCAAAAGTACCGTCACCGGCTTGTTGGAGAGGTGGTATAACCCACTGGAGGGTTCAATCACACTTGATGGACGAGACATCAAGGATTTCAACATTCAGTGGCTGCGGACTCACCTTCGCATCGTTCAGCAAGTCGGTAACCCTTTTACCAGGCTGGCCAAGTTGACACATACTAATAAGCCGCTTAGGAGCCGACGTTGTTCAACGGCTCGGTCTTCGAGAATGTGGCGTATGGCCTAGCCGGCACCGAGCATGTTAATGCGTCTCGAGAGGAACAGCTCCAGCGCGTCATTAAGGCATGCAAAGCGGCATATGCCCACGACTTCATTGAAGCACTCCCAGAGGTAGGCATTCCGCTATTCTTTACGAATGTTACTAAACTCACATATGAATTAGAAATACGATACTCAAGTCGGAGAGCGAGCGACCATGCTGTCGGGCGGCCAGAAACAGCGCATTGCCATCGCCCGAAGTATCGTCTCTGACCCCAAGGTATTGATTCTCGACGAAGCCACCAGCGCCCTTGATCCACAGGCAGAAAAGATTGTGCAGGAAGCGCTGGACAACGTTTCTGCATCACGCACGACCATCACCATTGCCCATAAACTGTCCACCATCAAGAGAGCCGATCAAATTGTGGTCTTATCGCAGGGCGAAATTGTCGAGAAAGGTACACACGACGAGCTTGACAAATCTGGTGGTGCCTATCACCGTCTCATCCAAGCCCAAGACCTTGGTCGAGTACAGAGCGATAATTCTCCGGCGCGAAAGGAGGAGCTGAGCGAAAGCGAGCGGATTGTGACAATCCCTTCTAGACGACGTGATAGTGTCAAAGACACTGGCGTGGTCAATAACATCGAAGCACCTTCAATCCGTAGCAAAAGCTTGATTCAATGCTTGTACGTTCTCCTGTCGGAGAGAAGTGATCTTTGGTTCGAGTTTTTTGTCGTTTTCGCTGCCTGCGTTCTGGGAGGTAAGTCCATCGGTTCTCTACCTCGCTGGCTACCGATTAACCGCGCACAGGCGCAACGTATCCAATTTTGGCTTTTCTATTTGCCAGAATCTTGAGTGTGTTTCAAATTAGTTCCTCGGACCAGATGGTCAAGAAAGGCGACTTCTACGCTCTCATGTTCTTTGTGCTGGCCTTGGTTGTACTTTTCGTCTACGCGATTCTAGGCTGGGTCACAAATGTTATTTCAACCGTGAGTCCCTTCCCATGGCTCGAACTGAGTCATATCTAACGGGTTACAATTTCAGTGCATTGTATACATCTACCGGCTGGAGATGTTCAGAAGCTACATCCGTCAAGATATGACTTTCTACGATCAACCAGACCATGTCACCGGGTCTCTGGTGTCACATCTATCCACTAAGCCCACTAGTCTCCAGGAGCTTCTTGGATTCAATGTTGGTATCATCATCGTTGCATTGGTGAACATCGTCTCCAGCTCTATTCTTGCTCTCGCGGTGGGCTGGAAGCTGGGACTGGTCGTGCTGGCCGGCGCCATGATCCCCATGGTCTTCTGTGGTTACCTCCGAATCCGCCTTGAATTCATGTTGGACGAAGGCATCTCCAATCGTTTCTCGCAAAGTGCGGCCTTGGCTGGAGAGGCCGTATCTGCTATCCGTACCGTTGCCTCGCTGGCTATTGAACGAATAATCCTGGAGCGGTATACCGATGCATTGGCCGGAATTGAGCGACGGTCGATCAAATCATTGATTTGGACAATGTTCTGGCTCTCATTGACGCAGTCGCTGTCCTTCCTCTCGATGGCACTGAGCTTTTGGTATGTTCTTCCGATTAATATTGAGGTTAGATGACTTACTTGAACAGGTACGGCGGGCGTCTGTTGGCCAGCGGCGAGTACTCCTCGACACAGCTGTACATTGTTGTCATCGGCTCTATTCTATCCGGGGAGGCGGCAGCATCTTTTTTCATGTTCAGTACTAGTGAGTATCCTCCCGAAGTTATTTAAACCAAGCTCATGAACGACAGGCTATACGAAAGGTCAGGCCGCCTGTAATTACATTTTCTGGCTTCGATCCTTGCTTCCCGATGTACGCGATGGTGAATCCGACTATAACCCTGACCAGGTTTCTGGTGCAGCGAAAGTGGCCCTTCAGGAAGTCGGATTCCGATATCCTACACGTCCCAATCGTCCAGTGCTGAAGGATGTTGATGTTGAAATCCATCCTGGCCAGATGGTCGCCTTCGTTGGGCCGTCCGGCCACGGCAAATCCAGTTTAATCTCACTCATCGAGAGATACTACAATCCCACATCCGGATCCATTCAATTTGACGGGTCAGAGATCGCCAAGATGTCTCTTTCCTCCTACCGAAGCCATCTCTCACTAGTTCAACAAGAGCCGGTACTTTATCAAGGAACCATCCGGGAGAACATTGCCCTTGGACTAGAATCAGAAGCAACCGATGACCAGATAGAGGAAGCCTGTCGGCAGGCGAATGTCTTCGACTTCGTGTCCTCTTTGCCCGACGGACTATCCACTGTGTGTGGTTCTAGGGGCAGTCTCTTCTCGGGTGGCCAACGACAGCGACTGGCGATCGCCCGGGCGCTGGTCCGCCGGCCTCGACTGCTTCTCTTAGACGAAGCAACGTCTGCACTAGATACGGAGAGCGAGAAAATCGTACAAGCTGCACTGGACAAGGCCAAGGAAGGTCGAACAACAATTGCGATCGCACATCGTCTTTCGACCATCAGACATTCAGATCGAATCTTTGTCCTCGTGGACGGTCGCATGAAGGAACAAGGCACACATGAGCAGTTGCTGCAGCGACAAGGGACTTATTATGAGATGTGCTTGGGACAGGCGCTCGACAGGGCTGCCTAACTCTCTTCCCAGCACTATATCTTCTACTTAATCTTCGCTCAATTATTCTTGGGACTCAGCGGGATTAGACGCGTTCATCTCTGGGAAGCTTCCAGTATATTAATACCACTATCTAGACATAATATTACGACTCATCTCATCTTTCAAGGAAATGAAATGCTCATGGTGAAGGCGATTTGAACAGCCCACGTGCAGGGTAAACACATAGGGCGTGATGTAGCTTGCGGTGTCCATGTACAATGTAGAATATTTCTTTCTATTCAAGTGATCTACTGATTGACAGGGAGATAAAATAATGTTTTATAAAATCAACTTGAAGGTCAACATAATTCGGATCATAGTACTGCCCGTGATCACAATGGGAGTACAACTAGGTTTAACATTAGTACATCGTGCAGTATTGTCACTTTTCTTTAGATATAAGATTGTTGATACGAGGCAATTGTCATTTGTAAAGATCCTAGAGTCGCTCTTCTACCAGGCATAGATGGCCGGGTCAAACAGGGGCGTGTTATTTGGCGCTCATCGCTCTCGCCATTTTCCTGGCCACTTGACTCCGGTGACAACGCGCGAAGGGCACGAAGGAGAGGTCGGATGGTCATCAGGCTTGCGGCCGTCAGACCGAGACTGGCTTCCACGTGGGACCAGATTGCGATTTGCGTGGTCTGGTCTGGACAGGTTAGTTCGTGACTTGGTGTCCAGCAGACGGAGAACGCGTACAGAGGAACTCGTGATCCTTCGAAAAATGGAGAAATGGCATGCGCACGATCACGGCTGAGCTTGCCCTGTTGGCCTATGAGTTTGTTTCCTATAGCCCTCTAGAACGGGGCTAGGGAAGGTAACTGACACGCATCCAATGCCTAATAAACTAGCTACCGCAGCCTTAGTCCGTCGATGCATCTTCAACTGCCAAACCATGAATGCCGGTAGAAGACCGATCGTGAAATCGCAGATCGTTGCAACTACACTGTACATATATACTACTCCCAGGAGAAGATCCATATCCAGGCATTTCCCTGGGGAATCCATGTGGTTCCAGTAGTAGTGTACCGGTTGGCACTGGAATACCGTGAAAAAGAAAAATATGAGACCGGCAACGATAGACAGAGCTGTGGCGCTATACAGCATGAATGAGTGAATCCGTTCGACGGTAAGGCGGAGCAGAGAGAGTGCGATAGAAAGTCTTGCGAGGACGCAGGTAACGACGTAGAACACTTGTCCGAAAAAGAAACACTAGGTTGTTGCTTGGTTAGGTCAAATGCCAAACAGAAGAGACACGTTAAAAGAGGACACTACCCACCAGCATTGCCCATCGATAGTGGTCCGGACGATCGGCGAAGTGGACCATCTTCTGTCCCATGCCATACACAGCCCCCAGGATACCACAGACTCCGAATCCAAAGTTGAAAATCCACGGTGTATCAGTGTCGTTTGATCCGCGAGAATCCAAATTCCGAGTACAACTCACCATTGCAACCAGCATAATCCAATCATCGGCTCCAAAAGACTGCACAATGCGAAGTCGAACGTAAATTCGCAGAAGAGCCGTTACTTGCGATATGCCCAGAAAGACCGCCGTAACGACTAAAATGGCCTCGCTTCTTCCACTCACCATGATCAGCCGCTTGCGGGCGCCACATTGTATGGCTTCAAAAATCGAGAGTCGACTGATATATGTGCGTCTCGATCGTGTTTACCTTCTCTTCGAGGTGATTGAGCCAGAGTTTCATTTTGTACCTGGCCGAGTTTGTCATCCAGTCGACCTGATGCGACGTCGCCTTGACGTCATCACTAAGGACCGAGAAGTTTCGAGACTCTCGGCCGGTCGTTGGGTTTCTGGAACAACTCCATGTCTGGCAAGAGCTGCAGTTGGTGATGGTTACGGCGTTCAGCTGTTTCTCAGTTAGGCCGGTGCCTTGTCGCGGCACATCATAGCTCTTCACGGCCCAGCAATGTAAACAGATCAGGTAACACACTTGACAGACAGCTCCTCGTTGCTTTCCAGATTGTTCGAACCGGTCTTATGTGATACGGATTCTTCTGCAGAATTGCCCTCTACTCCGCTACTTTTTATATGGGAATGACGTATAGACATTCCTAGCATACTTTCGACGGCTACGTTATATCGCATCCACAGTCTACACCTTAACCAGGCAGACAATTCACCGGCGCTTTATTCCAACCAACTGATCGCTTGATCGGTTCTACTCGGTCCATCGCTGCGGATTATTGACACGAGAAAACGGATAATTATTTCCATTCTTCGGTCAAGCGAAAAAAAACGGCTAGTAATAAACAAGAAGTTGAGTGAAAGGCGCCATAGCTGTCAGAAAGACAGCACATAAGCCCATCAACCCAGAAGCTGTATTAAATTTCATGAGAATAATAAATCTACTCATCCTCTCCGCGACTGGTTGGGGCTCTCATTAAGTCGTTGTAGTCTGGCCAATTTGATGCCCTTGGCGCTTTTTGAAGACAATCATCAAATCTCCCAATGTTGTACTAAAACCCTCGGTCATGATATCATCGACTAGCATATTCTCCTCGCCCGGGGCAAGAGCAAAATCAAATGAACTGATTACTTTTGCGATGGTTGTGCGAATGTTCAGAAGTGCAAGTGGTTTCCCTATGCAATTGAAAGTTCCTGTATACGAGGAAACATTAGCGTCCTCTGATGACACCAGAATGAGGCGTAAAAGGGTGAGACCTACCAGTCGAGAATGGAGCAAATGCAGTTTTATCTCTGACCATCTCGGGGTATATCGTCCATCGCTCCGGTATGAATTGATCCGGCTCCTGGTAAGCCGATTGGCCTGTGTAACAGTCAACAACCTGTTTTCCATTTCATATTCACAATGTAGAACGTAGGTCAACACTCACTGCGGCCGATGGCATAAAGAGGAGTCCATATCGACGTATTTCCAGGGATATGGATACCTTCGACTGAGATCCCTGCCGGTGGCGTCTTGCGCTGCATCTGCGTCGGAACGGGCGGATATAACCGGAGAACCTCCATGATGACTGCTTCCAAATGCTCAAGGTGTTGAATGTCGCTGTTGAGTATTTCCTCTTCGCTCTCAGATACGTACGGCGCGAGCTCCTGGCGTAGTTTCTCGAGGTGCTCAGGGTGACGAGCCAGTTCGTAGATGACGAGCGAGAGGACCACCGCAGTAGTTTCACTGGCTAGAGTCAGATTTCGCCGCGAAATTTAGAGCGTGCAGGATAGAAAACGTGCCTTCCAGCAACTATGATTAGCTGTCCGTCTCCTCTTAGAAGATCTATGTCCGCCTGCCGAGGCTCACGGCCTCTCAAAGGCGATGCCAAAGCCGACCCGATGCTTTGGAATTGAGCATCCGTCTAGCTCAGTTAGCACTCAGTTATTATCCAGGCTACAATAATGGGCAAGGGCTTGCCTTTATCTGCTCTCGCATCTGTTGCTCTGCAAAATGAATGAGTTTTTCCCAGCCTGTCGCCACTCCCGGGACGCTCAGTAACAACCGAAACAGCCAGGGAGGGAAGAGGAATCCTAAGACCTGAACACCCTCGTTGATCATCGTGACGGCCCAATGCTCCCGGCCTGTCTCTAGCATGTTGAATGACTTGCCAAATGCGAGGTCACCCAGGACGTCGAAGCTATATGAATAGAACCATTTGGTAACGCTCATCGGCTGGCCCTCGTGGGCGACAATCTGGTCAAGGAGCTGCTTGCGGTACTTGTGCAGGCGCTGCTCATAGCCACGTATTGCGCGATCGCCAAAGGCAGTGCTCCAAACACGCCGTCGCCGGTCGTGGTCGACTTTGCTGCGATAGGTATGTAAAGACACCATAGGCCTGTAGCCGTCGTACCACGGGCCCTTGGTGCATTCTGTGCCGAAGCCATGCACGACCTCCACCGCGCTGGGGTGTGCGATAGATAAATCCGTCGGTCCGACTCGAACGATCGAACCATATTGATTATGCAAACATTTCACCTGTCGAAAACCATCTCTACGGCGGACTCTCCAGGTGAGCCAGAGACCCGACAGTCTAGCCCAGATAGGGCCCGGAAACGTGCGCAGCGGATGTAGAAACATGCGATAGACCACTAAACTGAAGAACACCCCAACAAGGTAAGAGAAGATAGTGTTGAGGGTTTGACGGAGGGCATTCTGAATACTGTTGCCCGCTCCGTGACTCACAAGCGTGAGGGCTGTGAAGACCAAGGCGAAGACTTGGAGATACGGCGCCCCGGATAGGTGGTGTTCACCGCGGGCGAAGTAAGTAATGTGAGAGAGGACACCACCGGCGAACAAGATTAAAAACTTCATATCTTTCCACATGTTCTAGTTTACAAAGGAGTAGGTCACGTATATCCGGTGTGCTTCAGCTTGCGAATGCGAATTTTGAGTCTTTGACGTTTTGTAGGAGGTTAAAATCGCCACAAATGATGTCAGTAGTCCTCCTATGTTGGACGCTTTCGGAAGAGTTCGAACCAAAAGATCTTTCCTTTTCTCCCCTGTGGCTGACCGGAATTCAGGACTTTAGTCTTGGGCGTGCACATGATGCGCATGCCAGAAATCCGAGGCAGCGAGGCAATAAGGCAGCAGGGCAGCAAGGCATCCCTCCTAGGGGCTAGCTAAACCCTTCTAGGAAACCGTCGCTTCATCTACTGAGGGTGTCTATAGTTCAGATAGCTAATCCCTCGTTCGACCTCACCTGTCCCTCTCTGGCAGGACATTGTCTGCACCCAGGATCTTTCCCACTAATCGGGACGCGCAGACCCTGGTAAGTTGGTTTGACAGGTTACATTGTCACCTGCTGTGGCTGCTTACAGACTGCAGACCCGTTCAGCCAGGGATGGCAGCAAGTCAGACCCCAAAATACCACTTTACAGATTGACCCTGGATGGAGTTGCTATTTGAAATAAGATGACCCCGGCTGACAAGTGCTTGTTCTGCCCCGGGGTTTCTTTTTTTTTTTTTCTGCTTATAGCTAACATTCTAATCGCCCGGAATGCGTACCGTAGTGAAAGGTACAATTTCCTATGTGCTACCGTTGATATTAAGGCAAATCTCGCCCGGCGAATGAGACGAGCCAAGACGCCCTGTATGATTGCTGAGGAGGTCATTTCAAGCGAGCCAACGTGATTGGAGCACTCTTGCTACAAACAGGGCGTTCTTCGATCATTATCCATGACAAACTGATCTCCTTGGCGACTCTGATTAATTTGTCCGGCGGAGAAAGCAGGGTACAAACTGCAGATGGGCCTGCCGTCATGAGATCACTCACAAGCCTCCGTTCATTCTCCAGTCTGGATATTGGTTCGGTCTTTCGTTCATGCAAACTTTCCACTCCCGAGTCTGTTCCAGGATGCCGACCAAAATCTCCGTGGCCTTCCGGGGACAAAGAACACCCATTCACGCTGAAACGAAAGAAGAATCACGGCATCTACCCTTCATCGAACCATTTTGCTTCTCGGGGATATTTAGGCTTCGCCCCAAAAAGGATGCCGCCACCTTGTTGGCCAAGGGTGCCCTTAATGACCGCTGTAACCCCACCGAGTGACCTTCATACTGATCGATGCTGATCGCTGGTGATCAAATGGCCGGGAGTTGTCGAGCGTCGCAGTCTGTCGCCATAGGGGTCAGGGACCAGCGCTGATCCCATAGGTTGTCGGCAGGTTAACGCTGTGGATGGTGCCGCGCAGGGAATGGCATCAAAGCCCCTCGTCCGATCCCTCCAATTGTCCGGCGCTTCCGTTAAGCAACCTGGGGAGTGGAAGTAGAGTGGCCGGTGGGGGTCGCCAAGGTGAGGGATCAGATATCTTGGCCCATACAGACGATGTCGAGCAATGAGACGCAGATGTCACTCTGTTGGTGGCGTCGCCTCGCCCAATCCCCATTGACGCTGGATTTAATTTCCACCGGCGTCGAAGGAAGGGGCGAAATTCGGGAGCGGAACAAAGCCATCTAATCGGAGATTCGCGTTGCTGCCGTTTCACTTTAACTGCCGTTTCTTTGGCGCTTCCTGACGCCTGCGGTGTAGATGCTCCCCAAGGAAGCCCAGCCCTATCCAAGGGAAGTATAAGTATATTAGGCTCCTGGGTACCGAAATCTTCAGGGTTTTGTTCATTCACCAGCTTCTGCGAAGCATTTCATTCCTTTGCCCGTTTTCGTCGTTTCTTGCATTCTTTGTCATTCCTTTTCTTCTCTTCACCTTTAGGTAGTTAGTCATTCCTTTATCTTTCATAACCACCATGTTTCTGGATAAACATGCTCGTCTCCTGGCTGGAGTCCTCGGCCTCATGGCTCTGGCTCCCCAGACCTCTGCTGCCCCTTGGGGTCATTGGCACGACCGTCACCACGGCCCTGGAGACCGTGGCGATAGCACCCCCAGCGTCACTCCTACTCCCAGCTCTCAGCCCACCGGGGTCTTCAGCATTCAGCCCGTCCAGCCGACCGACGTCTCCAGCGTGATTCCCACTCTGGGCGCCAGCTCGACTCCTGCGGCCACTCCCTCAGCCTCCTTTGCCACGATTAGCTCGAGCTCTGCAAAGGGCGAGGTCATGATCCCTTACTACCTGTACCCCGAGGCCGGCAAATGGGAGCCTCTTGAGAATCTGTCGGTTCTACCAATACTATCCTCTCCATGTTACCTGGATGCTAACCGTGACAGGGTCACCTCCAACCCGGACGTGAAGTTCACCGTCATCGTCAACCCTGACAACGGCCCGGGCGGCTCTACGACTCTTCAGGATCAGAACTTCCTCACCAACATTCCCAAGCTGGCTGCACATAGCAATGTACGCCTGATCGGATACGTGGCAACCGGGTGGGGCGACCGTGACATCTCGGAGGTTCAGGCCGACATCAAGCAGTACGCCGAATGGCCTTCTTCCAGCGGTGACTCGTCCTTCGCCGTGAAGGGTATCTTCCTGGACGAGGGAGCCACCGCGTACAGCGAGGCTACCGTCTCCTTCTACGAGCAGGCGGCCTCTCTGATCAAGGAGAGCTCGGGTCTCGGTCCTGATAACTATGTGAGTATCGCTGTGCTTTTGCGGCATAGAGATCTCAAGAATTAACAATCATAATAGGTTGTCGCGAACCCCGGTACGCCCCCTGATGCTGCCTACCTCAAGATGGTCGATTCGTCCGTCATCTTCGAGTCTCCGTACGCCGAATTCGAGAACGCCCTTTCCTCAAGCACCTTTTCCAGCCTGCAGGACACTACCGGCATTGATCGCGCCTCGATGGTTTACAATGTTCCTGAGAGTGTTGATTTGTCTTCGGTCTTGGAGAAGGTGAAGGGCATCTCCAACCAAGTCTACATCTCCAACGTTAACAACTACGCCACCTACGATCCCGCTTGGGAAACGGTTGCCCAGCTGCTTACCTCCAACTAGACTTTTAGAAGAGACAGGCTGAGTGAGGTCTTTTGGAGCGTGGCGGTGTCTCACATTGAAAACTTGGGCGGAGTAGAGTCGATTCCAATTGGTTGACCTTCTCTTTTCTTGTATTTATTTACTCTATACGATCTACACTAGATGTATTGTAGACCATTATATCGTTTCTGGCGCATTGCGTCTATTCTTAGTCATACACGAAAGAAGAAAAGAACATCAAACTGCAAAAGTTTCAACCATGAATACTTGCAGGAAATATGAGTTTACAACATTATATAAGATGATACCGGCTTACATGACCGATTTTCGCTCGTTCATATACCACAGCCTCGCGGTCCCAACGGCAACTAAGCTTGAATCCTTCTGACTTGGGGACTGGCTAGGATATCTTTTTGCGGTCGCTCATCTCGCATTCGTCCTCGTTCGGTCCCAATCTCTTCAATACCCGAGAGGTAGCCCTGAAGAGCTGCGAAAGCGTGTGGGTAATATGCAGGATCAGGCTGCACCGTCTAGACCGAACTGATAAGATGCGCCCGAAGTAAGAATAGACCATCACATGGATTTGCTCCAGCAAGGTGGATTACGCCACTTCGCTGGTGATGTTGGACTGGAACCTCAAGGCGCCTGACTGCCGGGCTATTGTACCGAGGAGGTAGGTAGATGATATCATTAATTAGTTGGCAGGCCAGTCACGCGCAACAACGCAGGTGCCATGGTCGCGCCGCAGAAGCGCAATACTTTTCCGAAACAAAGACTGCATCCTGCTAGTCGGGGATCGGGTCAATGTAGCTGCAGAGCAGCGGACTACGTGATAATAAGCTACGCGGCATCGTGTAAATAGGCACCATTGTTTCAGAAAAGTTGAATGAAATGTATATGTACGTCTCTTCTTCACACATGTCGCGTGCATGTCTCTCATGAGTCGGAGCAAAAATAAGTAAATGTATAAACGCCGTGTCCTAAACCAGGTACCGGAAGCCCTTGGCAACCCGCAGAGACTCGTCCTGGTCGTCCGCGGTCGCATCCGCCGCGCTGGGGTTGGCATCGCTGGCGGCATCGCGCGCCTCCAGCTTCTTGTTCATGTTCACCAGGATCATTCGGAAGAGCCAGAAGCCGACAACGGACACGCCAAACATGGCAGTCACGATTCCGTAACTCTTCCGGTATCCGTTCTCTGACAAGTCCCAGACGTACATACCGGCGACGTTACCGAGCTGCGAGAAGGCGTTGACCAATGCCAGCGCGACAGCTCGCTTGGCGGGAGGACGGGGGAAGGAGGAACTGATCCAGGAGTAGACGACGATGAAACCAGCGTACGATCCCGCCTGAAGGAACAGGGCGACGTATCGGGCGGCAGTGTTGAGGGTGGACATGCAGATGATGAAGCCGACGAGGCCCATGAGGATGGGACCGTAAATGTGCCAGAGCTGTTCTCGCAAGGTTAGTGAGATGGCCTATCGAAATGGAGAGAGAACTGGAATCCATGTAGCTGACCTTTTCTTGGGTTCGATCGGCGTGCCAGGCGTTAATCAAGGAGAAAATACAGGAGAAAACCCAAGGGGGGGCGCTCATGAGGAGAGTCGGGACGTATCCGAATCCGAGGGTGCCGGTAAGCGTAGGCTATAGAAGCGAAGGGTGTTAGTCCAGTAGTCATCGATGCTCGTGGCTGGAAGGCACTTACGAAGAAGGCATTGAACGACAGCCCAATCACGTACGCGGTGAAGGTGAGCATCAACACGTAGATCTTGTAATCCTTCAAGGCCATCATCAAACCCGAAAAGGCACCTTGGCCGTCGTCGCTATCCGCCTCACCGACGTCCTCGATGATGCGGAGCTGTGCCACGAGACGCTCATCTTCGGTGAAACCACGGGTATTAGTGGGCAGGTCCGGCAAGACGAAGCCCGAAATTATGGCGATGGTGATGGTAGCAGCACCCTCAATCCAGAAGAGCCAGCGCCAGGCGGCATGGCCCAGGGTGCCCTGCATGTTGGACAGGACGCCGGCGGCCACCAGGGAGGAGAAGGCGTTGGAGATGAGGTTACCGCAGAACAGGATGGCGTTGCGGGTGGTCAGCTCGCGGCGAGTGTACCACTTGGACAGGATCAGCAGCGCTCCGGGCAGGAAGGCGGCCTCGACGAAGCCCAGCAGGAACCGAATGACGACCATATCCTTGAAGTCCTTGGCATTTCCGGAGAGGGTGGAGATGACACCCCACAGGGTCATGGAGACGGCGATGTACAACGAGGGCCGCGAGATGCGGTTGATGATCATGTTGGAGGGCACCTGCATGAGAATGTAGCCGACGTACAGGATACTCAGACAGGTGGAGAACTGGGTGTTTGTCAGGCTCAGATCCTCCTGCAGACCCTTGAGACGAGCAGCCGAGATGTTGTTCCGGTCGAGGTAGTTCATGATATAGATCAGCACGAAGATGCTGCATCGCAAGTCCAGCTTCCACTTCAGACTCTTCTCGGCGGCCGCTCGACGAGCCGGATCCATCTGGGGCAGCACGGTCTCCTGGACGGTGACATGCTCGAGGTTCTCGGTTTTCATCTTGTCCATATCCACCTCGACATCGGTGCCGGCGATGGATGGTTGATTGAACACCATGATGGGCAAGTTGGAGGGTCGAATTCTCACACGCAGAACCCGAACGAGACGAAGAGAGAAAGGACAGCCGGCATCAGAATAGCCAGCAGAAACAGGCCAGGCCGGGGGGGTTTATAATTTTCTCGTGGAGGAAGCCCAGTTCCCAGTCGGGGTGCAAAATTTCCCCAACGCAACCATTGGGTTGGACCCCCACGCCAAAATTGCGGGTCGGACGCGGGGGTTCACCTCCTGCAGTGGGGTTTTTTTTTCACTTTTTTCTTTTTCCCTTCTAGTTTTGTTTGCCTCCCACGGCATTTCCCACGGGGTGATGCGGGAGAGAGTTCTGGGCGCTGGAAGTCGTCCGACGGTCTTTCCTAGGGGGTGCTTGGACTTGAAAAATGCTGGGACTGAAACCTCAGTGGCTTTGTATATAGCTGAGCCACTACTGAATACTGAGTACGGAGGACTGGCATCCCGCGCTCGGGGGGCAGGAGGAGCATCGGATCTGAATCTGGCTGCCGATAATCCCCGGCCCCGGCTAAGCACTAATTAGGGCAGGCCGAGCCTCGTGCTCTCCCCGTGTCTCTCGACGCTTTCCCCCCCCCCGAAAAGCATCGGGAACGACGTCAACCGAGTGGATCGTCTGACACACTCACCGTCTTTTTTACCCGAAATTGTCGCGGACGGGCTCCGGCTGGGTCGGCTAGAGAGCTAGTCCACGCCCATCCCCGCGGATTCCCCCTTTGCACGCGGGGTTTGCTGGTTCGCCATGACATCACGGCCACTACTTCGTACGTTGGACTGAGGCCTGACGATGCGACGCAGCTGCGACTAACGGAGGTGTCAACTTGACTCTCCCTCCCACTCCCCCGACCGACCGACCGACGTCAGCCTGAAATCACGGGCTCAGCCGGTCAGGTGATCTCGGCAGACCAAAGCGGCAACCCCGCGGGGGGGCAGTTTGCACCGTTTGCACCCGCCCGTCAGCTGATGCGAAAATTCGACCACTGTCACGTGTCATCCCACACGGGCATACAGCATACACAGCGGGACGGAGTATCGAGTAGTTCTCTCCAGCTGCAAAGAAATCTCTTCCCTGCAGGGTCGGTTCCATACTTGGGGCCGCCCAGTCTTTGCGGTATTCGAGAAATTCTTGGCTTAGGTTAATTCAACGCGTTCGCAGCCAGGCACATGTACTCTACATATGGTAAACATGCTCCTGCATGCACAGATATATTCCGGGTTATGGGAGCAAGTCCAACATTCTTCGTCGCAACCAAAATAACAGGAACCACCCAACTACTTGGAATGTCTATAATTTTCGCTATCTGTCTTACGATATTTTCTCTTGATTGAGTATTTATTGACCTATTGACCTACTGTTTCTAGAAGTCTTTATCGATCATATCACCCTCGCCGGGTCTTCCTTTCTCCTCCAGGACGAGACGGCCCGACGGATCGTCAGCCACTCCCTCCCTTTTGAGCCCAGGGTCCACTTCCCCGGCTTTCCCAGTACGTAATACTAGAATAATTCGAGAAAGCCGAGTCAGGCCATCCGCTACTCGGCACTTTTAGGCTCTGTTCTTCCAGTCAGTCAAATGCCATGGCAAAATGCAAAACGTGCAGAATATGCCCGAACTGTCTCCACCCGTCGCTAACGGGCACCTAAGCCATATACATCTTGCTTTCTTGCACCACTAGAAGAGCAGTCCGTCATTAAGGGGAGGCGGAGGAACGCTCCGCTGATCTGCCGGTTTCAAAACCAGGCCTGGACCATGATTACAAACACCCCTTCAAGCCGTTACGGCTGCTGTTATTGTTCTCCAGCTCAAGGTAGAATCTGCGTCTCTGGTTAAGACAAGTTGACTTATCTGAGTTCCGACAACTGATCGAATCCTCTCCGCTACTAGCTTTGCAGGTTTAAGGGTACAACTGCACGTCCGCGGAGAGAACTGTCAACTGCGTCTTTGACCCACTTGCACCCCCGGCACTCAGTTGAGAGTTGAGGCTGGAGATGCGCATGGGGGCCGATCTTCACTGGGCTTGTAGAATTCCGATGCAATTTGAATGCGTATCTATTCCGGGAGCCTCGAGAAAGAATCCAGACCCAGTGTCAGCCGAAAAACACAAAGTTTGATGAATAGTGAATTTTATGATTGGTATCAGAGTTGGTTATCCTATCAACGCCGCTACGAAACGAGCCAAAACACAAGATCAACCTAGACAAGCCCCTTCATAAGTCCCTTGCTTTATCGGCGTCCAGCGGGCTCTTTGACCCTACTCAAACAGCAGCCATCCCGGCATTAGACCCGGTAAAACGCAAGGGATCATTTAGGATTCACCCTTTTCAGACTCTTGGGCTGCTAATGTCATCCGGCTGGGCTTATCTGCGGAGGCCAAGTTACGCAATAAATATCCCGCGCGGAATGAGCCGAAAGTGCGCCCACCCTCTCCGGACTAGAGTCCGGGGAGCCTGGGGGCCGAGTTGTCAGTTTTAGATGAAAGGCGGGCTGTTTCTACTTTGGCCACGGAAGATGCAGGAAATGACGCTTATTATGCGCCAAGGTCACATTTGGATTCTGCCGGTGAGATGCACACCCTCCATTCCTGGAAGGCCCGCGGGGATTTCAGATGTTCCAGGCGATCCCGAGAAAAGGGCCCATATTGGATGTTTGAAGACTGGATTATCGGAGCGATAAAAAAATGTCAACCCCGATGATCAGAGTTATTCTTTTGGACAATGAGCGAATGCCCATTATGCACTGAGTAGGCTTAGGAGGACTTGGATAAGCCAGTACGAGGTCTAAATGGGTGCCATTAGAACGCTCAAGGGATGCATTATCCCCATCCTGTCGACCCGGAGAATCATGACATGAGATCTGATTTGATCCCTGATCTTGCGCCCGTGCGAGCCTTTCAAACTCTGTTCTCGAGATCCACCACACCAAGAATCTTCCAATGGTTTAGTGTTAGTAGGGTTGGGGTGCCGGGATCTGCCAAATGATTCCTTGACCATCTGCTTGACCGAATACGGTCGCACGGAGGGACGACTGTTCTTCCGAGCAACGAAGAAAGACCGGAATGAGACGGCGGAGGCGAGAAAAACAGCCGCCTCTGCGTTGAGTAAGTGCCAGAAAATCAACCAATTTATGTCGACCACCCCGTGATGCATGAGACCCGAGGCTTGAGTAATCATAAAGACGATGATAATGACTGTCAGGCAGAGGGAGCATGTGAGTACGACCTTTTGCATCCAGTGAACGCGAATATTCCAGATGATAGCGATGGGGATGGCAAGAACTATGATCGGGCTTAGCAAGACCTCAAGGGACGAAGGACGGTATTGGGTGCCCACTCAATAAATCACCAACGATTTCCAAGGCGGTATTGATGGCTGTGTGGAGGACAATAATCTTCTTGTCGGGGCCGATTTTGCACAACACTAATCCCCGTTCAGCAAGCCACTACGTAAAGTGGACATAAGTCACTTACACTCTCGGGGATCATTGAAATATGGACAGGAGACATATCTCGTCGCGAACCCGTAGCCCATTACACACCTGTTGTGTAGGCAACCACGGCCCACCAGAAGATCATCCAGGTTGGCAAGCGATCAATAATCCTTTTGAAGAAGAAAAGGAAACTGAACTTGATCGCATTGAAGGAGGCCCATCCCAGCATCGAGCAAATGGTATAGAACTTATGATATTGGTATGACATCTCCATCAGATTTGGAATTTCAACGGCAATTCCTTCCTACAATGCCAATAGCTTGAACATGCGACCGAGCACCTCGCTATACATAACCGCACTGTTGGCGATCAATGAACCCAAGGCGAGGATGATGAGCACGTCGTCGACTTGAATACCTTGACTTTGGATGCGAAAACGGATGATAAAGCGGACCACTACCCCGAGTACTGCCAGTGCAAGACCACAACCGGTTGTAATCTAATATCTGTCTCTTAGCTCTGTACCCCCACGGTCCATTCATGGTGCTCGGGGTATCTAAAGGAAGGCCTACGACAAACGCGTGCTTGTGAATACGCTCCACGCCATCCTCGGGTTTCATTCTGGCGGGGCTAGCTCTCTTGAAACAGATAAAGGCCGGAGATTTTAAGTTGAGAAGTATGAAGTCTTAAAGATAACCTTAACAGGACCTCGGGGATTGAAGAATGGATCTTGTTATGAGGTTGGGAAGCGCAGCCAGCAACATTTTATAAGGCCAATACTCCCTCCCCAGGCTTGGATATCATACCATCACTTTTCAAACCGTAGCTGAACGCAGAAGGCTGCTGGGCTTGGCACATGTATGGCTTTGGTGCAGACTATCATGTAATTGTGTAAGAAGTTGGGGGCTGGATGCTCTTGGGTTTCGGTCAGCTGAAATTGGTGCTGTGCCGCAATCATCTTTGCAATGTGTTATGCAGCTCAATTTCAAACTAAATATGACCATGGGAAGATTATTATGCTCGCAACCCGGTCTCTTTGAAACAGATGCTGTACAGGGCGATATAAGTGCCCAGCTTTCACCACAGTCCTTAGAACCGGGCAGCCTATTTTCCGACCGTCTCATATCAGCGAGAGAATCTTTACAGGTGATTGGGGGGACTGGCCACTGTGATGTCTCTGTTCTAGAATATACTATCATAATTCAACCACTCATCCCCAAAAATGTTGCCTATATTGCCCAGTGGAGGACGATTGAGGTCATCGCCAAACACAAGGTCGGATTCCTGGTATGTTTTCTGTGACCCTGATGTCGGGTTCTGTGGAAGTTCCACCGTATTTGGCCCAAGTTGTTGTTGTAAGACTTGAATAAGGTCCGGTGGCGCCTCAGGAGTTGCGCCCCTCGACGCTATATTCTCTTTTCGCGTACTCCATGCATCGAGTACAGCGTCTCGAAAGGAAGCATGTATCGGGTTCTGGATATGGCGGATGAACTTGCGATGTCCATAATTCTCGCAGATTGCCCTCCAGGCCCGATCATCGCCATCGGTGAACGCGCCGCGCCGCAGATTTCCCACCAGTATCATATACCCCTCTATCGGAACAAACAATGCTGTATACCAATGAAAACCAACTAGAGATTCATGGGCGTGGATTTCTGTGTCATATTCGAGCATTCGCGTGGCACATAGCAACAGATCGATGCAATCTGTCCCTCCGAGGGAGGGGGATCTCTTACCGACACGAAGGCCGTCGATGAGTTGTACTTTGCAGAGGCCGATATGTATTGTCATCGAAGCCATCTTATGCAGGGGTATTTCGTCGTTGCAATGATTGAGATAGGTCGATTTCATGTAACGTTTGAAGCTCTCTAGATCTGCGAATGGTGGGTATCTCGAAGAAGAACCACCAAAGCAGCCCATATCGGAGGTAGCCCTCGGGGACTGACCATGTTCAACAATCGGAGGTTCAATCTTGGAATGAGTGGAGGCAGTCGCTATCATGACCTCCATGCGTGCTAGGTAGAACAGCATCTCCGTTGCCCCGGTATGTGGAACCGGGGGTTCTTTGACGTCTGGATGCAAGTCCGCGTCATTCAAATTTGAAGGAAGGCGGCAATCCGCGCCGGGGGAGGATAGAATTGTAACAGTCGAGCCGGTGATCTCCGCTATTCTCTCGTCTAAAGCGACTAGCTGCCACCAGAGTCGTCTCCGTTGCTCGGTTTCAAATGGCGACAGACCAAGAAGGTACCCGTCTCGATGAAGACTAAGATGAATAGCCATGCGTACAGCGATGCCCATCCAACAGGACAAGGTTCGTGTATCTACTTCTCGACCCGCGCTGAGCTATAGTAATCAAAAGTTAGCGAGAAATGCGATGCGGAGCAAACCATGCGGAAAGTCTGGGTGGTGGCTCTTACAAGGTAAAGCATGAAAGCCTGCAACACCATGAGGTCATTTGACTTCATCAGCCCGGCGTTTGATAGGGCTTGTTGACAGGCTTCGTTGAAGCGAGCCACTAATAGTGCCTTTGATTCTCCCAAAGTGGTCGTGAGCTCTTCATCTGCCATGGATTTCACAGTTATGAGGTAAATACAGAACATGAGAGCCTCCAACGGTCTGCTGGCGCGTGCAGGATCGACACTTGCTTCAACAATCGAAGATTGTAGAGTCGGGATATGAGTGAGTTTCAAAAGGGGGTTGACGTTATTGATATAGACCTGCCAAAGCTGGAAAATCCGAACACCCGGTGGATGTAGATGTGTGATGGTCGACGCCGAGGAGCCTAGCATGAAAGGAAACCCATCGCTCTGGTTAAAAATCAAATCCAGGACGTGGTGGTTGCTCTTGTCGCGTCTCTGGCAGACACACTCGCGTGGCCCTTCTCCCTCGGACACCGTTACGCCGGCAACGTCGGGCTCTGTATCTGAAGAGGCAGGCTCATCCTCATTCCCTGTGACGGACTCGAATTCGACTCCGTGCTTAGTTAGAAGTGCCTCATATTGTCGGACCCTTTCTATTAGTTCCCGTCTTCTCAACTTCTTTTTCCTCCTTTTGACTGGTTTGGGAGGCGCGACTTTGCACTCCGCCTGGGCGCGAATACAATTGGTGCAGGGTTTTTGCTGATCACAGCGAACTTTCCGTTGTTGACATAGAATGCAGGAGTGGCCTCGTGTCAGCGTCATGGTCGGGCGATGCTCGTTCATCCGGCGGCGACGAACCTGGAGAGATTCAACGACGCGTCGGGGAAAATGAGAGAAAAGTGGCTTTTCGGTCCCGAGCCGATCCTTTTCGGTCCCGAGCCCTAAGCCCGGCCAAACCCAGTGGCCGAGACGATACAACTCTATAAATCGTGGGATGTCGTCCACATCTTGCCGGCATGGAGAAAACTGCTTCTAGCAATCTGTTGGCTTCTGATTACATCGTGCATTGGTTGGGTTCCCTCTCTGAACCCACTGAATAGCTTTTTCTGTCTGCTGATCTCTGACCGCGCCTAGTCATTTGTCCATAGAATCGACACCCCTTGCGAGAAGCTATACCGGGCGCAATGATTCCAAATAAATCAAAGAATCCCAATGGTGAGGAACGAAACGACACGGAAGGAGTGGTCAACCCCGGCGCGCTCGACATTGAAAAGAGCGTTGGATCCTCACCGTCGGGATCTCAGCCCGAGTCAGCCCGCAGGACAGACATCGAATACCGGCCTATGTCGTTCAGTTTCTGCTTGATAATGTTCTGCAATTTTCTGTCCCTCTTCCTCGTGGCTCTCGATCGAACCATCATCTCCACCGCCATCCCTCGCATCACGGACGAGTTTCACAGTCTGGGAGACATAGGTTGGTATGGATCAGCATATATGTTGACTGGCGCAGCATCACAGCCTCTCTTCGGCCGGATGTACAAAATCTATAACACTAAATGGGTTTTCTTGGCGAGCGTGGTGGTTTTCGAAATAGGCTCGGCCATATGCGGTGCCGCCCCTACTTCTAACGCATTGATTGCCGGGCGCGCCGTTGCAGGATGTGCTTCGGCGGGCATCTTTTCCGGATGTATGCTTGTTGTCATCGGCCTGGTACCGCTCCATAGCCGTCCCATGTTCCAGGGTTTGTTCGGCGCAGTGTTTGGTATTGCATCCGTGATAGGCCCTCTGATCGGCGGGGGATTTACCGGCAACGTGTCGTGGAGGTTGGTCCATGAATCCATTAATAACCGTCCACCAAAGGCATAGCGCCGTACTGACTAAACACAATTTAGGTGGTGCTTCTATCTTAACATCCCCATCGGGGTTGTAAGTATAGTTCTTATAGCCCTTTTCTGGCATCCACCCAAGCCGAAATTGGAACCGGCTCCCATCCTGACACAGGTCAAACGTCTGGACCCTTTTGGCACCATATTCTTCCTTCCCTCCATTACATGTCTTCTCCTGGCTCTTCAGTGGGGCGGATCGACATACCCATGGGATGATGGTCAAGTCGTTGGGCTCCTGGTGGCGTTTGGAGTTCTCATCTTAGGATTCGCTGGGACTCAAGTTCTAATGCCGGAGACAGCCGCCGTTCCAGTGCGAGTCATCAGGCGCCCAAGCGTTCTCTGTGCATCTCTCTTCACTTTCTGCGCTTCGGGTGCGATGACGATGATTCTTTATTATCTTCCAATCTGGTGTATGACTTCCTTCTCCTCTGAGCCCGTTGAACTGCGACTAAAGATTGCCAGTTCAAACCGTCAAGCAGGTCAGTCCGATTAAGTCGGGTATTTATACGCTCCCACTAGTTCTGAGCTTGGTCGTCGCCAGCTTTGTATCTGGCTTAGTCACTCAGAAGACCGGGTATTATGTGCCGGTCATGTACCTATCGCCTTGTCTTTTGTCCATCGGGCTATGCCTGATGTCCACTTTTCGGCTTGACACCGGCTCCTCACACTGGATTGGGTATCAATTTCTCTGTGGCTTCGGATTGGGGCTCGGTATGCAGAGCTCTGGTCTTGCTGTGCAGACAATCCTTCCACCGTCTGATATTTCAATCGGGATTGCCCTCATATTCCTTTGCCAGCAGCTCGGCGGTTGCATTTTCGCCACGGCCGGCCAGAGCATTCTTAGCAATCAGCTGGTCTCTGAGCTTGGCGGGGTCCCTGGTGTGGACGCGGGACAAATCGTTCACGAGGGTGCGACAAACCTGAAATCGGTGGTCTCGTCAGACCATATGCTCGTCGTGAGACAGGCCTATAATTCGGCCGCCACGAGAATCTTCCTGGTTGCCTTGGGTTTGGCCCTGGCAGCATCGTTGAGCTCATTCGGCATGGAGTGGAAGAGCATCAAGAGAGATGGGGTAAAGCAGGGTGAACAAACCAAATAGCCAGATACCCAAGTAATAGAAGAGTCAAAGTCTGGTACAGATGGGAAGTCAAGGGGTTGACTGCGATTGTCGTCTGCGCCAAAGATGCCACCAGTAGATACGAAGGACCCGTTGTTCCATTTCCAATCCAACATCTGAGAGATGGATGGCACCTGAGCGAATCGATCCATATGTAGATATCCTTCTAAAAAAAAAAAAAATGCAAATGATAAGTTACTAAATCTGCGTATATTTATAGTAACTAAAATATAACTAACTAACAATGCAAAGCCAGAGGGCTGACGTAAGCAGGACCACGTGGGGCCACAGAAGATTTGTGCATTTCCTTTATCAACATTCATCGGCTTCAACCTCATCTTCAACTTCACTGTTACTCCCTCCAATCTACATCTAACGCGGTCTGAACAAGACCCGGTGGCCAGGGCATGGGAACCGACAGTCGACCCCAATTCCAAGAACTGCCCGGCCAACCTCGGGGTATTTTCTGGGAAGATGACTTCATCTCGCCCGAGCACGAGCAGCGTCTTCTCTCAATCTTTCACAATGAATTAGAATGGGCCGACCGTCCCGGTCGTCTCTCACTTCACTATGGCTACTCTTTCGACTATAAGACATTTGGAGTCGATCCTGATATCCCTTACAAGGAGTTCCCCGACTGGTTGAAGCCGCTCATTCCCACGACCGAGTCGCGACCACCCGACCAGGTGTGCCTTCAGTACTACCCGCCTGGCGCCGGCATTCCGCCACACGTAGACGCGCATGGTGCTTGGGACCAACTGTACGCACTGTCAATGGGCGCGCCGGCTATCATGCAATTCCGGAAGGGCGAGGAGCGTGTCGACTTTGATCTGACTCCTCGGAGTATGATGCAAATGGCGGGCGACGCCAGACTCCATTGGACTCACGGTATCAAGAAGCGCAAGACCGACACGCTGCCAGATGGGACGGTACGGACGCGCGCGGATCGCTGGAGTATCACATATCGATGGGTCCGGGAAGGGGAGTGCGAATGTGGAAACCTGGAGCTTTGCGACGTGGCTCAACGACGGAATGGTACCGAGAAAGAAAAGCGCTCATTGAAGGAGCTGGAAGCGAAGATAGATACCCAGGAACCAGGCGCATGAGAGGTGACTCGCTTGAGTCGAACTGCATCCTGAAACGTCCGTGTCTTTATCAGCACGTGTCTATACCCCCAACTGCCTCGGGTGATTCCCCGGGGGTTTCACGAAGCTTTGTCGAAACCTCTTCAACTCGGGGCATTCGTACCACGGTTATTGCGAAAGGACAACGAAAATTGCCATTCTTGATGTCATCGTCGCATAATGGAACACGCCGGGCATGCTTGTCGACGGGACTGATTGACCCTCGTGCTCATGCGGATTCTTCCATAATCTCCAAGGACATTCTTTGTAGATAACTGCCTATTCATTCTGTCCAAGTGGGCTTGGGCATCCATAAACCTGTCTTTCATCAACAAAAACCCCCTCCAGGTCCCATTTGATTGAAAAGGGTCAGTGTCGAAGTATATAAAGGGAGCTAAACCCACCCCCTTTCAGTATAGTGATTGTCATTATACCGCACCATCTAGCCAGAGACAGAGATCGCTCGTGAAAATATCTCACTCTCAGCTCGTATTTTGTACATGCTAGTAGACATGGCCCAGGTTCTGAACTGGTACGATTGCTCGGAGGTTAAATTCCCCACTGTGGCAGGGGAGCGTATTGTGGAATTGGGGCCTCACACCTCATTAACCTACCTTGTGCCGCCGACATGTGATCCGGAGATACCCAACACGTTTGTTCTCAGTGTCTTCACACCCCTACATGGCACGTTCGTGGGATTTATTCCGCTGGTGGAAGCTGCGCTCGAGGTCTTGCGCGAAGGACGCGCCTTCGCCTCCAACTACAAGGAAGCTGGGGGTATCTGGTGGAATTTTATATTCCAGCAGCATGGGACAGTGCCCAATCCTGCAGACCTGGTTTCAATGGCCCTGGTAGCTCTAGAAGTGCACCACGAGGGGCTCATCCGCCTTGCGAAAACCCACCGCAAGTTCTCGCCTGCCCTGCAATTTCGTTAGTAACCATTTACTGACTAACTAACTATATAACTCGATGAATATATGCCCTCAAGATTCCAAGTTGACTGTTATAATGATTTGTAATTTTCTGGAAGGATCCCGTAGCGTTGATTGACCTGGAAGACAGCCTGGCCTGCCTATGTCTACCGTCAGCCACCTTGTCGGCCTTTGCCTCTCTCTTCACTAATGATCTCTAGAACCGGCACCGTCTTGGAAAGACAGTTCTTTCGACCATATGGGGTCTCGTCTGGCGTGTGCTGAAAGAGCCGTCCTTGATAAATGGCACAAGCGCCATACGTTATAGCCCGTTCTTCTTTTCGGTTACTAGGTACTTCAGATGCCCATTTCCAGAATCATTCTCACCCCCTCGAAGCTCTATGAGTAACAAGCGGATATTAATGGTCTATTGCGAATGTCTCTAGGAATTAGTACAGCATGGATCGAAATCAGTTTCACCACTTTATTCTCTGGAATTTTTTCCCAAACCCTTGTCTGAAACACGCTATGCTATATTTGATCTAGCTGAATTTGAACTCCGAAATAGTAACTATTGTAAATGAGTATCACATAACTAACAGTGGATTCAATAAATTACTTGAAATACTACTACCATCAATACTCACATACCCTCTCATAGCTCACTCCTTTCGCTATTTGGCCACGTTACTGCCTTGACTCCCGTGAGAGTAACGTTCGCGTTGAAGTGAATTATCAAACTGAAGTTAAAAAGAAGTGATTACTTTCTCACGGTCTCTCTCAGTGCCCCTTGATTCCTATCGGATTCCTATTCCCTAGTATTCATCCTTCTGCGCGCGGCTACTGTGTTTTCTATATCTAGAGATATATTTAACATTACAGTCCGAAATCTCTTCCTATGGTCAAACGCTGTGTTACGAACTACTAATTGGTCACGGTGAGTAACGTCCGTAAAGGTAATACTTCTCTAGGAGTACTGCGAGCCTCAAGCCTATCCTCGACTATCCTATAGCCACGCGGGGTATTGCGCTAGTTAGGTCCCGGACACTTACAAGGTATACTATTTAGAACGTTAAGTAGGTCAGCCACTAAGGAACTCCCCTAATTAGCGTTCTAAACTATACTTAGCTAGATATGGCCACTTTACCCACGATGCGACTCGACATAATTCCGGAAAAACCGAAGTAGATCATGGACGCTATAATAGCACTTATCGATCAAATATAGACGGAGTACTTGAAGGAGGATACGGAAGGATGGCAGTATAGGGGTAAGAGCTTCACCGAATTAGTTACCTCACTGGAGAAAGAGGTGAAAGAAGAACTTAAACCTCAAAATCTCTACGTGAGTTAAAAAAAATTCTTCATTAGATAAGAGCTGCTAACTATTTAGCCTATAGGTGGACTTCTGTACTGCGCAACATCTCTTTAAAGGCTAACGATATGGTTCACCTGGCTACCAATGACATGACGCTATTAGATACACCAGGGACCAGAATAAAAGCCCTTGCTTCGCCGCTCCAGTTGCACAATATGTACGTGCTTCAACGTATACTCCTTCCCGAAATAGTTGCAGCCGGGTGCCTCTATGCTTTCTCCCGAACCACGGGAAAAGTGCGGTACATATTATTTAGATGAGCGAGCCCAGAGCGACGCAGGGAATAGCAACACCAATCAAGTCTCCGTTCTATGAAATCGTTAGTAATGGGTTAATGGTAGGGTTCGAGGGCAAGGACGTACAGGTTGGGAGCCGCTATTCTGGCAGCAAGCAATGTTCTGTTTGCACTTCTGGTTGACGAGCTGGTCAACGCCGCCGCCGACAACATTCAAGACGGGAACGTTGAGACTGAGGTCATTGCATTGGCCGAAGAGACCTAGACCGTCACCACCCGGACCGCCTCCGAGGGCGGTTTGTATAACACCGGCGAGAGGGCCTGTGTTGGCAGTAGTGATATCGTGGGTGTAGGTGGCCTTGTTGCAGCAGGAGACCTTGGCGTCGTAACCGCACTTGGCCTGAGCCTGGCTGAGGGTGGTCTCGTGATCGACGGGGAATTTAACCGTGCTACCGCTGTCGACATCGTCGCCAGGGGAGGGGAGAGCCACAGCGGTGGCGGCGAAGAGCAGAGCAGTGGCGAAGAACTTCATGTTAATGATTGGGATTGGAGTATTCTTGGTGGGATCACAATCGAATGACTTAGAAAGAGTCCTGAAGAGAGAAGAGCCGTGGGGATGAAAAACTCAACCCCGGAAACCTCAATGCTTTTATAGCCTTTGGTCTACTTTATCCAACCTCGCCCGTCTCCACCGGATTAAGGGGATCCAGGAGGCAGACAGTTTCTAGCCGTCCAGGAAACCCAGCATCATACGAGCCCGAGAATCAATAGACTAAGTGGCGAGCGAGGATCATTACTGAAGCTAGGCATCGAACGCGACGTCGGCCAACAATATAATGCCTAGCACTGCATAGCGTGATACATATTCAACATGCTTTACTGCAGGAACAAGTCACATTTTTACCTGGTTAAGGGAAACCCGGTTCCACCACTAGGAGCTAGTAGAAATGGATCTCAGCTCTCGGATATTGGCTTTGGACGCTAGGTGGCGTTCCTCGACGATCGGCGATTTAGCGTCGGGTGCATCATAGACAGCAAATCGCGTCAGTATAGCCTTTGCTCGTACACGCTCGCTAGTCATGAACAGTAAGACTGAGATTATGCTGTCGAGGGCTAATCTGGTAGGGAAAGATGGGCTTTCAATTTACTGGCTATTTTGCTATCTATGACGTGTCCTGTTCGTTGCCAGCTATAGAGAATTGTTGGATGTGTAAGTGCGACTGCACTAAATATCCAGGCGACTACAACTTCGTACTGCTACATGCTCTGCTTCAAACACTATTTGAGTTATGGCCTACGTACTGGCCGACCACTAAAATACCTTGAATGCTGGTTTCGGGCTAAGCACTGTCGTTCTGAAATAGACATCAAGACACTCATGCCGGAGATCAGTTCTTAGTTCCACAGAACGAAGCCTTCACCGAGATATTCCTACAGAGTTGACAGTACGGTCCTTAACCTAACAAAGGGCCTTGTGACTAGCTTCATCATAGGTAAGATCTTCGGATTCCTTAGATTCTCCCTTAGCCTCCGAGCAAGACGTCTTAAAGTTCGCCATATTTTGTTTAAGCGTAATACATTCAAAATGGCAATACCGCCCTGCTGCAGCCTCGCAGACAGCCTGAACAAAGCTAAATTTAGACACGTCACGGGGATATCACAGCGCATCACTTTGTAGTCTCGAGTTAGGGAATCGTTTTTGTAGCTGAAAAATACTTCATTTTGGTGCGATACAACATGATATCTGCCTCCTTCATATGATTTTGCACATTCAGCGCTGTCACCGCAAACCTGATTCGCTTTTAATGAAATTATACCGGACACATGGACGAGAAGGTAAAAAAGCCGCATTTTGCTAGATTAGATGAAAATATCAGAATCTGATAAGTACAAAAAGCTAATAGTACCCACTAGATGATGTTAATCTGGTAAGATTCGAGAGAGCGGCAGATTGTGGGCAGACCGGGGCTGGAAGGAGATAAAGCGAAGAGACACTAATGCTGAGCAGAGAAAGAACGCATCATATACTGAGCTCCTTATATCGACTTACGCGTTAATAACCAAATGTGCCAAGCCCATTGCTCCCCTTCCAGTTCTCTCATTGTTTTTGTATCAGCATACTTCTTGCCAACCACGCCAAGCAACGCGTGCCGAGAGAGATCGGCAGCACTATTGTGTGTAACAGGCGGTTCCATAATCCGAATGGCAGAATTAGTGAATTCTCAATATCGGGTTGCAGCAGAAAGACTCATAGCTCAAAAAGCCTTCTGACTCGCAGCAGTCCCCCGCGACCTTCTATTGAGTGGTATCTAGGGCCGTCTCCTATAGTACAGTCGCACCCACAAATTTCTCCGAAAAACCTGGCTCCGCTTACGGCATGATTAACCACAGATCTGCACCGCTATCGAAGATCGTCCGTCACTCCGGGGATCGTCCCGAACTGCTTGAACTTGTCAATTAGTGATCAAAGTCCCACTAGCTCATATATTCAAAAGTATAATGTATGCTAAGGCACTGTGCAGAACCTTACAGCTACGACGTATAGTGAGACACCGAGTTTTTCCGAAGCTAGTATGTTCTACGCAGCTATATCAAAATGATGGATAGTCAACAACCGGCACAAGATCGAATACCCCTAATAGGCAGCTACAGACTAACGTAAATCCCAAGCGAGTCGCGCCCCCCAAAACACAGACGAGCTTTTGAGATAGCTTAATTTCATCACGACTTGCACTTTCCGGATTTATTTTTCCGAATCCAAGAGGAAAGAGTGTAAAGGTATACTGTACAAACTCTGCAGCCGCCAACTAGCTGAGGACCCGCAACTTGCTGAAGGATCACCGTGAGCCAACCCGTTCCCCAGAACTACGCCCTAATGTGATCATGTGTATTTCCCAATACTCCTGGACCCCCCAAGGCCTTCCATGAAATAAATTTCATCCGCTCACTAAGCAGAGGGGTAACTACGGTGAGCACAGAGAAAGGACTTTCTCCACTTTGCATCACCAACGCCCTTAATCCCCTTCTACAGTCGCTCCGAACATGGCTCCTCGGCTCCCTCCATCCAAGCTGGAGATGATCCGTAATCTGATATATAGCGGATCGCTGACTACGATACAGATGGCCGACGCAGCAGGGTGTAGCAAGCGCCCAATCGCTAATGTTCGAAGTAATCTCCGCCTTTTCGGAAATGTCAGAGCTCCCTCAACCCGCGTCGGCCGCCGACGAAGCATCACGCCTCCGATGATCCACACCTTATGTGACCATCTTCTCGAGAAGTTCGGGTTATATGTGGATGAGATGGTGCTTTTCCTGTGGGATGAGTTCCATACCTGGGTGACTAGTTCGAGTCTCAAGCGGGCTCTTGTTTCAGTCGGCTGGTCGAAAAAAGTCGCTAAACATAGAGCAAAGAAACAAAATGCCGATTTACGAGATTTTTACTTACATAACCTGTCGGACTTCAAATCTCATCATCTGGTTTATGTGGATGAATCTGGATGCTACAAGCGAATTGGGTTTAGACGCACGGGCTGGTCTCCGTTGGGCCTGACACCACTGCAGGTATCCAAATTCTACCGTGACCAGCGATACCAGATCCTGCCCGCATATGCACAAGACGGCGTTATCCTGTCTCGAGTATTTCAAGGCTCGACCGATGCTGCCGTATTTGAAGATTTTATCGAGCGGCTTCTTAAACACTGTGAAGAACGAAATCTGTAATTATTATGGACAATGCTTCCTTTCATCACTCTGATCGAATAAAAGCAATGTGCGCATGATTTGAATCCCATCGAGGGGTTCTTCTCCGACTTGAAAGCATTCATTAGGTGCCACTGGCAGAGATATGAACAAAGCCCCGACCAAGGATTTGTTGCTTTCCTCGAGTGGTGTATTGAAGCTGTCGGGTCTCGCGAACGGAGTGCAATCGGTCATTTCCGACATGCTAGGGTATTCGTTGAAAATCATCCTTGAATGATTCGCGGTACAGTATGACCCAATGTCAGCACATGTACTATACTTGCTTTGACATTTTGAGGCAACAGAGCTAGGAGTATTAGATAGCAATGAATTACTTCAAATCTATATCAAGTAATCAAATGCGAATCCTATGTCTAATAATAGTATAATATCTTGCCATGCATTCGCACTGTAAGCTTGCGTAGTTAATCCTTGATGTCCCGCGCCCATCTACCGATATCGCCAACGAAGCGCCGTGCAATACCTAACGCAACTCCGTTTTCGATGAAAAAGGCTGCATCCTGATCCTCATAGATCTGTTCAAGATCCAGACCGTTGATCTGTGTCACATCACAAGCTAGCCGAAATTGTGCCTTGAGAGATTCATCGACGACGTTTGTTTCTTGCCATGCGCTGTATTCTCTCACAGCCACACCTCGGGGCCCGTCGATCCTAAGCTGATCTACCTCTTCCCATGCTTCGCTTCAGACAGCTTGGATGCTGCGGTCAGACCGGCCGCTGGTAGCTGCAGAGAAGGTTGCCCTCCCATGAAGTTGAGATTGATGGGTGGGCAGCTTCCAGGGACGACCGATCTATTGCTCTTAGACCGTGAAGTTTCCAGCCTCTGCTGCTCTTCCAGGTAGATATCTTCACGGATAGTGTCAGAAACATCATCTTGGCTCTCCAAAACCCCATCCCCTTCAACATAGGCAATCAGGCGTTTTAAATGATGCGTCCTTAGCTGATAGTGTTTCTTCCCGCGAGGATCCTGCCCGCAATGCGGACCCAGGTGACAGGATGGTGACGGATAACGCATCAAGCCGTAGACAGCTCGCCAGATCGACTGTTGCCCAGATACATGTTCTTCGGCGTCGAGCTGTGCATCCCGCTCCTGGACAGATGACCTTCCTCTTTTCTCGCTCCTACCTGTAGCGCCTCTGGAAAGGTCGTCCTCTATATAGTTGAAGACAATCACGAGCCTCAATTCCTTGCACCTGGTATAAAGTTCACTCCACGCAAGTAGTTGTTTCTCCACAACCGCCCAGTCAATTTCCAGAGTTATACCGCTTTTTCAAGTCCCGCTGCTTGCGATCGTTGACCGACACAAGTATGGACGTGTCATCTGATCTAACCGTTCGGTTACGAGAGTCTCTCTTGGAGTACCTTCTCCAACTTACCCTTCAGGACCGAGGGCCAATAGGCGCCTGGAGTGAGGGCTACATCTTATTCCGTGTCCTCCGACTTGAAGCAATTGTTCACCTTCCACTCGATTGTGTATCGGATAAGGCTTGGCGGAAGCTCGTCATCCGGTCTACTCGCATCCCACTCACAAAGCTGAAGAAGCCGGGGAGATTCGCGCTGGGTAGAGCTCGGGGCTACGGTGCCGTCCTGGAAGAAACAGTCCGGTGAAGGACTGAATCCATATTCAGAGGGTGGTAGCTGAACTAGGTATCCTGGTGTGGGGGCATATTGCGAATCGTGGTCCGAGATAGTGGGCGTATGACCTTGACAATCCTGCTGGGCATAGAACGAGTCGTTAATCATGTTCAACGATTTCCTGATAAATCCAACGACGTTAGCATACCTTCCGCTTCTGGGGTTCAACAAACGGTTCAATTAATGAGAAATCCAGCATTTTATGGCGTGTATGATAAATTGGTTGTAAAGAAACACCTCACCAGTTTTGTATCCGTACACGTTCTTTCGCTCATCCACAGAATTCTGTCCGTGGGTGGGTAGTTCAACGAAAGTAGGAGAAGAGGTTGGAAAGGAGGTCAGCGCTTCACATTTCCACCTGATGCGTTTGGCTTGTTTGCAACGAGGTGTGAAGCTGATTTCGAGCGGCCCTGTACTGTACCCAATAGTCCGCTCCTCACGAGAGGACTTTTCCTCTCGTCGAATCCCCCAGGACCCTCCCCTCCCTGTATAGCAAAAGGTCCAGACAAAAGGTCCAAGACGATATGAATGGTGGTATAATTTGGCAGTTCTGTGCATGGCCCAAGCTTTTGTCACTTTCTACATGCGAAGCATAGTAACCGTCGATCACATCGTCACCCACCAAGTGCCGGTTCGTATAGATAGCTCGCCGTCAACTATGTAAATGCTGTATTGATTATAGTCGCTGTTTTGTTTACAAGAGATAAATTCTGCATTATATATGATCGGATGACGCGAAATTTGGTGTTGTCTCAATGAACGGCCTCCACTGCTCCTCACACCATTCCCAGGACTTAGCGGCATATCCTAATCCTCCCTCCCCGACGGGTGTCATGGCATTGATTATATCTTTTCAAGGGCAGTCCTCGTCTGGTCGTACTCTCCCCCAAGGAATGACGTAGGCACCGTTTTTCCCCTCTGATTTCGGGACTGAGGCCACAATACCGTTCCGTGCAGGCGCCAAAGCGGGCGTCATGCAGCAAAGGCCGTACGAGACACATAGTCAGGGCCGGAGTGCCTTCGTAAGAACCTGCCTTCAGGTTTCCTGGGTTTTGCACGATGCTGAAGATGCCGTCCGCCGCGTATCGACGGGCCATCTCCCGACCTAGCATCCAGGTGCCGGCCTTGGACACGGCGTAATTGACAACGCCGTCGTCGCTGCCTTTCGCGAGCGCGGCGAAATCGATACCGTTCACTGGCGATCCGCCCTCGGTCAGAAAGCTCGACGTCCAGACGACGCGTTCGGCGCCAGGCGACTGCTGCGGACGCAGAAGATCGGTGAAGAGGAGCGTGGCAATACAGTGCATGCCGATCATGGCTTCAAAGCCTTGCTTGGTTCGCGTACTGGGAGCGATGTGATTGGCAACCCATGCAAGCGTTGTTCCATAAAATGCCGATCTTTGTCTCCTGAGCTGCAAAAGTGGCGGCGGCCGTCTTGACGGATTCAAGATCGTTGAGGTCGAGTTGCAGGAATAGAATGCGACCGGGATTTGCAGGAGCCGGCGACGAGTCTATGATCGACCGGATCGCTTCTTCGGCGCGTTCCTAGACCCCTATGTGTCAGTCCTCGGGTTCAGTCTTCGCGAGTGCATGATCTCGAGTATTTATCGTAACCGGTGGGAATGGCGGCGTTGGCTTTGCGCCGTGTCGCATCTTGTATGGCACCGGTGCCACTATTTAGATGGCGTCCCGGTCCAAGGTATGTCGACCGGTCTATGCCGGGACATTCTTTTCCGTCAAGCTTGGACTCGGTGGAAACAGCTGAGTCCACGCATTGCATACCGTTGCGATGACCATGATGAGAGGAGTAATGATCTAGAAGGCTGTAACTGAATACAAGCCCCCGTGCTGCATTATTCATTTATAAAGACTTGCCTGCCAGTGACACTATGTGGTAGGGTATTCCCTCGAGAGGTTCGCATTGCCGTGTTCGCCAATCATTCGAGGAGGTTCAGCTCTAGTGACTCGAGGTGTTGGTTGCCAATTTAGCGCCCAGCGCAAAGTCCTACTGATCTGTAACTAAGCACAGCTTTTGGATTAGTCACTCCGTCAGTAAGCATTTGTAATAATCATAATTGTAGTCAGTTAACTAGTTGGTTGGTTGGTTGGTTAGTGTTGTGTTATTCCCTCCCAGCTGAACCAATTTACCGTACACCGCGCTTTCTTTTGCGTGGCTTTCGATGTGCGCTGGTATACATACACTCTACATGCCCCGAGCCGCTTCTCAAAAATTACACGACCTACATATCGCCAAGGAAACCTTTAAGAGATGAATGTAGAATAGTCCGCATTGTTCATTCGTCCATCGTCAACAGATGACGAGTGGTATTAAGAAGAAAGCAACAACTGCCACACTCCACCAGCGATGCGGCGGCGCGGCCCCCATAGCCAACAGGCCGGTTCGCACCGCAGGCTCCACTGTCCGCGATCGATACTGGGAGATGCTTGGCAAGGAGGCTATCTTCAACATCGATCGGATCTGTCGAGTGGGTATTCTCGGGAGTATATCATTATCACACAATGGGTAGTGTTTGGGGAAATCGTGAGGGGAAGAGTCCAGTCCTGAGCCGGGTGTGAAGAGTGAATGTCTCTGGGAAGTTGCCTTCGGTAAATAACAGCTCAATCGGCTACACCACTGAAGAACAAAGCTGAGAGGCCTTATTTAGTTGAAATACTAGGAGACGGTCACTGGCCTAGATGATCACGGTCTGATTAGTCGAGTCGAGACCAGGCTTCTATTTGTCTTTGTCTGAGACGGGCCCGAGGAAAGGATCTACATCAGTCTCCCGGCGTACTCCGCACCTTCCACAGGGTATATGAGTCTCTCTTCAGTACAGAATACACATGTCACATACTAAGTACGGAGTGCGGAGGACGGAGTTGTCGTCGATTGAATGCCAATCTAATCAAGGCCTGGTCCCGTTGCCAAAGATAGATTTCCGAGTGGACTGCACAGCCCGTGTCGATATGGACCGGCATCCATACATTCTCGAACAAGCAATCAGACCGATTCGACGTTGCCTACGCGGACCCGAGTCTCCAATTGATTGCACCAATACGTCGTCCAAGCGTCATGCAAAGTGAGCCAGGAAGTCCTCGGTGATCGTCCAGCAAATAGATTCGCCGAGGCAACCCCGGAAGATGGACCCTGAACGTGTAATCGGTGGCTCAGCCCTGAACCAGACACGGAGCAGCGACTAAGGGGAACGCAGAAGAAAAGAGGAACCTGAAACCATGGGCAGTGCGGTGGCGGATCGGCCGAAGGACAGCGAGCCCGTCACATCGTGGACTGGTCAGTCCCTGGGCAAGGATCGACAAGACCCCGTCCAACCGTCCGCGCTAAGAATAGAAAGCCGGTAAAATTTCCCCACGTCGCGGGCCACTCTGATGTCATTCTGGCCACTCAACGCCCTCCAGTGCGGTGGCATTCCGTGGTTTTGCTCTGCCTGGAAAGACGGTTCGACCCGATCACTCGGAGGCGCAAAACTCGAAGTCCGGCAAGGGACCCTGAATGGCACGGGAAAAAAAAAAAAAAAAAAAAAAAATCCTACTATTAACGAAACGGGAAGAATCAAGAAAGACGGCAAGAGTAAGACATGTCTCATTTCCCGGCAATGATCGACACGGCAGAGATCCACAGGCCCTGAGGGTTTCCCTGTACCTTGATGCCCAGGACTTTATAAAAACCCTCAAGGCCTCTCTACATACCCTTTCTCTCTCCATCCGTTCACTTTCGCTTTGGGAATTTTACTGTTATCACTCACTTTTTCTTCACCTTCACCTCCAATCTTTCACGATGAAGTTCTCCTTCGCTGCTATGACCGGCCTGGTTGGTGCCATCAGCGCCTCCGCTGTGCCCTACGCCGCCTCGTCCTCTTCGGCCATTCCCTCTTCTGCCACTCCCTCGACCACCCCCTCGGGCACTCCTACCCCTGGAGCTTCTCTCCCCGACGCTTTCACTCTCGTTGCCGAGGGTGGTCTCACCCTCCTGACTGATGGCCGTAAGTAGTGCCTAGACGGTCCTCGTGAAGAGACATGTTGCTAACGATTGACGACAGAGTACGCCTACTTCGGCGGTAACACCACCAGCAAGGAGATCCTCATCCGTATGTCTTCCAGTCCTCAACCGCGGACAAGACCCACCAGGCTAATTCTTATTTCTAGTCCACTCCGCTCCCAACGGTGCTGTCTCTTTCACCTCCAAGGACGGCGTCCCCACTGCTTTCCAGAGCCTCTATGTCGTCGACCAGGACACCGCTCCCCTTGGTCTGACCATCCCTCACTCCGGCGCCGTGCCCACCGGTGCCAGCACCCTGAACTTCGGCGTCAACGAGCAGGGCTACTTCACTCACGACGGAAAGCCCTGGTTCGCCGTTGAGGGCTACGGCTCCAACCCCGAGAAGACCGTCTACTGGTACGGTCGCCACAGCTCCACCTACCGCGCTGCCAACCTGTGGGTTAAGGAGTGCAAGGGCTGCTAAATCAGTCTCCACAAGACCTTTCCCCTTGTACATACATTCAAAGAGGAGGCCATAACCCTCGTTTGATTCTCGTTACCGACGACGTGACCTGCGTGATGCAATCGGTCGGATCTGACTTAGACGTTGAATGAAGTATCGGATTGTCCGCGTTTTGATACCCCGAGCTGTACATTAAGAATTCATTTTAGACATATGGTGGCGGCTAGCCGCGTAATTATTATCTTGTGATAAAGTATTTTCCTCTCTGTCAACACTTCGTAAGGCATAATTATTAATTATGCACATTGAAGGATTTTTAAGACGCGTCTACTTCAAACATTGCTCCATAAGCTTAATTAAGCGGCCGTCCCGCTGAAACATGGCATGTGTCAGCCCTGTCATCCACTTCGTCCTGGAAATGTCCCTCGTGTGTGACCCTGGATCTAGAATTTCGATAATTCATTCTCGAGTCAGGATCTCGAGGTTACGGTGTAGTCTTGTCCGGATATTACAGAGTACGCTCAAGGCGACCATCAGTCCGGCCAGTGAGGATGATCTTTAATCGAAGTACTGCACACTGACTCCCTTGACGATTTCCACCTGATTCACTTCATTATCCCCGTCGTCTGCGGCTGTGGTGCTCAGATTTTTGATCACTCGCTGCTTAACCCATTCCCCAGCCTTGATAGGATTCCCATCACCGTCAACCACGCCGTCGCCAATCAGCCCGTGGTGGCACAGAACTGGCGACTCTTTGATAGGGACCAGATGCGAGTCATCCTCAATGCGCACCATGTACAACACGCCTAATCGGTCAATATGTGCTTGGTCTTTCGGGGGTGCGACGACCCGGTGAATGCTGGATTTCAGGTACCCGCCTGCCATTCTGTATCAGCCTACATATCTTCGTCGGAAGGCACAACTTCGGACACACCGGTTAGGAAATGGAGTGCATCTGCGAGATTCACCGTCAGGGCGTCCATCTGCGGTCGAACGTACCGCCACGTTCCGTCTTTGCTGAGCACCTGGAGAGCGGCCACGGGCTGGCGGAAGAGCAGAGTCAAGCTGCCCATGTCTGAATGTCTACTTGGCTCAGTCAGGCCGGTCAGCCACGGTGCAATTTAGCGGTAAAATAAGAGGTACCGCCTCACCCTTTCAACCAAACCCCTCCCAGTTTCAGGTTCTCCTCCTCACTGCGCGCATAATATTTCATGTACCGGAGATGGTCGCCACTGGTCTTCTCGTACCGGTGTTTTTTGACGAACCATTCCTCATCTTCGAGGCCCAGCGCGATCGCAAAATTACCAGCAGCTTGGTCACGATCTCGTCGTGAATATGCCTGGAAAACCTCTCGATTGTAGGCAACTGCTGCCGGATCACGTCCGGGTGCGCCCGATCGGCATGCTCCGGGATAAACTTGGGAATGTTATAGATCTCGAAATTGTCCTTGACGCCGGGGATCAGGTTGCGCGTCCCCGCTGGTTTCCATCCATTGTAGCCACCTTGTTCGAGAGCTGCCCGGTAAGGGGACTTCTCTTCGTTTGAAAGGGCGAGTGTCGAACTGGCGATTGCGAATTGATTGTCAACGTCCTCTCGACTCAGGCCGTGGTTCTTAACATAGAAGAATCCTGTGCTTAAAGTTAGATATACCCATGTTGACAGAACATAAAACATACCGACGTCTTCGATGGCTTGGATGAACTCGGTGGCGAGATCATGCTTCCCCCCGGGTTGATCAAATTTCGACAGGTCGAGAGTCACTAGGTCAGCCCAGTCCAGAGACTCTGATGTCTCGGGGACTTGAATATATGAAAGGCTCGGAGCTTCTACGGTAGTGGTCGTCATCTTGAAAGACAATGGGATCCTTCCACAGTTATGCTCTCTGTGCTCCATTACAGCAGAAATCCCGCGATTCTTGTATGTATTCGCATTCCATTTTCATGCGCCATGCATCCAGATGCCGATGGACGTCATTCTAGCCCCCATCACACCATGACTGGCAAATCACATCACCAAGTCGCACAGCGAAGTCGGCGTAGGGCTTCGGCCACGCTGCCGCCCAGAGATAACCGACGGGCTAACATGAACGGGGAAGAGTACCTGCGGGATCTGGTTCGACCCCAGTTATGAATGGAGGGGGTGTCATTGCTGAAGGAAACTCCATCCGACTACTATAACTCTTGGGTTGGTGCCATTCTTAGGGCTAGTGATGCCATCCATCTTGCCGCATGAGGAAAGTAGGTCGGGGTTTGAATCCTGCGCGATATGCCGGTTGATATCCTTCTTCTGTGTCGTCCTGAAAAGGATAAAGGTCAACGTTGATTCTATTCATCTAGAACATCTCACCTAGAGCTTTCGGCCTCATTATGTCCACCCGGTCGGATTTACACGAAACAATTGCCGGCCGCCAAGATGCAAAGACAACAGCCAGCTTTGACATTATGGGAGAAGAAGCCATAGAAATCGACCCGCATACTTCCAGGCGCGTCCTCAGGAAGATCGATCTCTTTTTAATGCCTGCCATGGTTATTGGTAAGTCTCGTTGTGCCTCCTTCAGCGCTGAGCCTGATGTGTGCGTGTACAAAAGGATATGGTCTGGTTTACTACGACAAGGTACGTACCTGGCGCGTGATGATGGAGGCAGATGCAAGTTATAATCTAACATGCTTCCGTAGGCAATTCTAGGTAACGCGGCGCTTTTTGGCATGACCGAGGATTTGCAGCTCAAGGTCGTCGACTCGTCGGTGAATCCGCCGCAATCCGACACCACCAGACTCAGCTGGGCAACGTCCATCTTTTATTTTGGTCAGTTGGCAGGCTCTTATCCCATGACATACGCCGTCCAGTACTTTAACACGCGCTACGTTCTGGGTCCGGTTGTCATGCTCTGGGCCGTTATTTGCGCCGCCACGGCCGGCGTTACAACGTGGCAGGGCTTGCTTGTCCAGCGGTTCTTTCTGGGTGTGTTAGAATTTCGCTAGAACACCTCGGCCCCAATGGCGGCGATACTGATTTACAGAAAAAGGGTTTACGGAGGCGGTCATTCCCACGGGCTTCATGATCACCGTCAGCGGATTCTATACGCAATCTGAACAGGCGCTTCGGCAAAGCTGGTGGTTCTCAGGAACCGGATGGTTCACGATTATTGGCGGTGCGCTAAACTATGGGTTTGCACAGATTGACGGTGGGTCGTTAAAGCCATGGCAGTATATCTACGTCCTTGCCGGGGGGTTGACATTTTTGTTTGGACTGTGGTGCTTCTTCATCCCGAACTCGCCTCTGAATGCGTGGTTTTTGAGCCCCGAGGAGCGAGCTGTGGCGGTAGAGAGGTTGCGAGCCGGGCAAACCGGAGTCAAAAATCACCACTTGAAATTTTCACAGGTACAGGAGGCAGCTTTCGACGTGAAGATTTGGCTGGTTGCAATCACAATGGCCGCTGCGTAAGTTTTATGGCACCCCAACCCCTTGCAAAGCATACTATACTCACCATATATTAGGTACACTGTCAACGGGGCTGTCTCTGGTTTCGGCCCGTTGATTGTCTCGACATTTGGCTACTCATCTCTGGAAAGTATTCTGTTTCAATTTCCTCTCGGAGGGTTGTCAGCGGCGGGCATTATCCTGACTGGCTGGTTGTGCTCTCGGTTGCAGAACGCTCGGATCATCAGCCTGTTACTCTGCTGTCTACCGGTCATCGCGGGTTTCGCTATGATTTGGAAATCGACCTGGGGTTACCAACCAGTCGTTCCGGTGGTCGGTTACTCCCTCATTGGATTCTTCGGTCCGGTTGTCAGCTTGACCATTTCCCTCGGCGCGAGTAACATCGCAGGCGAGACCAAGAAGAGTTTCATGGCTTCAGCGGTCTTCGTGGCTTACTGCGTGGGTAACATAATTGGTCCACAGTTGATCCGCAGTGAAACGATGAACGAGCACTATCCTGAGTTATGGACAGGATTGATTATCTGGTAAAGTTCTCCACGTGTTTGAGACCACGAGATCATATGCTGACGCGCGCAGTTATTGTATAACAATTTTGGCGGCCTCTGCGCTGTACGTGCTCCTGTCGCGCGAGAACGAGCGCCGTGATACACTGGGACTGGAGGAAAGTGAGAGAGATCGACATGCGTTCAAGGATCTTACCGATAAAGAGAATTTGCACTTTAGATACGTTTACTGAGCAAGGAGAGGAATAGATGGGGTATGAAATAAAAGTGTCCAACTCAGAGGTGCGCTGCAGAATCATGCTTCACCCGAAATCGTCGATTTAGTCACGGCGTCTATCAGGTACCGATGCACATCAGGCACGTTGGGAGCAACTTGCACTGCAAAACTCGAGAATCAACCCGGTCCACCCCGCTATTTCGTAGCCGATATGCTACCTGAATCCTTCGGGGTCTGCGAAAAATTCACGCGGGGTCTGAGTCGTCGCCAAAGCAGAGCAGGAGTCAGAATGCGTTGCGCCTTGAGTGGAGATCATGATGCCATTTTAGATCCCCAGTATATCTTGTTCAATCTTAGGCCTAGCGCCCACGTGTTACTCGATCCAAACAGATGCTTTCTAGTCTTATTCCGTATAGCCGGACACAACATCGGTCACGTCATTGCCGACTAGCTTCCCGACGGTCATTAGCATAAGCTATTACGAATTCGATTTGGAGGTGATGGTCAGTGCAATGTATCTTGAGATCGCGGGTTATGTCAAAGTTCTCATGAAGATAGCTGGCCTCAAAGCGGATGGAGTGGTGGAGGGAAGAGCACCAGGCGGCCAGTGACTACAGATCCAGAGGATAGGCACCGATGCCAGCGCGTCTCACGTAGATCACGACCAGTCGCCGATATCGTCTGCAGAAGCCGGTTCGGAGTTGCTACATGCTTCTCCTTCTTGCAGGCCCATAAATATCTCCTTCCTCTCTCTTCTCCAAGACTCTCTCTCAAGTCCAGGCGATCCGCCCGTCAAGATGGCTCCCGCGATCGAGTACTACTTCTCCTTTATCTCACTTTGGTCCTACATTGGCAGTCGTCGCTTCCAGCGCCTTGTCCACGACCACGGCGCTCAGGTGATCTTCAAACCAATCGATCTGATGCATATTTTCTCCGTCTCAGGCAGCCTACCCGTCAAACAGCGCTCGTCGCAGCGTCAAGCGTACCGACTGCTGGAAATGGAACGTTGGCGGCGCATCCACGACATCCCCATCGTGACGCATCCGAAATTCTACCCGGCCGACCCTTCCCTGGCGCATCGGGTTCTCCTCGCAGCCATCGCGGAGTTGGGACACGATCATGCGTCCGTGCACGAGTACGCTCGCAAAGGCTTGAAGGCCGTCTGGGCGCGGGAACTCGACATCGCCGACGAGAACACCATTGCTCTCCTTGCCGACGAAGCCGGACTCGATAGGAGGCGATTGCTGGACCGAGCGAAGGGGGAGACCCACTGGGCAGAACAGGAGGTCGCACTGACGCAGGAGGCGGAGGACCGACAGATCTTCGGGGCGCCACTATACTCTTATCAGGGCGAGTTCTTCTGGGGGCAGGACCGACTCGACATGCTAGACGAGGTTATTCACAGTGGCAGGGGACCGATTGTCATTTCGGATCCAAAATGACGTGTTCTTGGCGGGTTGCGTAGGACGGAGGAATGTCCGAGTAGTGGATTGAGGAATATATATCGCGGGTTGCGGTCGATGTGTGCCTCTTCAATGAGGGACTATTTATGGTAGGATGAAAATATTGGGCCTATGCACACGCCACAAGGTCATGGGGATCTCTATTTGGATCGAATTCGAGCTGGTCGCTGCATTATTGGCGCCCTCTCCGAGGTGTTCATCGACGATCGACTTGAGGCAGCAAGGCAGCAAGGCAGCAAGGCAATCAGTAAGGCGGCAAAGCGCGAAAGACCCAAAACAGGCTAGTGGGGGCTTGACCCTAGGCTTGACCCGAATAGGAAGGAGCCAAGGGTCGGTTGTGGCTGAAGCGGGATTTGGCAGATCAACACACTCATCCAATTCGTGCAGGACCAAGTCGATAGACTATTATTATTATTTGTATTATATGGATTTAAGGAGATTAAATAGTAATATTAACACGCTTCAGCCCGGAATCCCCTTCAGCCGCACCCCGGCGTTCGTCGTCTCCAACCACACATTCATCTTCTTGGACGTGTCCTCCATTCCGCTCAAGCTGGGACTGGCCCGAATCGAGTGCGGCGCATCCACGCTGAGATCCGAAAACAGGAGAGCCAGCGGTGAGGACTTCCAGATGTACTGGTTCTTGGTTTTCACGATCGTCACGACCAGGAAAACAAAGCCCAGGGCCACGAGGGCGATGGGCAGCACCATCCACAGCCAACGCACCTGCACGAAGGACTCCATCGTCCACGTCTTGCCCGTGACCAATGCGTGGCAGACCTTAGACCGGGCGTGGGTGGTGAGTGCTGACGAAAGAGAGTGGAAGACCGAGCTAACGTCCGTGTAATTGCCCTGGGTGCCGTAGACCGCCTTGAGCGTGTCGGACGACCAACTCGGGCGGTTGCTGATGAACAGCGACCCATTCCCGTGGAGGAGCGGCCGGAGGGAGTTGGACAGCGCGAGCCCACTGAACCAGTTGACATGGTAGGTACAGTCGTCGGTCGACTGGTGCCTGGTGCCGTTCTTGTAGCAGGTCTCCGGGGTTAAGAAGAGATCCTCCGTAATAACCGACGAGGTGGCATTGGACGAGGTCCGCGAAGATACGCGGGTCTCGTTAAACGAACCCTGAGTCACCGACGAATGGAACGTATTGACGCAGAAGTAGAGGGCACATTCCGTGGCGCTGACAGACGGCGGGACCCCATACCCGGCCGCCGAGATGGCCGTGAAATTGAGAAAGGAAGGAACCCCGCCGGTGTCCACTCGAAGAAGGGGAAGGTCAACCGTGCCGTTCATCAGGTATATCTCATTGCTGGCGGTTTCGAAGTGAAACCCATTTGGAAGTTTGAAATCGTATTGCATGAGGGTGCCAAATGAGTTCGAGGAATTCGCGAGCTGGTCGGTGATATTGGCACACCGCGTGCAGATGCCCAGGGACTGATAAGGGTCGAAGGTGCAATTCCCCGTGGGACAAGATAGGGTAACGGCGTTGCTGTGGGGGCTAGCGCTCTGGAAAAGTCCCGTGTAGATGGCCCCGGCCGTGGAGAGGGGCACTTCGTTCATACCGGGACCGGCACCTTCGTCGTAGTCGGTATAGGTGCTGGAGTTACAGACCTCAATAGAGGATACGCCGGAAGAGGGAACGGGGCGGAGATTGATAGCGATAACTTGCTGCACGAACGGAGCAATCGCCGCCCCCACGACGAGAATAAGGCACCCAATGGATACCAGATGGCTAGAAAAGTTGAACTTTAGCGCATGGTTCGCCAAGGGACATCCGGACACGAATACCTACCGAGGTAGAAAGCGAAAGAGAATCATGAACGCGCCGATGGCTCCGCGGCTGGCGGCGTCCAGCGCGGACAAATCGCTCAACTTGTTGCCCCGGTTGAACCACGACCACTTGAGTTGGGACAAGGCCTCGGTGATGGGGAATGCCAGGGCCGCCTTCATGACGGTGCTCAGCATCGAAATTAGGGCATTGAGCGTGATGCTATATGGCCAGTCGGGTATAGGTTTACCGTCATAGATATATAGCACGGCGATAATGGCGACGAGAGCAGCTACGGCGACAACGCTACTTATCACCTCCAGCGCCCAGCTGGAACCCCAGAATCCAGTGCTTTGGCTCTGCAAGAGCACCTGTTCGGAGGCCGTTGGAAGTGCCGGCTCCGGCGGGTCTTGCATGCGGCGGTAGGAGAGCCGGTACTCTTCTTTGAGGTTATCCATGATGACCGTGAGACCTCAGAACAGAACAGAGCACTCACTCGCTGCACTCACTCATGGCGGTTTGAGACAGAGTGCGGAAGGCCGGCGGGTATATAAGACATTCCCAACATTCTGGGTGGACTGCACAACGGGAATGGAAAAATCCTAAACCTAATGGAGAGGTGCAGTGGAGCCCAGATTGAAACTAGGGCGAAATTGACCGGAAATAGCGTTGGCTGAAGAAAGGTGACTGGCACTCTTCCTCCCCACAAAGCTTCGCTCGTAAAAGATTCTCATCCGAGTCAGGGGTTGATCAGCGAGATCTTCGTGGCAACCCTATGTGGCAACTGTAAATCTGCCCGGTTCAGGGACTATGCGGACTTGACGGTCAGCAATCTCAATCTGAAATTTGGATATTCAGGTCAAGTGGCTTGTGCTTGTCAAAATTTTCACGGTGACCGCGCGGTATGTACTTGCCGAACTACAGAGGAAATTCCAATGGGGGTGAATTGGCGAATGAGTTTCTACGGTCGTGGAAAACCCCATTGGAGTATGACGTCGAGTCTGTGGCGCCGAGCGACGACCCAAGGAAAGTCGGCCAGGAACATGCTTGAGACAAGGTCAACGACCGACGGATCCCCGGTCGTTTACGCCGATCCCCCAAAGCCCCCGGGGGTCACGCTAGATGAGTAGGGGGGTGTCGAAACATCCGTATCCCTTCACCACGCTCATCTCGTCCACGTAGTCATACTTCGTTTTGAAAGACCATCCAGCAACTGTATTTTGGAGGATGTCGCAGGTGACACCGTCCGGAGCCCTTTTCCACAAACAGGTGCCCAAGACACCTAGTTCGGAAATCACGCCCCCGATGTCGAGGCCCGAGGCCGACAACAAGATATTCTGCACGCGGGGGGTCGCAATTCGCTCCATCAAAATGTATGCGCACCAGGCAGAGGAAGGGATCGAGGACAGGAACGCGGGAATGGCCGGGCCGAAAATGTTGTGGCCGCCGCCTTCCAGGGATGGCTTTAGTATATACCCATGGGCAGTTTGCGGGTCGGTTGCCAGACTGCGACCGTACAACCCGGCTTCGGATTCATCTAGTGGATAGGCCCGAGCGAAGGTAGATCGAACCAGAGCGGCCTTGTCTGGGGACAGAAAGCGCTCCAGCTCTCCCGGGGAGGTGAGTGCTTGTTGGACTTTCTTGAAGGTGCAAATGTGTCCGAGCAGCGACGGGCATTTGACGGCCACAGATAGCTCCAGCCGCAAACGCGCCTGCCTACCGACCTCGTCATACTCCTGCGCCTCGTACCCGGCCCGCATATATACCACCGAAACTTCGAGGGCTGGTCCTTTTCGGCCTAGAGGATGGAAAAGCAACTCGCGCGACTCGGTCAGGGAGGTACGTTGGAGAAGATCGTCGCCATAGTCAGTCCGATAGACCGGGATTGAGGGATCTCGGTTCCACAGCGCATATTCCACGGGTCGCTCGTCGGCAATGTTGAAATTGTCGGGCTGAACGACAAACAGGATTGCCGTCTCGGTCGCGGTTCGGCTTCGTTTCGGTCCGTAGGCAAGGTGAGCGGCCGACAGGCAGGCTGCTAGCGACTCAATATTGGCGTTTCGGGGAAGGGCGGACACGGCGACAGGATTCTGACGTTCGCGTCCCTCATTGTAAGCGCCCGTCCGGGCCAGGTAGCGATGCATGTCCGCGACCTTGTTGGCGTGGGCGGCCCCCGCACAAGAGAAGGTGTTGAATTCAACTTGCCTGAGACTCAGATTTGCAGGCCGGTCAGAGCCCGTGCCCAGCTGAGCGGTTGGACCCTGAAGCATGTAATCGGAGCGAAAGATTCCCGCCGAGAGGACAGTCCCCGGAGGAGTGGCTTTCTTCACTTCTTGGTGAATATCCCACAGCGTCGCAGCCAAGGGATCGACAGGGAGCAAGTCCCGGATGACCCCAGAGATCCACCCCTCATCTTCAGCGACCCGGCAGTAGAGTTCATTGTAGATGGATTGTAGGCGCAAGGCATGGTCGAACAGACGGCGCGGAAAGAGGGTGGGGAAGACGGCGACACCGATGGGGTAGGTCAGGACGCTATGGTCGGTCTGCGAGTCGATGCGCTTGAGGAGAGAGCCATGGTTGATCTGCCAGTCTAGGATCTGCGAGACCAGCGACAGACCGGCTTCCTCGGACAGACGCGGAGGGTATTCGAGGTCGCCGTCGAGGGCCATGGCGAAGTGGGCGAAGTGGGCGATGAGTCCGTCCGACGAGCTGAGAGCACGGGACCGGCACGTGTGGCTGAGTCATCCCGCCCAGTCGATGACATCAGCATGTCTCTTGGCGGCGCGCTGATTGGCGGGGGACCTTCCGACTTCCGCCAGAGGAAAGAAAAAAAAAAAAAAAGAGAGAAAGAGAGGCAAAGAAAACAAGGAAAAGAGGGAAAAGAAAGAAGAGAACTAATGTAAACCCTAAAGCAAATCCAATGCCGTAGCGCCGCCGGGTCTTTCTCCCCGTGGCCTCCCTGGCCGCCTGCCACCCCCTCTCCTCTCCTCTCCTCCCCTCCACCCCCTCGGTGTGCTCCACTTGGGGTGTTCGACCATTATGACCTTGCTGGGCACGTCTAGCGATCCCTCCGGTGGAGAGATCATCCGGGACAGACAACCGCCCCTCCCCTTGTCGCTGTCTTCTGCGTCGGGCCTGAAAAAGCGAGCCATCCCTCGCAGGCGGCGCACGCTTCGGGCCTGTGTACCGTGTCGGGACCGAAAGAGCAGATGCGACGGGGCCACGCCGAGATGCAAGCCGTGCACCCAAACCAACACCGCCTGTTCCTACGTTCGGTCCAAACGCGAGAATCAGCAGTGGCAGCTGCAGTCGATGCGCCAGAGGATCCACACCTACGAGGACCTACTCCGGGAGATCCTCACTGACAGCAACGGCCAAGATCGCCGCTCTATTGAAGATATCGTTGAGGTCTGCGCTACCTGACGGAACCCCCGGCCGTCGGCGCCGTCGTCTGCCAGCGCTAACCTCTCGCCCTACAGAAACGGTTTCCAGAGGCCCTGGATGCCTTCGCCTCGCTGCTCACGACGGGCTCCCTTCCCGACCAGCATGTCTCCCTGCCCTACCCCGGACTCTCGCTGCGTCGGATGCAAATGGCATTGGCGTCCCAGCGAGACCCCACGAAGGTCCAGCTGCTTCGCAAAGACCCCACGGTGCGCGTTAGTCAAGTGCATGCGTGGACCTCGCTGGTCGACAACGAAGTAGCGAGCCACCTCTTGTCCCTCTATTTCACCTGGGAGAATCCGACCTGGCACCTGATCGATCAGGACATGTTCGTCCATGACCTTGAACGCGGTCTTACGCGCTTCTGTTCTCCGCTGTTGGTCCATTTACTTCTCTTTTTTGGCTGTGTACTACGGGACGCCCTATCCGCCCGCAGAACTCTTGACGGCTAACGGGTCTCTAGAGCTTTTCTTACAATCTGACTCGCATTACGGATCGCCGCGACGAGAAAGGCCTAGGAGAAAAGCTGTATGCGGAGATTCAGCGTCTCTGGCTGCTGGAGCGCGAGACCATCGCCCTCCCGACCGCTCAGTCGGGCATCATGATCGGCCTTCTCTGCTGCACCTTTGGTATCGATCGGTTGGGCACGAGATACATCATGCACGGAGCCAGGCTCTCGCGCCAGCTCGGCCTTCACCAGGAGTCCTCGACGTATTTTCAAACCCGACCGGGCGATCCGTCCCTCTCGATGATGAAGGCCCATAAGATGCTTGCCTGGGCCATCTTTGACGTTCAGGCGTGAGCAATGCCCCGCCCCATCCGGCTTCATCCGGCCGCTAATCGTCCGTCCAGGTTGGCCTCCCAGGTCTATCGAAAGACGCCCGCTTGGCCCCAACCGCCGTTGGTGAGGTTGTCGGAAGAGGAGGCCACGATACTCGACGAGGGCAGAGAGTGGAGCCCGTATCCCTTCCACACTCCGGTCCATCTCCCGTTCTTCTACACGGCCGCCAGGATCCGCAACGAGCTCGTCGCTGTCGTAAACGAGATCGCCTCGTTTGCCCTCACCTTTCCCGACGCGGCTCGACGTCACGACGTATGGAATTATGGCTACGTTCTCTATCATAAACTCGTGATCTGGAAGGGCAACTTGCCATGGGCCGTCATGCCCCGACACAACACGACCCCTCATGCTCTGTGCCTTCAGTATGTATCCTGCTTCCAATCTCACCCGTATGCCTGGCTGAACCCCCCGGAAGCTTTTACTACCAAGCAACGCTTGTATCGCTGTGCGGAATCTATCTGACCAATTTCGATTCCGTTCCCCCGGATGCTCGGTGGGACCCCCTGGCCGTCAAGGACCAGGCTATGAATACCATAGGGTCCCTAGTACTTCTATACCGTCACAACCACGGATGGAAATCGGTCCCGATCGTGATGCTGCATTATTTCTGTCTCGCCGGAGTCGACTCAATCTCCAAGTTACATCCCCAGGAACCCAAATGGGGGCTTGTCCTGGAAAGTTGCGTCGTCGGCCTCTGGCACATGAGTTTGGGTTGGGGTCGACTCTGCACGGCATTCCTTCGCACGATCGAGCTTGTATTGAAAGCAACTCGCCCCGAGCCCTCTCTCGTTCCGCCCAAAGTGCATGCCATCTTCCAGCAGTTGAACAGCAGTCGATGGACTACCAAGGATGTTTCTTCGCTGGCCGCGGACTACATAGTGCACCACGTTCCTAATGCTGCAGGAACGCCGAGCAATACCAATGCCGGTCCTCGCGCCCAAACTCTGGAAAGTCTCATTCTATCGCTAGAAGGCTTGTCTACGTAGTCAGTGGTCTCCTGTATCTGATTGGTATAAAACTGCTAGTTTTCAGTGAACTTATTAACAACTACCGCATTCTGCTGTCCTTGTGCGCCCGTCCCAACTCAAGTCTTGGGTAGACACAAAGAGTCGAATTGCCGCCATATGTGGAGGCGGATTCAAGCCCTTGCGACACAGTGGAGAACAATAAACTTCATCTAGCCCCTATTTGTGAATTGACATCGCCGGCCCAGCAGCGGGCAATCATTGTACTCGGTACTGGCGCTGGCATTGTACGCAGTGATACTTGCAGCTGTAATCCTACTCACCAGTCGGGAAATCCCCCTTGCGTCTATGACCATCTTCACATCATCTTGTTCACCTTCAAATATGAACGCTAAGACAAGGATGTGTGTAATCACGGCCGCCCAGATGTGGCTCGTCGCTCTCGGGTTCTTGCAAGACCACCGCACGCATCCATGTATGCGAACGTACTCATGGGTCACAGCCCGATCAGCAGTGTTTCCTGCCTGACGAGGGGCGCAGTCACCAGTGGGAATAACTTTCTGAGGTTTATGGGCCGACTGCGTCGCAGTCTGTGAGATTATTATGCTTGAATCTTCCACTGCACGTCCATGGCAACATACGAAGGGGAAGGGATATTCGCGTCTCTCCGTCGGACTCGCGGAAACTGGCGAGCCTGACGATCCAGGCATCAACGGGTGATGCCTGATCGGGATGCGATCGGGATGCGATCGGGATGCACTGGGGTGCCTGATTCAACAGGCATCAATTTATCGGGAAGCCGGGCCAACCAGCGTGTCGCTACCCTACGTTGTACAGAGAGAGGAATTTGCTTCATTAGAGTCACAAAGACTGACCGTTCAATGGCCTATACGAGTCTGTCATGATCACATCAACTCCCAGGGCAATACGAGGAGAGAAATCAAGAACAAAAACAAAGGACCGCGCGAGAGATCTGATAGGGGACCGAGACAGCCGCGAACCGTTCTAGAGCATCGCTCGATACCCACACGCCGAAGCCGGAAAATCCAGGAACCTTGCGATGCGTCTGTCGCCGGATGCCTCCAGATACATGCAGATGGCCTGGCACTCGGACCGAACTCGCGCGTCGATCCACCAGTCATGGACGGAACACATCACGGCCAGCCAGTAGCCCAGCAGCAGGAGCGCTCTCGCGTCCCTCGCTTGCACCAGACGCAGGTACTCCGGCGGAAGTCGGCCCATAAAGCTCGAGATGCGATTCGCGTCGATCTTGGTAAGAGGCAGACGCAGCAATGGGCTCAGCATCCGCAACGGCCAGTGGTACGGATTGGTCTCCTCAGTCGTCGTGTCGGAGATTTCGCAGAGGTCGGCCAGCTCCTCGTCGAGACCCTCCCGCCCCGTGCGATGGTCGTCGTACAGCTCGTAGGCGCTGGAGATCAGAAACGCATCGCACCAGATGCTCTCGTTGATCCACGGCATGATGCAATCGATGAGAGAGGCTAGCCCGCCCTGGATGAGCAGCCAATTCAAGGCGCCAGGATCATCCGAAAAGATCCAGGAGTGACGGGGGGAGACGCTGGGTGCGGAGAAGGAGAACATGGCGACGAGCAAGCAGGTGGTCAGAAGCACATCCATGGTGTGACGAGTGATCGGTTCCTGCAGCTTGAGCCGGTAGATGTGTACGGACGCCTGGCGAAACCGCGTCGCCACCAGGCTTCGGTGCGAGTCGCCGGGGGTGAGATTGGCTTGGTGCGTGCTGGCGACCGCTAGCATGGCGTTCAACAAGCAAGGCTCCTGACGCGAGGCTCAGTACTTTGCGTGCGGGCGGGAGGTGCGTTCGCTGGTTCCCACTTACCGTCAACGCCAGCGGAATGGTTCGGTCCCGCAAGACCTGTTTGATCGGGGCGTACGCCGTCTGGCGCGCCCCGACCATCTCTGTAAAATGAATCAAGGTGGCCAATCCCAGCGATCGGTTCGACGTTGCGACGGCCGGCGAGCGCCGGTCGCTGTCTAAGACGTTGTTGACGTTGGCAGTCATCGCATCCAAGGCCAACGCGCCGTTCCGCTGCGGTGACGTCTGCGGCGGCGCGAAGTCGCAGGTGATGCCATAGATTTGGCAGCGGCGACACTGCGGCATCGTTTCGTCGCATTTGACCCGCCGTTCTTTACAGATACGACACCCGGTGCGAGATTTCCGGTGAGATCGTCGACGATTGGGTACCGACCGGCCGGTGCTCGATAGAGCATCCGTTTTCTTGACGGCCGGTAAGGCCCCAGGTGGCGGCAGGGGAGGAAAGATCAGCAAATGTCCCCCTCGGGGCTGCTTCTGGCTGCTCGGGCGCCCAGACATCGTAGGTGCGGTGGTATGAATGACACGGAAAGAACAAAAAACAAAAGGAAAAGAGAAATGCCAGATGTGGAAGAAAAAGAAGCAACACGAGCGACCAGGCAGGCTCGTATTGCACTAATATATTGCCTGGTTGATGATCGCCAGCTAAACTCAATCACGTAACTCTGCCCAGACTCGTATTTGCCTTGGCACAGCCTTGCGCGACGCTCCATCGGTCTGTTTATAAAGAGTTCATAACGGGGCGGGAGCGAAGTCTATGGTCATCATCGAGGTAGCTTCCCATTGCTCCCATCTACAGCGAAGACAGCATGATTGCCTACGTCGCCGCCAAAGATCAGGCCTGGTCCCGTCGATGGATTCTATCCTCACCTGAGTAGGGGCCTCTCGTCTCCATCGAATGTCTACCGAGCGGCCGGCCCTGGCTGCGTCGCCTAGGGTTGTGGACTGGCAACGAGATGGCGTTCATCAGGTTGCGGGCCAATTGGACGTCTCGGGCGGTCATGTTCGTACCGCCCGAGGAAAAGCGTACATTGGAGTGGAAATATGACGAGAGGAAGATGGTGACCACGATCGACGTCGGGTTGTGTAGGCGATGGTGATCGGGGCGGCGGGCAGCTGGGTTCGAGAAGTGAGACTATTTTTCCTATTAATCGAGTCGAACTGTCAGCGCCCGAGATCTAACCCGGAATGATGGACTTGACGTGGGTTGAGCAAGCTCAGAGTTGCGGCATTGAAGAGAAGAAGAATCGAAAGAGGAGGAAGGAGAAGGTCTTTCCGAATCAGGCCGGTGCGCTCGGACACTCCCGGACTCGTTGCTTCAGAGACGCATACCTTGATACACAGGTACTCTCCTGCCTTAATGACACCCGATTACTCGGGTGCACTGCCAATGCGCATCGATGTAACTCGGAAGTGTATGAGCTATGTCTCGAACTCCCGACGATACCTCTAGACCGAGGCCAGACAGGGGCACGAGGGCTATGGGGAAGAGCTTGGCAGTGCAACCCCTTGTCCCCCGTCGATGCAACACCCCGGAGCTCTGTCGCCGTGGCCATCTCCCTCTTCCCCGGGGATCCACGTGTTGATCTGGGGTGGCGGGAGCCCCACCCACTGGGACGGGGAATACGAGCTGGTGGTAGGGAACGGTGGTAGAGTGGTAAACACAGGTCGAACCAGTCTCCCCAGCTCCAAGCGACCCGAGGACCGGAGCTCGAGGATGGACAGGTTGCACCAGATCGAAGACCAGTGGGAAAATCCGGGGATGCTGACATCAGCAGGGCCAGACCCCCGCACGTGGCCCCATCGCTCCACTTCTCTGTCTCTGTCTCTGTCTCTCTCGCTCTCGCTCGATCTCTCGGTCGCATGTCGATCGCCTGACAGGGAGGGGGATATAATTAGATGAAAGGAGGCAAACCTTGAAACCAGACCTTCATGCGGTATCACCCCCTGTCGCAGGTCATCGTGATTCCGGGAAGTCTGGGGCTGGAGGGCGCGTGGGTGACAGGACCCACCGGTCGGCATGACAGATGGCCAGTACCCACGATGCCCACCGATCGAGCGATCTCAGTGGAATGGACGATCCCCCGGATCTCTCTGGGAATGTAGACTGTAGAGGCCGGTCAAGGAACCGATGCCGTGTAGACAGGCCCTCGAGGCCGTCTGGTCAACCCCGAGATGGCCTTCTCCCAGCAGAGCAAAGCGTCGCGTGTTTTTGTTCGGAGTCAGAAATTAAGGAACTAAAGTCCCTAGATAACGACCCCTGTCACCGTCACTGTCGGGTTTCATCGCACCGTCACGCCGTCTGCCCCCTAATGGCAGGGTGATATCCCCCGTCGACCTATCAGGGCGCCTGCCGGAGACCGGGGGGCGTCCAAGCGGCTTAGCGGCCTGATAAGACGCATTTTCGCTCGCGTTTGTCTTCTTCGAGGCGACTGGAAGCTTGGCTCGTCGCGCGGATTTCTCCGCCCGTCGATAAAACCGCGGTCGCTCCCTTCTCCCTTCACTTGCTCTCTTCCCTCCCCCATCTCTCACTTCCTCCCTCTCCTCCTTCCTCCCTCCTCTCTCCCTGTCTCTCACCGTCCTCTCCGGTGTTTTCACGCGAACTCGACCTGCGACGCAGACTCTGACCCCGCAATCGACAAGCTCCGTCATTCCCACGCCATTCCTGCATTGACCGCCGATCTGCGAGATCTCGCCTGCATGGAATCCGTCGATCAGAAATCCCCCGGCATGGCCACTGCGGAGAACCCTGTCACCGACCCCGTCGCCGACGCCGGTGAGGTGCCCCGCCCGCGCGGATGGATGTACAAGTCATTCAAGATCGGTCCCTGGAACACCGGCTGGTACGCCTCGCCGCGCATCCAGCTGGGTATGGTCTCCTTTGTCTGTTTCATGTGCCCCGGCATGTTCAACGCCCTCAGCGGTCTGGGCGGCGGAGGTAAAACGGACACCACCTTGGCCGACAACATGGTATGTACTCTCCCTACCTTCTTCCCAGCCTTCGATCCCGGGCCGTGTGCCATGGCTAACGCGCTCTGTGTCTGCCCGCTTAGAACATCGCCCTCAACAGCACTTTCGCCGTCGTGGGTTTCTTCGCCGGAACCTTCGTCAACCGTATGGGCATCCGGGCCGCCCTCTCCTTCGGTGGCACCGGTTACACTCTCTACTCTATCAGTCTCCTGGTCTCCGAGCACAAGCATGTCCCCGGTTTCAACATCTTCGCCGGCGCCTACCTCGGTGTCTGCGCGGGTTTGCTGTGGACCGCCCAGGGCACCATCATGATGTCTTACCCCCTCGAGGAGAAAAAGGGTAGCTACTTTGCCTGGTTCTGGGCCATCTTCAACATCGGCGCTTGCATTGGTAGTCTGGTACGTCGGACATCTTCCCCTCCCCAGTCTGGCGTCCGCAGTAACTAACTCGTCAGATCCCTCTGGGCGAAAACATTCACATCACCACCAACGTCACCGTCAGCGACGGCACCTACATCGGCTTCATCGTGCTCATGTTCTTCGGGGCCGTGCTGGCGCTCCTCCTCTGCGACGCCGACAAGATCGTTCGTCCCGACGGCTCGCGCGTCATCCTGAAGCAGTCCCCCAGCTGGCGTACCGAGTTCGTCGGTCTGTGGACCACCGTGCGCGATAACCCCCACATCGTCCTGCTCTTCCCCATGTTCTGGTCGTCCAACTGGTTCTACACCTACCAGCAGAACGCCATCAATGCTGCCCACTTCTCCACCCGCACCAAGGCCCTGAACGGCTTCCTCTACTGGTTCGCCCAGATCGTCGCCGCCGTCATCATGGGCCCGCTGCTCGATCTCGAACGCTTCCGTCGCAGTGTCCGTGCCAAGGCCGCCCTCATCAGCCTGTTCGTGCTGACCATGGCCATCTGGGGCGGTGGATATGCCTGGCAGAAGACGTACACGCGCGAGACGGTCGGCGACCCCAGCTTCGTGCCCACCGACTGGACCACCCCCGGCTTCGTCGGCCCCATGTTCCTGTACTTCTTCTACGGCATGTACGACGCCTTCTGGCAGGGTATTGTCTACTGGTGAGTGATTCGTTGCGGTCCCGCTTTCCGTCGTCGGAAACAGTCTTACTGACCTCTTCTCTCGCGCAGGTTCATGGGTGCTTTGGGTAACTCCGGCCGTAAGCTGGCCAACCTGGCAGGCTTCTACAAGGGCTTGCAGTCGGCCGGCGCCGCCGTCATGTGGAGTCTGGACCGTGACAAGCTGCCCTTCATGTCCGAATTTGCCTGCACCTGGGCCTTGCTCTGCGGATCGATCCTCGTCGCGGCCCCCGTCGTCTTCTTCAAAATCAAGGACCACGTCCCGGTGGAGGAGGATCTCAAGGATACCGGCGAGACGGTGGACGACGTGCTGCCGGTGGGTCACCCCGAGAAGCGCGAGGGCGCCCACGTGTAACGAGCTGCTGGACGCCGTCAACCATTTTGGACGATGGCAATTCTGGCTTTTCTTTCCCCTTTCTTACATCTCTTTGGTTTTACTGGTGGGACTCGGTGTGCGAATGTGATCGATCCCCGACCCGGCTGGCGTGATGTGCCCTGTCCACAATACCCGGATAATACTAATAATGAAATCCTCCATCTTTTTGATCCTCGTAGTCTGTAATGATTTTAATGATCCGAGGGGGTGACACGACCCTTCCCCGAGTCTTCGTTTCACAACGGGCAGTTGCGTGCTTGGCAGGGGCCGCTGCTCTCCGTGTTGATTTCCCCAGTACCAAGTCACTTTTGTATTCCTGGGGGCCAAACTGTCGGACTCCGCCTTGCAACCACGATGTTCTCTGGGGAGATCGAACCAAGTGAGCGAGTCATTCTCGACACTTCAGCACAATGCGACCAGCAATCATCCGCCTCCGGGGCCAGGTCAAACCGGTGCATTAATGCCAATGTAAACCACCGGTTGGGCCGTCGATCGGGTGATTTACACGGGTTGTTTTTAGATGCTCTCTTGTTTGCACTTCTCTCCCGCACGGTCCGTTGCCATTCGTATCGCGGCTCACTCTGTCTCCCCGCGATGCTATGCAGGTTTCTGGGGAAGCCGTCGTGCGATCACACGCCCACCTAGTGTTGATGCTATACGAATACTCGAAAGGGGAAACAAACTGCGAGAGAGCAGGAGAGATGATGGGATGGAAAGACATAAATAGTTCCTGGATGGGATGCCACCGAGGGGAGATTCATTCTCGAATTCACTCATCTTACACTGCCGACGACCGGACACCATGAAGACATTCTCATCTCTGCTGGTGTGGCTGGCAGTCGTGACTTCCTTTGCTCGAGCACATCCGCTACAAGAGGCGAGACGTCCATCTATTCGAGAAACGGTTCATCAACACCTTGGACTATTTTCTCGGCAACGACACCGTCAAATTAGTTAGGTTCAAAGCCATGCGCATCCCATTCCATGAGCTCGGCGATCTGACCGAACACTACGACAATAACCCGCGTGAATGGGCCCAACTATCCAACTACTTCTACGACCGCGCCTCCGGCACCCTTCGAGTCTATTTCTTGGTGGAAGGAGCGCTGGTGGCCCACGACGGGACACACCACGAGGCCAACGCCCTGGGCAAGCTGAACCTACAGCAGGTGAACGGGGACTACGCCGTGCTGGGTCGCAAGCAGACCGACTGGGTGACCGGCGTCGAGGGCAATATCATCCGGGACGGTATCATCTTTCTCGCCCAGGCCCCGCGGCCCCTGAGACAGTACGGACGGGTGTTCGTCTACAATTTCGGGGAGAAGATGATTCTGGACCACGATCACGGCCATCAGAAGCGTAGCGACAAGAAATCTTGCATGAAGAACCATGGCGGGCCCAACTGCAGCAATAAGTTCAAGATCCACAGCAAAAAATGCAAGAAGCGAAACGACCTCTGCATGGACTACAACGGATACTTCTCCACCTGTAAGAAGAACGGACCGACCTGGCGCAACTTCCCGGGCAGTGACTGCGACAAGGCACTGGGTCGCGGACACTGCTGGAACGAGGTCATGTAACTTGGATCTTGGAGGCCGGGAGAGTACTGGAAGGGACTAGTGATGGTCTGGCTCTGAAATTTCTTTGGACCTTGGTGGACTATTTTGACTCTGTTTGGGGATAGCTATAAACAACAACAGAACCACGTGGGCGGTGGAGTCCGTCGGGGCTTTTGGTTCCTTCTTCCTTTTCCCTCCACAATTCTCCCGATCCACTTTCTTCCTCGTCGCTTCTCGACGCCTTCCTCGTCCTCCCACGCAGCCAACCACGACGGCGGGCCTGAAGGGAAGCCCTTCGCGTACGGTGAGAACGTTCAATAGTCGCATCTCGCAGGGTGGCAGCGGCCAAGTTCCGAAGCGACGGACTCGGACGCCACGTGGGAACCGGTGGGCCTGAACCAACTTTTTGCCCTCGAGATGAAAGCGGACGGAGAAGGAGCAGGAGTGGGAGCCAAATAATATTTAAAAAAAATAAATAAAAAAAGAAAGAAAAATTGCCGGTGACATGGCGCCTCCCGTCTCTCTCCCCTATCGAGGATTTTGGTTAAATATCGTCATCCCTGCGGACTCTGGCAATCCGTTGATCGGCACGCTCTTTTCCTCTTCTCTTCATCTCCCCTGCCTCTGCCATCCGCCATGGGCATCTTCTCGCTCATTGATCGGGCCTTGTGCCTGGCCGTGACCGCGCTGGCTCTGCTGCAAACGCAGGCCGGAGCCACTTGCAGTGCTGTCCCGACTGTTTTGACCCAGCAAGGGCTGGTCTCCGGCTTCACCCAGGGCGACGCCAACGTCTTCTTGGGTATCCCCTTCGCCCAGACCACCGGCGGTGAGAATCGATGGAAGGCGCCGCAGTCCCTTACCCAGTCAACCACGGCGAAATTCGATGCCACCTCCTACGGCCCTTCGTGCGCCCAGGTCATGTCGGGCGACGCCATCGTGGCCCAAAGCGAGGACTGTCTGAACTTGAACGTGAGAATCACCCCCGTTGAATCGGCCCTCGGTCGACGCTTGGCTCATAGCAGAATCCCAGATTTGGACCCCTTCTAGCGGAAGCAACCTGCCCGTCTTCGTGTACATCTACGGCGGTGCCATGGTCACCGGCGGCAACAGCAACGCGCAATGGCAGGGTCATAACTTTGCCCGCAAGGACGTGATCTACGTCAACGTCAACTATCGCGAGTCGGTCTATGCCTCCCCCAATGCGCCCGAGCTCGAGGGCCAGTCGCAGAACTTTGGCATCCTCGACATCGAGATGGCGCTGGAATGGGTCTATAACAACATTCAAGGTTCGCTTTCCCGGAGAGGAAACACCTGTTTTTGGATTTTGGGCTGATCAGTTGCAGGATTCGGTGGTGACAAGACGCGCATCGTGCTCGGTGGCCATTCCTCCGGCGCTGTCCACGTCGATCACTACCTTTGGAATCACCCCGACACCTTCCTGGCCGGCGCGATCGAGATGTCCGCCAACGCCGAGTCCGGCCCGGCCGTCACTCCCAGCGGCGTCGGTTTGGCCCGCGTGGCCCAGGATATGCAGGATGCCGGCGTGACGCTCAACTGCGATGCTGCCAACCCGACCCTAGACTGTCTGCGCGAGGCGGACACTTATGCCTTGCAGACCACCTACTTCAACTCGACTTCGAACACCTGGTTCTCGCCCGTGGTGGACGAGATCACTCGCTTCTCGGACTACGCGGCTCGCTTTGCGGCCGGCAACTACCCCAAGTCGCTGCCGCTCATCGTCGGCAACTCGGACCAGGAGGGCAAGATCTTCAGCGTCGTCTACGGCGCCGAGAACGGCGACTTCGCCTCGTGGATCAACACTTTCGACGCCGATCTGGCCTGGATCCCCGACGACGAGCTGCTGGAGGCCTATAATGCCTCCGACTACGACTCGGTCGCGCTGATGAGCGGTGCCTCCTACGGCGACGCTCGCTTCCTCTGCTCCACTGACTACCTGCTGGACGTGCGCGCGGCCGAGCAGCCAACCTGGATCTATCGATGGTTCGGCAACTACGACAACGTGTTGGGCATGAGCGGCATGGGGGCCTCGCACGGCAGCGAGGTGCCCTTCTTCCACGGCGGAAATGAGTGCTTCTCGAAGCTCTCGGGCGTAACCGACGCGCAGCAAGCGCTGGCTGACTATATGAACAACTGGTTCGTCGCCTGGATCAAAAACCCCAGTGCCGGCCCCGGCTGGGACCGCGCCAAACCCGTCAACGGGCCCCTGGCCAAGGTCGGCGTGCCGGGCAATGAGCTGGCCACCGAAACAAGCACCACTGGCGAGTTCAACGCTCGTTGCCAGTCGGTGTACAAGCCTCACTATCCCCAGTACCCCGTGGTGCAGAACCCGGTGACTATGTCGTCCTGAGACGGGTCGTTCATGTTCTTTGATCGTTGTTCACGTTCTATTCGTAATAGATAGTTCTCCTATATTTCTTTTATTTCTTCATATAAACTAACGAAATAATACCTCTTAATTGCCGCCGGGAGATCGTGTGTTTTCTTTTTCTTTTTCTGTCTCTCTTAATGTGTTATCTCGGTGTGTTCGTTCTGGTCCACCGTTTCGCTCGGAGGCAATGTCGCCTCCGGGACTAGGGGGCCTTCTTGAAGCCACTAACTATCGAAATTCAAAAACTCCAACACGAGATCCACCGTCTCAGTTACACCGAGTACACCTCCAACATGTGGTAAGTTTCACCAACTGCGTGCACGAATGGGGACCGTGAGCGGACATTGACCGACGATCGGTATCAGGCCTGCCCCGATCTGGCCTAGTGAGGGAGCTCGATATCGGCCTCGTTCAGTCGATTTTGTCTCACACAAGTGGAAACCGTTTAACTTTAACCGCCAAGAAGGTGCCCAGGAATGCCGAGTCTTGGCCGGTGACCGGGATCACGGGATCGCAGGATGCAGGGCCCAAGATGCATCTAGAATAGGGCATCAGACGCACGCTCCCTTATCCATTCATTACTGCAGTTTGACACCAGGAACATGCCTTCTCTTCTTTTCCATATCCAGATGAGCACTACGAGCATTAAAATTTGGAATGACCATCATCAGCGCGAGGGACCGGTGTCTCGGAGCCCAGTCGCACTGTTCCCAAGATGGACTGTGGACCCATCCCGTTCCACGGTTCGGCTACCAACGTGTTGGACACTATTGCCCGGTATCGAACGACACTGGCCACCCTTGTCCGATCCGGGGGAACATCGGGAGCCCTTCCAGACGAGGTCTGGAAGTGCTGCGATCACAACTACGCTTGAGGTGAAAACTTAAATCATGCCAGCCCAGGAACAGGAAAACGGGCCGTTCTTTAGTCCCTTGAAACTCGGGACAGGACGACGATATGCTCGACGGCTCTCGCTCCTTTTCGCTTCCTGATCACAACTGCAGGAACAGACAGAGTCATCATGGCTCGCCCTGATGTTGGCCAGGTGGTATGGTTGATGCTCTTCCTGATCTCAGGAGCCTCGGGGTTCGCAGCCTGTTTGCTAACTTTTTCTTCCCGCAATAGGTCGCATGGTATATTTGCACTGTCGTAGCCTGCGCTTTCCTCGTGGCCCGGTTGGTCATTCGATGGGGATTATTTAAACGATTCTATGTCGACGATTTCCTGTTGACGCTGTCCGCCCTCTGTCTCATCGCCGATCTGGTGATCCAACACTATATGTTCAATCTCGGTAGGTGCAAAAACGACGTTCCTTGAGCGCACGATCCGCCGACTAACCCAAACACCCTCATAGGCATGTCCGACATGGGCAATGCGGCCAAGGACCAGACAGTCGCGATGATGAAGGTGAGCGATCGTGCTCAACCAGCAATTGACCCGTGTGGAATCACTAACACGATCGATCGCAGATGATCATCCCGGGCTCCACTCTGTATGTGACTTCGCTTTGGTTGATCAAAGCGGGTATGGTCCTCTTCTACAAACGTCTGGCCGATCGCACCAGATACCAAATGGTCTACAACATTACCTTGGGCTTCCTCGGCGCTACTTGGCTGGCCATATTTCTTAACATCATCTTCAAATGCTTCCCGCCGGACCGCCTGTGGGATCTGGACCATCCCGAGAGTGGGTGCTCCATGGTGTCTGACTGAGTCGCGATGCTAACTCGGTACAGGAGCCTGCTCTGATAAACAGACGCGAATTAATTATTGGATCACGATCTTGTGTACGTGGAGTCCAACATTGCGTTTACCTGATGCGATTCGTGCTGACTCTTCTCTACCGCAGTCAACATCTTCAGTGATGTATTCAGTGAGTCTCGACGTCGGACCGAGTCCAACTGCCTAGAAGCTAATCCCCCGGCCAGTCATTTGCCTTCCCATTTCTCAGGTTCTCAAGTTGAAGCTTCCAAAGAAACAAAAGATTGGAGTTCTCAGCATCTTCATGCTTGGCTTTCTGGTGGTAATTACGAGCAGTATGTTGAACGCCGGCACCCCGCTCATCTCGATCGTTCGCTAACCGTGTCCGTCAATAGTCATTCGTGCCATTTACTCCTATCGGAACGAGCAAATGATCACCTGTACCGTCTCGATGATTGAAACCGCCATTGCTATTATCGCCTCCTGCCTCCCCGTTATGCGCACACTTTTTTTCGGATCGAGGTCCCGCACGGGGACCTACAGCGGGCGACGGGGATACGAGCTGTCTAGTTCTGGGCACATCGGCGCTGGAACCAAGCAGAAGGCAACCGTCTCGGCCTCTCGTTTAGAAAGTCGGAGCAAGACGCAGCTTTCGCGGCACGATTCGGAGGACGAGCTGGTGCGTGAGGGCGCGTCCCTAGCGGTGGATGCGCCGCACTCTGGCATCTCGGTGACGCGGGAATATTTTATCCATGAGGGAACACGAGATAGTCGGAGCTTGCGATGAATCTAAATTGGCCTTCGGTCAGTCATACTTGATAATACACCAAAGAATAATCACGTTTACGGCACAAGTCAATTGCATCCTATTTTGGCCCTGGAGACCACATTTGCGAGTTGAGAAAAGGATGCGGGTGAGAAGGCCTTTACGCGAGGGGCTTTGAAGTGACCCCCAACCTTCACCGGGCATGTGTTCTCCTTCAGAAAGAAGCGAAACTGGAATGCAGAACCCAGAAATGCAGCTCCTGTGAGCCGGACACGCCCCCGCAGTACTCTATATATCCGCCGTGGCAATGGTGACATGGTCAACGGCAAGCAGGGCGGGAGAAAGCTTGGGACGAAAGGGAGGTATTCCCTGCTTACTGTAATTTTATTTCGAGGCTAGATATCAGCAAAGAATTAATATAAGTTTCCACTGTTGTTACAAGCACTCATTTTCGCGCGTAGGTTGACATGGAGAATATACGTCGGCGCAGCAATCGACGACGCCTATTTCTAGCACTGAACTCTGACTGATTGGCCCATCCTAATAGAAGCCTCAGTCATGAAGCCCACAGGCCACGTAAAAAAGAACCTGTAAAGGTTCCATGGCCGCCTGAGGCTTATTGATACCCAAATCTGCTACTGTGCCGGGAAAAAAAAAAAAAAAAAAAAAAAAAAAAAAAAAAAAGGAATTTGACTATAGTAATTGGATTCCTTTGAATACGTGCGAGGTCAGAACCCCTAGTTTAATGGATAATGAAATTATAATACGTGCAGCGGGTCAAAACTCGCACGTCCAGCAATACAAACTCATGCGTCCAGTCTACCAATCTACCCCGAGCGGGCAAAGTGCGGCCTCAACTCCTCTTTCAAATTCCCGAATCCGATCCGGGGGCTATAATTGGCGACCTCATTGGCACCAAAGTCGAAAACGGTGTAGAACTGATGGAGTAAGGGCGTTCCGATGAGGGCCAGATCCACCACCTCGCTGTCGTCGAAGGGAGGGAAGCAGGCGTCGTCACGATGGGCGAACCCGGGGCGGGCCAGCTGCTCGCCAGTCATGGTCACCTTGGGGTCCGTCTCGGATTTGCCGAAGTTCAGGGTCACCGACCAGTCCGAGGTGAACTCGGCGCACAGCGGAATATGTTTGCCGTCCTTAATGGCGGTCCAGTTCATGCCAATCGAGTCATACAGATCGTCAATGATGTTGCTAGGGACCTGGAAGTAGCCAGAACCGGTGTCGAACACGGCGCGACCATAATCCCCAAGGTGGCTGGTGGCCGACTGGCTCTTCTGGCCGGCGGTCTTGCCGGTGCCGGAGATGGAGGATAGTTTCGTGCGCCAGACCTGGAACTCGGCTTCCTGCTGCAAGGGGACGTAGGTGAGCTCGCCGTCGACATAGCGGTCCTCGTGTGAGCCGCCAATGGTGAGCACGCCGGCCGGGTCGGAACCGGTGGTCTCGAACTCGGTGCCGTAGTAGATGGCAAACCGAGGCTCGTCCAGCAGACCCTTCTGCATCATGGTTTCCACCAGGGTGGTGGCACCGGCCTCGGCGATGCTGCTGAAGGCCAAGCCCAGGAATCCATCGGCCGGGATGAATCGCCACGAGCTCTGGTCGGCCGCCATGAAGGTTTGATTCCAACGGAGGCCATCTTCCCCCGTGGCCTCGGCGGGCAGGCCAAACATATCGGCCATTCCGGGCCCCGAAGTGGCTCCGCCCGAGTAGTCGATATATCCGTAGATGCCGATGTTCACCCCAGTCGAGGAATCGTCGGTGCTGTAGCCGACACGCTCATATCCGCTGCCGTTGGGACAGTTGAGGCAGCCCTTGCCCACCACCCACGTCGTCGCGGAGCCTGTATCGAAATGGAGCAGATAGGTCTTGGCCGGCGTGCCGATGGAGGCCTCGACTTGAGCCTGTGCGAGGGATGAGTCAGTTGAGGGGATCGTTTCGCACATGGTTCGACGGGGGCAGGTACTCACGTAGCTGTTGTCAAAATGAACGGGCAGATTCAGCACGGCGCCTAAGGCAGACGGCAGCAGCGCCGCGACCGCCGCCAAAGACCGCAGTTGACAAGACATGTCGAAATGGGAGAGGATATAGCGAAAGTGCCGGTTTCAGGAGCGACCGCTGAATTGGGTTGCAGAGTGCAGTAAGTGACCAGAATGGAACTACCGGCTCATGGGGTCCCTTTATATATCCTCAATTGCCTCGGCGTAAGGCTGTTTTGACAGGTTCCACAGACTCCATCAACCGTTCAAGAAATTTCCCTGGATCCGCCGCCATTGAGCTAAATTTATCGAGGTCGATGAAACATTTTAGATTAGATTCATTACTTCACTAGCCCGGTCGGGCATCGCATCGAGTGAATACTGAAAGTGTGGGATCGAGACCGCTCCTCCGGCGGCGACCGGGCGTAACCAAGAACTGCTCCATCCTCGGATTGATTAATGTCTTGCCCGTTGAGACACGGACAGACGGAGTATAGTATAGACTACAGAGTATAGACACAGTACGGAGGATGGACACACTACTCCGGAGTGGCCGAAAGGGAAAAATCAAAACACACCCAGCCCAAAACGGAAGGGCGTGGAGGCCCGAATTCTCAGGCTGCAGTCTTGGCACCAGGTCTGGCCTGAGGCAGGGGTCCGTCGCAGCGGCCTGCAGGATCAGGCATCGCGCGCCCTCTCCTCTCCTGAAGGTAACACTTGGCCTCTACGCGGCACGGAAACGATCCATCCTCGATCCAAGGGACTGGCCGGATCATATGATGCTCGACCTTCCTCCGCACTACTCCGTAAACACGAACAATGCAAAACCACAATTCCAAAAAAAAAAGGAGGTCTCACGGTGGATCCTCCGACAGGCCGAGCTCCTGACGGCCCGGAAAAAGGGTTTTTAAGCCCGACATCAACGCTTCCCCCTCGACGTCCAGAAAGGCTGATATTCCATCCACCAATCAAGCCCTCTTGAATCGTGATCATGGATCCGGCCTCTTTTATCGATCCGAACCTGACCCGGTCCGATCTGCTGGTTCTCCAGGATCTGCTGGATGACGCCGACCGTCAACCGGGGAAAGGTGGGTCGACAGAGTCGCAACAAGGGTCGGGCGAAGATGCAAGCACTGGTATTTGCCTCCTCCCCTGCCTCCGGATCTTCCTCGTGAAGACTAACTCGGTCGCTTCCACCGTCCAGTGCGACGTAGGACCGCGCCCCCTGGGGATCCCCAGGAATCCGAGGTTCCCCAGGACGCCTCGAATGACAGTGCGGCCACCCTGGACCAGCTGCGGGCGCTCAATGACCCCCAGCACTCGGACTTCGTGCCCACCGTGTTCGTCACCTGGGACCTGCCCGATCTCAAGCGGTCGCTGCCCGCCTGGCTGCAGCGATGGGTGCTCCAGCCCTACGTCCGGGCCGCACGGCGACTCGTCCGCGTGGAAACGGACGTGGTGATGCTGACCCATCTGCTGCTCTACTTCACCACCTCCGTGCCCAGCGCCCTCTGGCTGTTTCGCCACTTTAGCTGGATTCACGGGGTCCTGCACTGGATCATGCAGTCCTACTATGTCGGCACCTACACGCTCATGATGCACCAGCACATCCATATGGGCGGCATCCTGCGGCGATCGCCCGCCCTAACCTGGTTCGACAAGCTGTTCCCCTACCTCACCGACCCCTTGATGGGCCATACGTGGAATACCTACTACTACCACCACGTCAAGCATCATCACGTCGAGGGCAACGGGCCCGACGATCTGTCGTCCACCATCCGATACCAGCGCGACGAGCTGGTCGACTTCCTCTGCTACGTCGGTCGCTTCTACTTTTTCATCTGGCTGGAGCTGCCGCTGTACTTTCTCCGCAAGGGTAAGATCAACATGGCCGTCAAGGCCGCCCTCTGCGAGTGCCTCAACTATGCCGCCATCTACCTGCTCTGGACCTACGTCGCCTGGAAACCCACCTTGTTTGTCTTTCTTCTGCCCCTGCTGCAGCTGCGCGTCGGCCTCATGGTGGGCAACTGGGGGCAACATGCCTTTGTGGACGAGGTTGACCCCAACTCCGACTTTCGATCCAGCATTACCTTGATCGACGTGGCCGTGAGTGACCCCCAACTGTTACCCCCTTCGTACATGTCAAGCTTATCCCCCCCCCCCCCGCAGAGTAACCGATTCTGTTACAACGACGGATATCACACCTCTCATCATCTCAATCCGCGCCGACACTGGCGCGAGCACCCCAACGCTTTTCTGCAACAGAAGGACCGCTACTCAGCTGAGCATGCCTTGGTCTTTCGCAACATTGATTACATCATGATCACCATTCGGCTGCTGCGCAAGGACTATCGGCACCTGGCCAAATGCCTAGTTCCCATGGGAGACCAGGTGGGCATGAGTCTGGATGAACTCGCCGCAATGCTTCGGACCAAGACCCGGCGGTTCAGCGAAACTGAGATCAGAGAGAAGTTCCCACCCGGCCACTAGATCAACGCGTTTTCTTGAAACTCCCGTGAAATTAATTGCCATGCGGATGATGCGTCGCTCCTCAGGCCCGGTGTTTCTTCTGTTCCAGCGTGTGACCCCTTCACAATCGTTTCATGGAAAGTGTACACGCATGTGTATAAATACATATTGATAGACAGATACATACCTGGAGCTCGAATATCATTTGCTAAGATAATGCCGTCAACACGTTAAGTTCTGGGTTCTTGTCCGCCGTCCGTTCGCTGATCGGTCCCATACCAAGTGTTTTCCTTCACCCGGATCAAGAGGAAGCAGAAGGCGAACGGGCGACATCCACAGAAATGAACCCAAAAGTAGAAAAGGAGAATGAGTGAATTGTTCTACTATTAAGCTAGGACCCCCTTTTCCACCCCTTTTCCCTCTGACTTAGGATACTACTGAGTAACTACTATATTATGCTTATGTGATGGTACAAATACGTAACTTGATGCTCCCTGAAATTTTATTTCATACAGAACTGTGCGCCACTATATAATTTACCCCCGAGCACCATGCGGAGATAAGAGAGTTACTTATGAGCAGACAATTCAGTCCGAAAAAATGGGCCGTCGAGGTCCCGAAACTTGATATACGGGCACGCCACGTCGTTCAGTGTAGAGTACGATAGAAATCGCCGGAGGACCGATATGAATAACACGAAAGCAATAATCCGTGGTGTCACCTCCATTTTCGTACATGTTGAGAAGAATATTTTTCACGATGATCTTGTAGCCTCTTCTGTCCCAACACGCGGTGTAAATCTTCACAACCAACCCATGAAGATGGTGTGGAATATCGTCACGCGCTTTATAGAAGCTAGTACAAGGATGTAGGTACAAATTCTGAAGGGCTTGCCGCAGCTCTCTCTCAAATGTCAAACCGTAGGGCACAGGGATCAGCGCGTAGTGTTTCTGCATGATGGCGGCGAAACCTGTGCACTGTCCACGTTGGCACGTGGCACATGCATGCGTAGGTATGTATTCAGAGAGCGACGCCCGCCAAGGTATTTATATCACGACTGAACCGAAGAAGAGTCCAGGGCCGTTCCGCATGTTACGGCTTATAAAGGAAAGTCCTCCAACTAGAAGACATGGCTCCGCTACGATACAAAGATCAATCACAATGCGGGAAGGGATTTTCAAGAACAAGTCCTTATTGCGTACAGAAATGCAACCGGTTTTATGATCCTCTCAACTGGATCCCGCGGTCCCGCGAGGAGCACGAGCTGTTTTATAACCAAAGGGCGACTGGCCATCTGCACCCCCTCTGATGCCCCGTCGGTCCTCGTCAGACACCGGGGAGCCGTCCTTCTTAGGGGACATGGCTATGAAGGTGAGATAGGCTCCCCCGACGACGCCGACGACGCTGAAAAGTGCCTGCCGTAAGGTGCTGGTTCTGGTTGTTCATGTCAGTCGGGTATTCGTGCCAGATGATTCGCAAAGTTATTTAGTCAATATAGGGGAACGAGCGCACCGGACATTCATGACTGGGTTTGGGGAAATATAGTAACCAACTTGGGTAGTGAGTAAGATCTTATAGATTATTCAACCTTGTGCTTAAATATAGGGAATGTGGTTACATCATGGCTACGTTTCGCCACACCACAGCATCCATGGGTGTGGCAACGAAAATTCATGGATTCTAGACGGGGGTTTGTGATAACTTTAGACCGACACATGTTCACGGTTCATATTTTCAACAAGTACGAAATGTGGCGATCCCCAAGCGTCGAGGATAATCCCGTCGGCGCGCGACAGGATTTGGACGTGGTTAGCCACAACGCCTCCGTAGTCCCTAAATTGTGCCATTTAGATTCCTACCAGATGTGCATCTTTTCTCCAAGCATTCTTCGTACACTTGCAGGGTCAGTCCACGTAGAAGTGTTGCACTTCCTTCAGGTCATGACCTCAACGGGGAGAAGAGAATGCAAGCGTGGATTTGCCGAATCCTTGTCCTGATTCCATATCTGCCGAAAAATCAAAGTCAAACGCAGCGGCCGGAGTGACACATGTACGGAGTATGACCCTAGGACGCCAAAAGAGATAGGTCTTGATCTATCTTAGACCCTTCTACGGAGTCATCACCGGTGGGTCTGGCCCCCACTACTGGTGTCTGACGGGGGCTGCCCGAGAAACCAGAAAACAACAACCTCTCCCCCAACAAGCTCGGTCACAGAACAGCATATCAAGATGCCGCGTCTCCCCAATGAACTGATCATCCATGTCATTCGGTGTCTCATTCCGCCCAGTCCACCGGTTGCCTTCCCGTCGGGGCACATCGTGACGCGCACACTGGTCAGCCTCATCCTCGCATCCAGGCTTACACGCGCGGTTGCAATCCGGCTTCTCTTTAGACACTGCCTATATTTGGATTCGGGAAAACGTCTGCATGAGTTGATTCAAACTGACAAGAACTGGGTGCGAGATGACAATACCGGTGGACATGGAGCGCTGCGCCAATCCCAATCGCTATTTCTGCGTCCGTTCCCCGCGGACACCCTCGAGGAGCCGCAAATCGTGAAGGAGGTGGATCAAGTGTCGCTCGCTCTCGCCAACACCCTGCGACGACTGGTCATTGACATGCCGCTGCGACTTTTGTATCCGGAAGAGGACCATTCCGGACTACGGAGGATCTTGCGACACGCCTTTGGCCGCTTAACGGCGCTGGAGGAATTTTGCTCGGTCCGGGACGAGCTCTTCTGCGATACCCTAGAGACATGGTCGGAGCCCGACGCGGCGTCAGAGCCCGAGGTGTGGTCAGGTTGGCCTCGACTCCGATGCCTCGCTCTCTACAATCCCTGCATTAACGACGCGTTTGTGCGGGCGCTGCAGCGTTGCCCAAGTCTCACCCACCTTGCGCTTACTCGATCGGACGGCTTAACGGAGCCTCTCTCACTATCATCGTCCCGGGGGTTAGCCTTACCGTCCCTGCAGCGCGTAATTGTCATCAACACTTGCCAAGGACATCGAGTGGAGTGGGAACGCCGCGAGCCGGGGTGGGAAACAAGCATCTGGGCGCGCTTGCTGCCTTCCCATACATCTCCTTCAGCTCCGAGTTCTCAAAATCCGCCCCAGTTAGTGTATGCTTTCGTGTCCGTACCCCGGAACCGGGGGGATGAGGATATCGAACTATGCCAGGAATGGGTTTGCGAGCATGCTGTGAATGGCACACTGTGGGATATTCCAGGAACCCCGTGGCAAGTGGAGGACCCATGATCTTGCTGTTCCCCGGACGCAGGAACAAAACCGGGGTGTAACCGGATGTGAAGCCCACCAGAATTCCCCAAAACACTTATCGTACCAAAGGCGCCTTGGTAACCCTGACAGATTAGATGCCTAACAATAGGATCGATCATTCTATGCGTCTGACCCAGCAACAGAACATGCTTCTTTCATTCAGTAAAGACAAAACGCGGTGATTACATGCCGGAGAATTGAAGGAGAAAAAAGAGTAACAATTGTCGGGCCCTTGCAGGACCTAATACTTCGAGCGTCTTCAGCAAATAGGTTCAGACAAACAACCCGCAGACCTCCTGGAAGTCTTCTATTCTCTCCTGGGAAGCAGCGTGCCTGGCATGATGGTCGGCATCCGTATTCCACTCTCTTGGGACACGCCAGAATGCAACATCCAAGCCCTGCTCGTGCCATCGTTCGATTTCGCCGAGCAGACACTCCCAGAGGTCCCGATTTTTGACCGCCGTCCCCATTCTTGTCATCCAGCCTCTCCGTATCCACCCACGGACCCAGGAGATCACGCCCTCCACGACATATTCGGAATCCGTCGCAATCACAAGATTATTGCACCCCTCACCGGGCCAAGCCCGAAATCCCAGAGCGGCGATAACGGCGCGCAGTTCTGCCCGGTTGCTTGTTTGTCCGTACGCCTCGCCACTGGGCCCTTTGGTTTCCAGGGGCTGGCGCACGTATCCCGGGCGGTCTTCCGTCGAAGGCTTGAAAACAAAGCTCCAGCCAGCTCGGGGGTTCGCTCCGCCGTTGTCTAAGCATGCGCCGTCCGTGTATATGAGGAATTGTCTCGGGTTGGTGGCATTGATGAACCGACAGACTGCTGGTGAGGAGCGACGGCCGATGGTGGGGGGGAAGAGCGACTGCGGAGTCGCGTGAGTGCTGGGAGGGCGGAATCGGGTGGGAAGGACGCGCCCGGTGCCGACTCGGGGAGGGCTGGAGATGCGGGCACGGGGTGGCAGCTCCTCGATCGTAGAGTCCTCGTCAAAGTCCTTGCCCGGGGAGATGTCATCTTCATCCTCATCCTCGCATTCATCCACGAAATCCTCCATGAAGCTGAAATCCACGGTGCAGTCCGGGCAGACAACGAGCCCATGCGGGGCACACACCAGACAACCATTGGAGAGCTCGAGAGGTGACGGAGGGGAAAATAAAACCATTTTTGAAGCAGGTGGAAATCACGACTCGCGGCGTGTAGGACTGTTGGAGAGAGGGAGGAATGGAAGACGATCCATATTTGTATCACGCGGCGGTGTTGCGATGTTTGTTTACAATGAAGAAGATGGCCGAACCTTCCGGCGGCGGGAATGGCAACCTAGGTACCCAGGGACCGGCGCGGCAGATCAGTTGGTCAAAGATGCGGCAAGCCCAGGCAAAGCACCCCCCTTCCGCCCTCTGTTTGCAAGGGAAAAAGCGGCCATCCGCGACAACATCCGCGCTCAGTTGCAGCAGGTGCTCATCTGCGGAAGATGACAGCAATCCAGCCACCTACGGAAGAAAGCTCTACGGGTATTTGCGGGCGTACCTGTTGACCCAACCACACACGGGCCACATTTGGTTTGTGGCAGAAATAGGTGAGTCTACCGAAGAAGTGATTATTCAACTGATTTATATGATCATATTCAAATGAATGAAGGTCTTAATTCAACTAACTATACGATAAAGAAGCCGATATTTATGCAATTCGAGAGGCTTCCTAATCGTCAAAACAAGCGACATATCACGATAACACTGTCCCGAAAAATGCCGTATAAATGCAATAAAATTGCAAATAAAACGCAATGATAATGCAATATTCATGCAATGAATCAATCGGCCAAGAAAGGCGATGATATAAGCGGTTTAGTCATCTCCCGCGGCCACATGGTTGTTTACATACGCCAAGACACGCGGATTCCGCGACGACGACCACTGCATCTGCGGCGCCCAAGAAACAGTCGCTGATATTCTGGTAGACTGTCCAAAATTGGGCGAATTGTGGAGGGAATTAAGGAGGAATGTCGGAAACGCGTTAAACAGCATCTCCAGTCTGCTGGGAGGCGCAAAAGAAGGTGAGAGAGGTAAACCAGACAGCATGTCGCATTCTGGGACAGTCGAGGCCATGCTAGGCTTCGCTGAGGCGTCATATCGGTTTCAAAGTCATGCGCCATGGAAGGTACGTACATGGATATATCGTTTCGACGAGGGGTCGGGGTAAATGGATACTACTATTACTACCGACTGTAGAGTGAATGGCAAACGAAAGAGAAGTGCATGGTTGGCTGTTACTTCACTGCGCCGTTTGTTGCCCTTCCACTTGTTTCACTCTTTCTTACGCGCCGCGCCTCCAATGCAGTGTGACCTCCTGAAATCAGGGAACTTCCCGGTGCGGAGGAACGTTCTGGTTAGTTAGTATAGGACCGAGGGACCCTCCGGTAGGCATCCAGGAAGGTTCCTGGATGCTCTGCAGGCATTCCTGCCTGAGGCCAAGCCTCGGGCAGTATATAGAAGCTCTAGATCCTCCCTCCTAGATAGCCTTTCCTCTCCATGGGAAAATTCTTTGACTACGAGTCATAAACAAACTTGTCTTTTACTAAGCTTCTTTGTAGACCGTCACATGCAGCCTGGCTGAACAAAAAAAAAAGACAAGGCTGAATTTACTCTCATTTTTCTTCCTCAAATATCCCGCTCTCCCTCCATCTCCCCTCTTTTGGACTTCTCGTTCATGTCTGTCCCCGATATTGACTAGGCGTCCTGCGCTTATTTCTGCTACCAGGCCGTTGCAACTCGTCATATTCATCAATATCTGTCTATACGACACCTCTAAATCTATCTCCCACTCTCGCTACGTCTGTTGTGTCCCCAGTGACCTCGAATGCTCCCTTAAGATGGCTCCGGGGTTGGTTGCAGTTCCTGTTACGTCTCACACTTGCTAATGGTATCGGCAGGATCTGCTACGAATTTTCCGAGAAAGGAACCTGCAAATTCGAGAATTGCAGTTTCCGTCATATCCAGAATGGTCAAGGGTGGCCTCGCGATGGAAAAGCCCCAAAGACAAAATCTAGCAAACCACGCGAAGGCTTGTCCAACTCGGAGAGAGAATTTCGAGCATGGAGAAGCAACATTCCATTAAATATCCCTACTACCCAACCGCTACGTGGGAAACTCGCATTCCTCTTCCGGGAGGCCCGTCGGCTGGTTGATGTTGACGTCGGCGTTCGCCAGTCGGTCATTCAGACACTCTCGGGTGAAGGTGGCCTATACTGTATCAAGGAGCTGATTGAACAAGATCTTGGACAGTTTTCTACAGCTAGGAAAGAAGGAGTGTTCAAAGCATCGATAGTTCCATTTTTAGAAATCATCTCGCATCAGGATGTTCTCTCTTCCCTGGTGCTTGAACAGGCTGTGGGGACAATCTACAACGTGCTATTCGGCATCAACGGTCTCAGAGCATCAAACCTCTTAAGACACATTTTTGATGTCCTCATTCACTGCGAAAGGGACAGCTCTACCGTGGCATGGTTGGAGCTCTCTCTCTTGGTCTTCTCTCGGATCGTGGATCTGAACTCAACAGCCTTGGTTCAGGACTCTCTTCAAGAACAGGCGAAGAAATTTGAAAAATCTTCATCCAGTGGAATGCTACTGATACAGAGAGTGCGCTTCATCAGTCTCAAGCTCATCTGGAACGTATACTCTGTCGCCTTGAAATTGGTAGCTCACTACCAACGGCCACACTCAAAGCCGAGTGTCAGGCGCCCAAGTTAGCTGGAACCTTTGTTACCAAGTGTGGACCTCCTGGGGGCCGTCATGACAATGACCAGCCGGACATCTGTCAGGTCTGCATCATGCCAAGCTTTGAGGAGATATCGAGCACTCGAGTCGAATACCTCCCTGTGAACGATCCCACACAGTGGCATATCAATGGTCTTGATGGACTATTAGATCGCAACTTTCGGCTGTTGCGGGAGGATACTGTTGGGCAGCTTCGTGATGCTATTCATTCGGTGATCCAGCCATCACGGAATCTGCGCAACCAAAAGAACCAAACATTAACAAACGCATACCACCACTCGAGGATTTCTCGGCTTGGCTTTAACTGGATGAACGGACTTCAGTTCGAGGTTGAATTTCCTCAACTAGCTAATGTAACCACAATGCCAACTACAAAGCGTGAAGAATGGTGGAGAATGTCCAAGCGACTACAGGGCGGCGCCTTGGTGTGTCTGGTCACGCAACGGAGATTTGTACTGTTCTGTACTGTGGTCGAATCGCAATGTCAAGGATCTAACCGGCGAGACCAAAATAGAACCAAGGAGCAGCAAAAGGAACAGGACCTGCTTTGGAAAAGTCCTCGGATAGCTTCAGTTCTTTTGGAGTTGACTGATAGCAGAAACAGAGACATTGAAGCGGTTCTGAATCTGTACCATCAGGACCAGCAAGCCTTTGTTTTGCTGGAATTTCCAGGCGTTCTCTTACCAGCATTCGGGCCGACATTGAAAGCACTTCAGCTGATGAAAAGAACTGGAAATCTGCCTCTATCCGAGTTGCTTATCCCTACTGGTACTGAAACAGGTGGACTTGTCAACATCCCTCCCCCGTTCTATGCGACAAAGCCTGGCTTTGAATTCAACCTTTCCTGTCTGATGAACGACGGCAGCAACTTTTACGTCCATCCTAGCCGCCCAGCCGATATACAAAGACTACGGCAAAACTCCAGTCTCGACTCCGCCCAGACAACCGCCCTGGTCGATAGCCTTCAACGGAAAATCGGCCTCATCCAAGGACCGCCTGGAACAGGCAAAAGCTACACAGGCGTCGCTCTCATAAAAGTCTTGCTTGCGAACAAGATCCATGGAAAAACGAAGCTTGGACCCATCATCTGTGTCACATATACCAATCATGCGCTGGACCAGTTGTTGGAGTCTCTATTGAACAATAAAATCACTACGCAGATTGTTCGAATCGGTTCGCGATCTATGTCAGAGATACTGGAGCCTTACAAACTACGGGCTATTGCCAAAGGTAGCACGAGGACCAAGATTGAGAAGGCTGGGCAGTGGAATGCTCATCGGTCTCTGGAAGCGTGTGCCGAAGATTTTACTGGCATTGGATGTGCGCAGGATATCTCGCATATTCGGTTGATGGTACATTTGCGCAATAAACATCCAGCTCATTATCAACAGTTCATTGGACCGGACGACGATGAGTTCGAAATGGCACGAAGCGATGACGGTAGGAAGATCATGAATAGATGGCTGTACTCTGGTGCACGTGGTACTCGCGAGGCTCGGCCGGTGGATGAGCTTGAAACCATCCATCCCGCCGAAATGTCAAGTCCTGAGAGAAAGAATCTGTATGCTTATTGGAAGATGGAGATCAAAAATGAGATGCGAGAGAGTCTTCTTCATGTTTGCGAAGCTCATCGCGATGCCAAGCATGAATTCAGTAACATTCGGGACGAGGTTGATCTCCGCTGCCTCAGTCAAGCTGATGTCATCGGAGTTACGACAAGTGGATTAGCAAGAAACCTGAATATGCTCCGGAGGCTGCAGTCGAAGGTTGTGTTGTGTGAAGAAGCCGGAGAAGTTCTGGAGGCTCACCTTCTTACCGCATTGCTGCCATCAGTGGAGCATGCGATTCTTATCGGTGACCATCGGCAGCTCCGACCTCAAGTCCAGAATTATGATCTCTCACGGGAAAATATGAACGGCGGCACAAGATATTCATTGGATGTTTCTCTGTTTGAGCGACTTGTCGAATCTAGTGGCCCTATGGATTCCGGGCTGCCCTATAGTACTCTGGAGACACAACGCCGGATGCATCCATCCATTGCTCAGCTCGTTCGTGATACACTATATCCACAGCTTAACGATTCCCCTTCGGTGCATGACTACCCAGAGGTCATTGGGATGCGCAAAAGGCTTTTCTGGCTAGACCACCGCATGGAAGAAGCAAACCCATCAAACGCGGATGCAACAGCTACATCACGATGGAATGACTACGAGATTGACATGGCCGCCGCACTTGTTAACCACCTAGTTCGGCAAGGAAAGTATGGTAACCGTGATATTGCGGTTCTTACTCCATATCTCGGCCAGCTTCACAGACTGCGGCGGAGGCTTGGTGAGTCGCACGCGATTACCTTGGGGGAACGTGATCAGGATGATCTCGACAAGGCGGG